CATTAGTTATATTTAACTGCGAATTAGTAATAAATTGAATGTATTGAATTGTCTGTTTGTCTGTTTCAGTTAGTGCAGAGTAATGTTAGCTCGATGGTAGAAGACACAGCACTGTGTGCTTACACACTGAGTAGTATGCAGAACCAGGAGTGAATGCTAGGAGTGCTTTGAGGGTGGAGGTTGGCGCATGCTGGGTCTCCCTGTGCCCAAAATATCAGTACTTATGATGCGGAAGGACAAAGAAAGAATAGGGCCCGTTTTAAAGCGCTCGATAATATTTTGTTAAATTTTTGCTCACTGTGGGGCTAAATTCCTGCTCGCGAGCGGCTTCATTGTGGCGTATACATCACGGCCTGTCGTATCCAGCTAGCGGTACTCCACAAAAATCAAGAATTTAACCAAAGACTCAAGATTAATACACTTCTTGATCTGCCTGATTGCACGATTTTGCGGTATAAACTGCATAGGCGTAGGTCAGCCTGCTACATAAGGCTGCAGTAACGTCCACCCTAACTGTCCCTCCCCAATACCGTGAGCGGCAGGGGTGAAGTCAAGGAGACGGAGGAATCTTTCATGGATGCACTCGAGAAATTGTATTATGTCATGTATTGGTGTGGGTTTGAGCGTCTGCTATGATCATAGATGAGGCTATGCAATCCTGGTCTGCAGTAAATTGACATGGGTTGGTCCATATGACAAGCCAATGTCACTTGGGTTCACAAAACACTACGGATAATCATGGCCTCTAAGCATCTTTTAACTCATATACACCATTTTTCGCTGCAAATAAGGTACCAGAGCGCTTGTAACTCTCTGAAGACGATTTCATGCACGACGTGCCGGGAAGGCCCTGACAGAGAAACAAGGAATCAGGCTGAGTCTATAGGACACTAGGAGCTCTATGCGCAGCTAAATGTGTAAGAACCACTCGAAAGACAACATTTGTGGCATATTTAGAGCTTTTGCGGGAAACGCTAGGGCATTTTCCGTAATATTGCCTCGTTGCACTACTGACACGATGCGCAGTTGGTGCCATCTTGCGCACTTGGTACTTCTACGTCCAGTCATGACAGGTTCCTCCACGGGTTTAAAGCTTCGATCTGTACTTTTAGCTCGATATAGTTGTATACAGCGAAATACAGAACATTAGGTCGACAGATGGGAAGTCCCTGGGGAGCCACATTACTCGACAGATACTTCGGCGGCACCTACGGGGTAGGGATTGATGCATTTGCATATCCTCAGGTCTTTGTACATCGTGACAAAGTTACTGTTAACAGCCAATTCTGCCAATACTCAATTAAGTAGACGTTGATCCGATTCTAAACAGAAAAGTAGAGACAAAGACTAGGTGCCCATAGTCCGAGGGCAGGCAGCGCACTGCCGCTCCCTGAAGGTGGCGTGCCTGTTTCACTCGGCCGCTGTTGCGACAACTATGAAACAGATGGCTACTATTGCGCCTATTTCTTTTGGTATTTTTATGCTTGAATCGATAGATTATTGGGCCTGTTGGGAGTTCGTGAAAATATATTCTCTAGACCAGTCCCCAGTTTCTGTTTTCTTCCACGGGCATCTGTCTAGTTTACGCACTCAAAACATGCATTGTTTGTTTCGGCAGTCGCAGACCTTCTTATAATTAGGCCAGTAAATCCGGATCCACGTGCACCTCTCCTATCTTCAACTGGCGCGCTCTCCTCTCCCCACGCAAAGGGACAACCACTAGAGACACCGCGTCATACCCCCGTGCACCCTTACAACTACATTTATAGCTACATCTGAGGTTGGAAGCTCTAGTCTCTGCCCCGGTTGAAAGGCAATGGCGCCTCAGTACCATGCTACCTCTATTGGGAATGGAACAGGACGGGCCTGTTCCTACTTCGTGTTCTTTTGGGTCTGTGTTCTTTCTCTAATCGCCCCAGAGTCTGGGGTAGCGGATATCCCGGTAGCAGTAGCAGATGTCTACTCAAGGGCTCTTGATAATACAGGTCGCATTGCGGTGCCAACAGAAGGAGCTGAGCTAAGCTCGCACGCTGCGAAGGCTCCAGCGGTAACTGCTGCATCTGATCTCCACACTGTTGAGGTGTCCGGGAGGCCTGAGGTGGCCAGGAGCCATAGTAGAATGTTTGCTTCTGATCCGATAATTGAAGAGTTGGTGCTGGAAGAGGATTACAGGAGGGCACTCGAACATGCAAACGAGGCAAACAGGGCAGTGATCATGATGCTGTACTCTGCATGGTGCCCTCATTGCTTCGCATACAAAAAGACGTTCTCACGCATCGCGGCAGATCTTAAGGACAAATTTTCTTTCGTGGCAATGAACTGTATGGAGAACGAGAAAACGATGGATTTATGCGGAGACTTGGGGGTGTTTGCACTGCCCTCCATCAAGCTGTTTGTGCCAGCATCCACATACCACACACTGCCGCCTGAAGACCGCCAGGTGCAGCCCATCGATTCATCACTAGGGCACATTATCCTTGAGCTTCCTGGAATGCGTGGTGGAGGCATTCTTGACTCTCTTGGCAACGCTAAAACGCACAACATGTGCGTCCACTCCCTCGCCCTCCCGGCAGAAGACATCATGCCTGCGCTTCTGTACGCCGCCAAGCAAACAATGCAACGCATTGACAAATCGAATCTGTAAGAAGCCGCACACTACAAGCTCCAATACCGTTCCATCGTCTCTTCCTGTTTCTTTTTTGCATATACGTGAAATGTACGCGTGTTCACGGCAGTCCTACTCAGTGCATCGCCCTACGATTCATTCAAAACATCAGGTAGTGTGCCTTTCAGACTGAGTCACTAGCTTATACGGAGGAGGTTAGCGTACTGGATGTTGGTGCAAAGCCAGTGTCAAATCCCTTTTAGGTGCACCTCTTTTGACCATCCGCTGATACTCTCTGCGTGGAGGCCGTCTGCAACGTCTTCTGGCATGCTGTTTGCACCCCCCTTTCCCGTCGTATGTATTTTTTCGTTGGCTTCTACATTTTTAGTGGGTGATTCTGTCCGTCTTGTGTCTGACATTGCGTGTGCCGCATTGTCTTACTTCAGCCGTCTGACCCTGGAAGGCGATTTGGCTTCTTTTGAGCATTTGCGTGACGCACCCTGCAATTCCGTTCGATGGGAATCTGAAGATCATCATCAGCAGGCACGGCATGTGTCTTCATCCCCCCCGTCAGGCATGAGGGGCACAGGCAGCGACCAGCAGTCAACGGAGACTCTCGCCCGTGCCCGGGTGCACGACGCAGTCAGGGGGCTGCAATTCGTGTTAGCGAGTTGGGTTGTAACAGTAACCGAGCGCCTGACCGAAGCAGATCAGCTTGCTTTGATCGACCTGCTTGAAGTAGCAAGAGCCACTATTCCAATAACATCTGTTAAGCGGGCAGCAGCCCTCTCCATCCTCCACCTGTACAGCTCGGGCAACTTGGGGGCCGAGTCGCTGCGCGGCGGCCGCTCTGTGAAGCGAGCGCTTGGGCGCACAAGCGAGGATCGTTTTACGGATGAACTTCGGATATACAGTGAGCTGGATCACGTCTTGCAGGCCGGAAAGGGCCTTAAAGCAGCAGAATGGCGCGCTTGGGTGGGCAGCGTCTCCTTTGGGAAGGAAGCTCCCCCGCTTGCTCCCCTAGAGGAACCCAAGATGAGGCACTGCACCACCCTGACATGCAGCGTCTGGATGCTGCTGCATCTGCTGGCTGATGGAGCTGCGGCGCTTGCCCAGCAAGTGGCTGCTCATCTCAAGTGCGGTCCCCAGCAGGTCTTCTACAAAAGAAAGGGGCAGGCCCTCCCCGTCTACCTGCTGCTGCAGCAAAGATCGGAGGGCAAGGCAGCAAATACTGAGGAAATTCTTGATATTGCTTCTATGAACACGGTATGTACGGGTAAAAGCTGGGGCTCGGTGTACAGACCCAACTAACGCTTCCTGCAGCCATTCATCTAGATGAACCTTCCCCTCCCTCGTGGTAGCTTCGTCTCTTATGCGTGCTGCTTTCCCCGTCCCCTTGAGAAGAGTGGAGCCGTTCCTTCGCCTCCGTGGCGGGGCTTCATGCTCGCAGTTGAGCAAGAAGGCTTGCCTTCTGAAAGGATGGTAGTTCTGCGGTTGCATGCTGTGCGGGTTCCTCCAGGAAGACCTTATAGACCATTATCCCTCATTGGGATGCATGGTGGTCCCCTCTTTCGATGTCGCCTACACCATTTACAACTTCCTCCGCCGCTTTTTTGGCTGCACTGCCTGCCGTCACCACTTTAGGGTGTTGTTCTCCCGGCGGAGCTTCGGGTTGCTGGAACTGCAGCCACCGGAGGGCGACTTCTCCCTGACCCTTCCCCTCGTCGAGCCCCCTAAGAGTCTGGACAGTGACTCTCAGGGTCACTCCCCTTTGTTAGCCAGATTCAGGAGTCAGTCTGAAGGCCAGACGGAGGCGTGGAGCGGTCGGTTTGTGGAACAAAGGAAACTGGATCACCTTAAGCTGTGGTTGTGGCGCATGCACAATGCGGTCACAGTTCGGACAGCGGCGGATGCGACCCTCGCGTTTGTAAAGGGCGACCATGAGGCGAAAAACTACGTGAACTGCGACACTAGATGGCCCCCCAAAAGTGCATGCAGAGAGTGCAGAATGGAAACATTGACACCGGCTGGTATCGTTTCTGTTCCAGTTTTGGTCGCTAGAGACTCGGACAAAGACGTACTTTCGATAGAAGAAGAATATGGCGATTTTGACCAAGCGGCGATTTTGGATTACCTAAAAAAGAGTTACTGGCCCACATCTCCACAAAACAATTACTAATAAGTAAAATGCTCCGCGGGCATATGGCGGCACCAGCCGCTGTTATCGTTTGTGTAATAACTGAGACAACAGCAACAGGAAATCCCTGATGCAGTTAGTCGCCCTGTTATACCTGGCTTTTCCCCGCGGGTCTTAGCCAGAAGGGCTGCCCATAAGGGATACGTGGAAGGGAAGGACCCTACATGTTTCTTTGCTGCAGAAGCCTGAAAGCTACAAAAGCCGGGATTCTGATGAGCAGCCTCCCTATTGTATTTGGCAACAGATGCCACTCCGCACTGCTGCCGCTGCTGGCACAAGTGGACATAACCTTTGCGGCAGCGGAAATGCCAGTGAGTCTTTTGGAGGAGGAATTCGCGGAACAGGGCAGAGTCCTCTTCTCGACTAGATTGGGTGCTGTAAGAAATATGCATCCACGAGCAAAAGAGAGGGGCCCGTGCACGGCCCAGTGCAAGACCGTGGACTGCATCTCGCGTATTAGTAGTCGCAGCTGCAGTGACAGCTCCATCAGCTTGCGTTGATACGTACTGTGTTAACCTGAATGCTTGGTTGCGGGAGGAGACCTGGAAATACACCAAGGAAACCCACCAGGGTCTCTGTCTAGCCGGCACCAAGCGGTCACCGCATTTGTCTAGGCCACGACGGTGTTGTTCTTGTTCCCCTGCACAGCGGGTGGCATGTTGAACATATGCACAGGCTCATAACGAGAAATTAGAGCGCCTTGACAGCGTTTCTCAAGGCTCTTTGCTTTACTGCTGCTTTGGTTGATAACAAATATGTGTTTTGTCTGTTTTCATTGGATACATCATGCCATTGACCCTGCATGTGTTGCTCACATGCCTTTAGGTTTCCTGGAAAGCCCTTAGAACACAATTAGAAGCCACATGTGATCTAACAGGATTTATGAGGCTTTTGCTAGAGGTCCAGGGCACGTGGTCGTTCGCTTAGTAGTGTGCTTCCCTACAACAGGTGTCTTGTTGCTATTAGGTTATTCGGTATCCCAGTAATTCGACTATTTGGGGAAATGATCCGGGGGAGAGACTCTCTGGCAGTGGAAATTGATGATGACACAATGCCGTTGGGGTAGAAGCTGCCGGCCTGCGTGACGATGTGAGCTCAGTAGCTTCACATCTAGAAGAATTGCATGGCATCAGCCGGTAGAGGATGTATGGACGTGGATGAAGCTTTGCAGACCAAGGAAGTATGCTGACCGTTGGGATGCACGCTTGATGATATTATCACCCAGGTGGTGGTGTACCTCGTTTTGAAGCCCCAGATAGAATTAAACTAGTGCTCCTTGTGCGAAGCCTTTTGGACCACATGCTACAACGGTGGCTGTATTTATGCAAAGCAAGTATTCCTATAGGGGTTGCTTAAGTTCAAGCCTTGCCTCAGGCCCTGAATCAAATCTTGCCACGATCGACTGAAAGAAAGGCATCTGGGGGCTAAAAGATGTTAAGCAGGGAGTCTACCAATAGTTAACCATATCTAGAGATATAAACCTTTGACGTTTAAAGGCCACACAACAAACGAGGAGGTGCTTTATCATTCTACTTCGGTCCTACCCAAAGTGACGCACCGCCTAATGGGCAACAAATCTCCGATAAAATAACCGACAACTGAGGCTCCCGCAAACAATGAACTACTCAAGAATCTACGAGCAAATGAGAGCACCTCTCGCGTCTTTGGCTGAGAACGAAGAGCCATCTCGGGTTTAGAGGCTATGAATGTGGGAGCTGTGTCAAGCAGGCCTAGCCTACATACTAGGGAGAACCAGAAAAGCAGGCCAAAGGAAGCTGGTTCTGAGTATCCCCACACAAAACCACGGGAAAACACCGGATTATGTTGTGAGCGACTAAGTATAATTTGAATCTGAAAGTGCGTACAGTCGGCCAAAAAACTGAGCAACCCTAGCAGGACCCAGTGGAAGCAGGCTGCTTGGCGAGTAAACAAGGCACGTGAAGGAAATGGAATGCTGCCCACGCAGGCTGTAGCGTAGTGGAGGCAGCTACAAAGAATGAAGCCACATTCGGGGCCTACCAAAAGTCAGGTCCGCGTAGACTCAAGCTCGCGTTGATGATCGAGAATTGCTTGTGTTCCTTGAAACTGGATGCAAAGTGGATCTGCAATCCGAGGACACAGCGCAGAACCGCAGTCTGCCTATTGGGTGCTTAGCGCCGTCCCTATGATGCAGGCCATCTGACAAGCGGTAGCACGCGAGGACTAGCAAGGTCGCGAATGTTAGATGCTGCATCAAAGTGACATATGGTTTTGTCACCATGCTGTTTGTGAGCTAGACCCGTGCGCCAACAAGCTACTTCACGAATTCCACAGATGGCCAAATGGAACAAGCGTATGCGGCCATGCCTGCATGCTGCGGAGGTGTTAGTGTGCCAAAATGCGGAGCTCTCGAGACTCCGCAGCAGTCACTATTGTGCAATGCCATCCCTCTTTTCTGTGATGACTCGCGGCCTCACCGAACTTGAGAGGTACTTTGGGTTTCGACTCTCATGCATCCACCACTCTTGCCAAAATTCAGAATGTTAAAACTCTGAGCACGACAACGCTGAAGATAACCCGCTAGGATTCAAAGAAACCGAGCGTCCGTCGCTTGTACATTCCGACTTCACTTTGTGGTGCCGTTTTAAGCAAAGGCACACGGCTATGCTTTCTCGTGCCACGGTGAAGAGCACATCACGGCGGAAAAGCTCTCACAGTGTTTCTGGTGGCCTGGGATGCATATTGCGGTAAAGGAATATGCACTCTCATATTTAGAGTGTCAAGAGCAAAGGACCTGGTACCTGTCCTATGCCCGAACTTTTGCGAAGCCGTCGAGCACCTTCAAAGGATTTGGGCTAATATGATTATGATTTTACTGTTGGAGTGCCTGAGGGTAAGGGCCAAGAGAGCACCTATTTCCCCGTCGACAGACTCAGCAAATATGCCTCTTTCATCCCTTGCTTTGGTTCTGTCACGGCTCAAAAAATTTCTCTGTTCTCTCAACGTTTTTCTGACATGGACGTTTCAGGGCTGACCTTTGGGATGGGTATCCGACGTTTACTAGTGGGCTGTGAAGTGCCCTTATTAGCTGCGTAAGCATTGACCATAGCGCGACCTTTGCGAACCACTCTGATCAGTGGGAGGGAGAGTGCGCACTAGCGGCCCTCTTCTGCAGAATTGGCGACTATATGCAGAAACATATCTTTGAGGCGCAGATGCACTGCTAAAATAAGATGTATTTTGATTCCCTTTGCACAATTTACTTGTCTTCGTGTTTTTTTGTGGTAGGAGGCTCTCAAATTGCAGAGCTCTCCCACTTTTCTGCATGCGATAGATCTCGGCTAACAGGTATAGAACACGAGAGCGGGTGTTTTGAATGGGAAGGGGAGAGTATGGGTGGCGAATTTGGACCTTGGCACTTTCTCCTGCGCTAATTATATTTAACAATGAACTAGTAAAGAATTAACGAATTTGCTTGTCTGTGCGTTGGTCTCAGTTAGTGCAGAGTACTGTTATGTTAATGCTTGAAAACGAAGCACTTTGTGCTTGCGCGCTGAGTGATATATGCAACTGGGTGTGAATGCTAGGATTGCTTGGAGTGTAGAGCTAGGCGCAGCCTGGCTCTTCCTCTCCCCTCACGTCAAGAGCTCTGAGTGGTGCGAACAGAAGAACGAGGGAGGTTTTTTGCTAGGGACTGACCTTTTTCTGATGTTTCTACAGGGTTTGGGGCTAAGTCTCTCTTCGAACACCCTAAGGTGATCGCTATTGAGTCCAGAAACGTAACATTATGTATATAGTATTAAGCTAGCGCTATTACGGAACAAATAATATATACGAATGATACCGCCAAGTATTTTGAAATGTAAAACTTTAGAGTATACTCACTACCACTGTGGTCCGTGTATATAGGTAGCCGCGGCCGCCAAATCCTGCATACACAGCGAGTAAAAGGGCCTGGGAAAGACCAAATATTACGAATGGGTGCAGTGCTTTAATCTTAGTGCGTTATGGCTAGACTTAGGTTGTTTGTTATTTGACTAGAATGCATTCAATGCGGGTACTTCTTTGCCTTGTCAGGAAAGATGAGAGATCGAGTCTCGCGCATGCAACACTTTGGGGCTGCCTTTGCATGTTTTGAGCCAAATACCTGGCATTTTATTGCACATTTCCCAATGCTATTTATGTAGTTCTTGAGAAGAGACCCAAGTTTGTGCTACTTCTGCATGCTCGCCTCTGCCTTTATTTGTGCTTGAATGAACGCCTGGAGGACGAGTGTCAAAAGGCTTTGGTGCGGGGCGTGAACTTTGCTTCGTACTGTATACACGCCCTCGTCTGCCCTTTAAATTTATTTTGTGAGTACGAGCTGCTGTACTTAAAGCACGGTAAGAGGGGAACTACCTTCGTACTAACCGGCTCCCCCTTACTCGTGCATTCTGGCTGCCTTGTCCTTGTTGGGAGGAATCATGACGTCGAACACCCCAGCTGCAGCACCTACGGGAAGAAAAACCCCGAGTGAATTCCTTCAGAGGGTGCTTGGGGGAAATGTCCTTGTCAAGCTAAACAGCGGGACCATCTACAAAGGTAAGTAAACCAACCGCAGTCAGCTTGAAAATGACGCCCCTCTTCACGACAAATTGGCTCGCTTCCATTAATCATGATAGTAATTCATTATTCAAGCATATTTACGGACGGACTGATGGGATCAAAAGTCTGTTACATCCTGCACTTTTGGGAACTACGGCACCGCTAGTCATGGCAGAGAAAGGATGATCGCATGCCCCGAGTTCGTGTTACACCAGTATGACCGACCTGATAGCAGAGAGCATAAAAATGCCCTTTGTTGTACTTTGCTGTTATCTATGACATGTTGCTTTTGTCGGGTAAAGCAGTCGCATTCGCGCTATATTATAATGTGCATCTGACTGACCCCAGGCACTCTGCAGTGCCTCGACGATAGGATGAACATTGCTTTGGAGAAAGCTCAGCAGTTCTCGGAGGAGCAGACACTTGTTGCATCCTATCCTTTAGCACTCATCCGCGGAAACAACGGTAAGTGCGAATCTCACTTTTACGGCCTTCTCTGTTCTATGCACAGGTGGGAGATTCTCATAGAACTAATAATGAGTTTCATGTACGAGAAAAGCAAAGCCCTTTGCCAGGATTTTGTCCATTCTTATCGAAGCACTTGTTTAGACAAAGCAATGGGCACAATTTGCTTTTTAACACTTCGCGTCCTGTTGTGTACAGTACTTTATATCAGCGCCGAGAAGGAGGACGAAGTGTAAACAATAGTGCTCGCGCCGAGGCGCTGAAGCACCGCCTTGTTATCATGTGATGGCACAAAGACAAGCCAGCAGCTTGCTTTTGTTGCACGCATTCCCTGGCCTCTTTGCTGGCTGGGAACCGTTTGATAGAACAAACAAACTTCTAAGGGTTTTTCTTCTTGCTTCCTGTGTATGCTAAACAAAAGAAAAGCCGACCTCAGACTATTCTCTTGCAAATTCCTGTGGAGAAAGCCAGAAGCTTAGGACTCCCAAATCGTGTCTCTTGAACCATCGTTTCAACGCTTTCTGACAAGCGAAGACTACGATCGTTTGGAATGGCAACGAACCATCGTACATCCAAAAGCTGTCAGTACGGATGCCTCCACCAGCTCACTGGCCAGGGTTTTTATATTAGGTAGGAATGAGGATCGAGTCACTGGGCAGTTAATTTGCATGCTCTTTCACCCATCATCACCCTAGGCCGTTCCCTTTGGGGCGGCGCGAACGCTTCACTACCAAAAGCGCTCAACTACCGAATAATCCACCTGAAATATCTCAACAATAAATCTGGATTGCTCGAAACGTTTACGAAATGCGACCCAGATACATCACCAGTTGGATAGTGATGTGCTGCATGTACAAATTTAATCGGCCTCTTCTGTGTCTCGATGCTTTTTCTTCTTATGTTTCTTTAAGGGTTTTTCCTTTACTTCCTCCTCATCTACATCTCCCTCCCTTTCCACACGCCTCTTCTTTTTTGGCTGCAAAGAAAAGGAGATGCCACCAGGGTTTGGATTAAGCGACCGGTATGGTAGGGCACGATGTTTAGTCTTGCTGTGAACTACCAACGTTTCCTGAGCGAAGAACAGGAACTCACCTTTTCAGTGACACCGCATTCAGCTTCCTCCTCCGCAGCAGCCTCTTCACGTTCCGTTTTGATCACTGGGGCTTGCGGCTCCCCAGTCAGCTTTGGAAGAAAGCCCTCTGTTTTCAGCCATTCCTTTGGTGTATTTTCGTTCGGCCGTCCTTTCTTGTCCAAAAGACCTCCCAGTATCATTTTCTTCTTCTCGGACGCACGAGGGCCATAACCCCAACGCATTGCATACGTGTCCCGATCCATCAGAACGCGCTTCACAGCCGCTACCACGCCATGATCCACGCTGGCAATTACAGAAGTGGACATCTGGGCAACACCTAAGAGTAGGAAATACAAAAGCAAGGCGGCATAGATATACCACGAATTCCAAAGAAAATACTTCTAGATCACTGATCGTTTCCTTGTAAAAACCCGGGGAAACTGGATTTGGCTGTGCAAGAGGTAGAATAGCAGGTTACCATGTGCAATTGCTTCGCCCTTGGTGGTCATAAGGACGACCTCTTCGTTCACTTCTATATTATTTTCAAAACGCAGAACGCCAGGAATCATGAGTTTCGCGCCATAGCAGATCGCGTTGACGCATGAATCCTTGACCACAATGCGCGGGAGGCCAACGAGCAGCATTTCCAATGGAAAGATGATCCTAACGGGGCAAGAGAGAAGCGCATTGAGAGTATAAAACTCAAAACTCTGAATGAAAGTCAGGGTAAATAAGGTAACGCGTTGTAGACACGAGCTTCACATATGTACGTCATGCAGAAAGGGTACATAACCAGTATGAGGGTGCTGGTTGAAGTCCTTACCGTCTCAGATAGGTTTCGTCTCTGAATGCGTCGTAAACATACATTGCATCTAGAACATCATGAAGGGTAACAAGATTCCCATCTTCTTTTAAATTCCCAGTTCTCACTCGGCGTAATTCCTGCATGTGTGCCCCCGTGCCAAGAAGCAACCCCAGGTGCACACACAGCGTGCGAATGTAAGTGCCAGCTTCACAGGAGACACGGAAGACACATAAATGCCTGTCTTCATCATATGACAAGATTTCGGATTCGTAGATCGTCCTGAGGCACAATGCAAACATATTGTAACCCAGCATGCAATGCCTTGGCGGTAGCATTAGAGCACGCATAAAATAGCACCAAAACCCGGTCCAAGCGCGCCCTTCTCTCTTCCGATATCCCATACTGAAGCCTTCAAAAAGCAGTTTACAGAAGCTCCGCTAGATTCCTAATATCTAATTTTCAAACTCCGTCGCACATAATGTGTTATATTCGCTTCATGTTCACGAAGGGGGGACAGCTGACCTGATGCGAAGCTGTCGCTTTACTGCAGAAATTACTGGCGGCCTTTGAAACAGAGCACCCGTGAGCGTCTCTAGGGCCTGAACATACGCAAGCAATATAAGGGTGGCAGTGTTCCTTCCAATGCAAACACGAACACAGAGCATTTCAAAAACAAGTACCCCACAGGCTCATTTCTATTGCTTGTACGATATAGAATGGGGTCGAATGTTGTGGTCCTGGTTTAGAATCTCACCCGTGCAACCTTCGCCTTGCTTTCCGGCTTGGAGTGAAAGCGGGCAACAGCCACGTACTCCTTACCGGCGCTCTGCTGGCTCTTGACAAGACGAGTTGCCCTGTATGACCCACATCAAACCATGAGCCACCTATCCACAACTCTATTTTCTGCATAAGAGAGCAGCTGAGCAAAACTTTATGAGCCAGCGAGGCCACCCGGGAGCTAAGCCGGATTGTAACTCACCTGTTGATGCAAACAAGGAGACAGCCGGTAACCTTTGGATCGAGGGTGCCGCTATGGCCTGTCTTTTCGACCCGCAAAATCTTTTTCAACCAGGCGACTACCTGCATTAAAAACGCAACCAGCCCATCCATGCTGTTAGTAAGTAGGTAGAATAATCAGGTACCGCTCCCCCCTCCCAATTTGCTACAAATGTCAGAAAATTCAACAGAGCCACGTAAAATTGTCTACGGAAGAGATACAGTGGTTCTATGTGTAGAGCAACCAAAGATTGGCCCAGACCTCGTGAGAGGAAGGATTGGCTGGCTTGTCGAGGAGCAGAGAGCCGTAATTAAGGTGCTGCTGAAGCGGCCGAGCGAGTGGGCTGCTGCCAAAAGGCAGGGGCGTGTAGTGGCCGGTTCGCACGTTGAGCCGGTCATAATTCTGTCCATAAACCAACGCGCTCAATCACACGGTTGCATGCGAAGGGGAAAGACTATACCAAGCAGTGTAAAAGAAAAGGGCTTGTGAATATCTATGCAAAAAAGAACGCAAATCGGTTTCACACGGAATTCTCACTTTCAGGAGAAGAGGCCATTTGCTTGTGTCAATGGGGGGCGCATTGCCAGTGGGATGAATTACAAATCCCTCTGCCTCAGCGTTTTTTTTCTTCTCCTTCTCTCCCATTCTGCTGAGATACAGATATTACCAAGCGATTTTCGTGAATGGCTGGATACAATGCGCGTTCCGCTATAACCAGATGGCTCTTACATGGAAGCCTGAGCTCCAGGAGACAGATCACCGCAGCACTACAAAAAAGAATCCAGCTTTAAGACTATGCGTCGGCTAAAGGGCAGAAATCCAGTGATGCGGAAGTATCCAGTTCGTTGATCAGCTCCAGCAGGGCCCGATCTTCCTGCTCCGGCACCGGGGCAATGGGGCTCCTCCTGCTAGTGCTGCATGGAGCCAACGCCCATCTGGATGGCTTAAACAAGCAAAACCAAAAGGAAGCGCGCGTAGAGTGCCACGATAAGCGCATGCACGGGCAAAGCGAATTAGTTGCAGCGGTTGTGGGGCAGCTGGCCCCGAAAATGGTGTATGTTTGCCACTGCTATGTTGAATGGCATCTGCTTCTCCAGCCACTGCGATAGCAAAGGCTGTACCTCTGGAACCGGAGGCTTGTATATTGCTGCTTTTGGTGCCGAATCATGAGCAGCAAGGGCCGCCGCAGCAGCAGAAGGCTTGTACTTTGGGGCTGGGACAGAGATGCCATTGGAGCGCCCCGTAGATCTTCAATGAACCAGCAGCGATACAAATTCTTAACCAAGCATGCAAAATGTCCCATTGCATTGATATCTTTTTGGCCTCTTGCTGAAGCGACTCCCGTATCGAATGGCCCTTTTGCACGAGGGTGCTGGAGAGGCCCCTACTACTTGCACACCCCCATCTCGGCAGGCGTCGCTCTCTGTCTTTCCCAGGGTCGGATCTAGTACTTAAAGGAATCATTTTCCAATTCCACCACTATACGGTACAGATCTGTCGTTTTTGACAGTGTGTAGCTTGCAGTGTACGCAACATCATTCACATGGGGCTTCAGGCGCGTCAGAATATCAAATAAAAAGAGGGTGCTCTGGCTCGGGGCCAAATCCTAGCGATGAACTTAAGCTCCAGCCTGCCTCGTGGCCCTACCGGGTCTCCCGGGGGCCCATCAATAGGTCCCTTCGAAGCTCCAATGTTAGCAACGAACGCACTTCCATCAGCTAGGGGCACCGAAGGGATCATGTCAACGCATGAGTCGCCACAAAATTCACAGTTGCAGCAAGAAGAGGCGCTATCTGCTCAGTTTTGTTTCTCTGGCTACCAGCAGCAACACCTCACCAAAAAGCCTACCTCTCCTGTCTTTCAAAAAGAGCTGGACCACCAGCACCAACTGCCACTGCAACAGGCCCCCCAAAACTTACAGACAGCGGTCTGTGCAAATCGCCGGAGTAGCTCAAACTCTTCTCTGGTTAATCAAGAAAGGCATGCTCACATAGCGAGCAGCAAGATGGTCCTCAAGTGCTGTAGCAGGGGATCTAGCTGCACCTGCCACGCCGATACACGAACTACCTTTAACAGCACTGAGTTTAGCAGGTTTAGCTTTCACAGTACACGCAGCAGCACAGGATCTAATGTCTTCGGAAGCAGGAGATACAGCAGTACAGACTCGGAGTTGAATGCGTATGCGGCTCCAGATCCTAGAAGGGCACCAGGGAAACCTCCACTGGCTTCGCCCTGCGGCGCTGCCGGTGAGCCTTCAACCTTTTACGTGGGGACCGAGTCATGTACAGACTGGGGTGCGATTTCAGCAGACGATGGAAACTGCAGCGGTAGCAGTGTATTTGTCGCAGTGAGAGTACGCCCCATGTGTGAAAAGGAGAGACGCCAGGGAAGTTTCAAAACAGTGACTGTTCTAGATCGGCAGTCCCTAACGGTAACGGAGCTGGGGGCGACCGGGGGACCTCGAGGCAGGAGAGTAAGGAAGAGATACTTTTCATTTGACTGGGTGTTTAGCGAGACAGCTGACCAAGAAGAGGTCTTCAAGGGGTGCACCCTTCCCCTGTTGCAAGATCTGTTCAGAGGAACAAATGCCACTGTCTTCGCCTACGGTGCCACAGCTGCCGGGAAGACACATACCATGCTCGGCACCGAGTCTGCTCCCGGTGTTATGCCCAGGGCTTTGCAGCTCCTCTTTCAGCAGGTGAGGGAAGCACATGCAAAGAGAAAACCCGCTTATATTCATTGAGCATCGGAAAAATGGCGGAATAAATATGGGAGGTGGGGCAAAAGCACTGCACTTGGGGCAAACTGGTGCTTTAGACTAATCTCAAGACAGATTGAGGCAAATAGAGATACAGAGAGGCGTAGAGGAGCACAGAGACAGAGGCACAGCCACACTGATAATCCTACAGGAAGGGGACAAAAACGGTATTGACAAAAATCGATACGATCGCAACCAAGCTGCTAGGCAGAAACAACGCTATGCAGACCAACAAAGACAGTTGGACACAGGAACAACCGAGGCTCGTTTCCGCGCCTTTCTGACTTCTACTTACTATTGATTAATAGAAAGACCCTTACCGCTGTTTCCGATTTTATAAGTTAACACCTCAATACTTGTTGCATGCCCACAAGAGACTTTTGAATGTGCACGCTTCGTTCATGTCACGCTAAGGTTACTGTGCTGTCCTTTTAGGTCTGCAGTGAAAGGCATAGAGAACACACTTTGAGTTGCTGTTTTGTGGAGATCTACAATGAAACCATTAGGGATCTTTTAGGCTGTAAGCCAGAGGTCTGCGAGCTAAGAGAAGATCCAGAGAGAGGAATGGTGCTGCAGCATGCCACAACACATAGGCTTACATCTCCACACCAAGCACTACTGCTGCTACTAGAAGGGAACAAAAGAAGGACACAAGAGGCAACAGACGCCAATCAAACTTCTTCACGCTCCCATGCCATTTTACAAGTAACTCAATGAATCACCCGAGGGACAGCACAAGAGAGAGCGGACCAATTCCCTTTCATCCGGCTTCCCGCGGCTACCCTGCTTCCATCTATCTGCTTCTTCCGCGTTTTCTGAATCTATTCGGTTCCGTTATTCCGTGCTGCCCACCAATTGCGCTCGCTGCTTGCTTCCTCGGTACATGCCTCTTAGCTCCCTAACTCTCTGTCTCGGTCCTTATCTCCATCGCCTTCGATCCCTATTTTCATTTGTGCTTCTTGTGCCTGAGGAGAGGCCAAGGGACCAACAGAGAGGCATGGCAAAATATTTTTGACTATCTACCTAAATAGCTAATAGCAAATGTTGGGATTATTACGGATGCCATTGGAACATAGTTTCACATCATCGTTTTGGCTTATTGCTATGTGTGCATTTGATTTATCTCGCTGCATCTTCCTCGCCTCTGACATCTCTTCTGATAGTCCATTTGGAAGATCCAGGATCAATTCTACCTGTGTACGTGGAGTGTGTGTATGTTGCTACATTAAACTCTCCCAGGTGAATTTGTTGATGAGAGAAGGAGGCACAGAAGAGAGACAGCTAGCCAAGCTGTCCTTAGTCGATTTAGCCGGCAGTGAGCGGGCTTCCCACACAAGTAACTACGGGCAGAGGATGACAGAAGGTTCGTCGTGAAATGTAGTGGCTTTTTTGTGCCTCCCGAAACATCTCCAGGCCTCTATGCTTCTCTTGCAATGGGCTTTCTTTCCTTCATCTAGCTGTCTGCCCATGTAACTGCCTCCATTTATTTGTTAACACGAATAAGTGGTTTGCCCATATCATAGCTTCCACAAGTGAAGGCCGAAGGTGCAGCATAATTCTGTTCCTCTCTCTTCTGCAGTCTCCAGCCATTTTCTAAGCCTACAACCAGTTTGCCATACGCATCAATTAGTTCTACTTTTGCTTATCTGTGTACTTGTCTCTTTTCGCTTATCCTTCTCACCTCAGGTGCGAGCATCAACAGATCTCTGTTGGCTTTGGGCAACGTAATAAACGCCTTGACGGTGCGCTCAGGAACTCCAGGGTGTGCCAGCCTGCGTCACATTCCGTATAGAGACAGCAAGCTCACGCGTCTGCTGAAGGACAGTTTGGGGGGGCGCTGCAGAACAACCATGATAGCGACAATTTCCCCTGCCACGAATCATCAGGAAGAAACTCTCAATACTCTTAAGTATGCCCGGCGGGCTAAAGCGATACGAAACTCCACGCAGCAAATGAATGTACCGAAGCCACAGAGGCAAGATTTTAACACCGACATCGCTGTTGTTGCTAGACTTAAAGCAAAACTCCACCAGCTACAGTGCCAACTATACGAACAGGTAACTTGCCAACAGAGTGCACAACCTGTGGGTCAGGGTTAAGGGCTTCACCTTCTCGGCATAGGATTTGTAGCTGCTTGGGCACCCAAACTCCAAGAGCCCGCTAAGATTTGCGTCAAGCGCTCTGGTTCCCACTTCAGGACTTTTTATGCACGCTCCTTCTTCGATATTTAGATTTAACAATGGCTTGCTCCAATGTATGAATCAATATGACATCAGGCAGCTAGTAGGTTTTGTACGTGCGCTGTTCTGCTCTGTAGACCAGCCATCCCTCTGCGGAAGGCCGCTTCTTACTCCTCGTGAAGGTAGGTGTCGTTCTTTATGCGAAATAAGAGGGTGGAAAGAGAAAAGGTAGCGAGAGGCAACACGAATAGCCTAAAAGCAGCGGAACAGTGCTACCAGCTGAGATGGATGAGGGAATGGGACTTAGACATATGATTTTTGCATTGAATGCGCGCATGCTTTGCCTGCTTGCATACATATTACAGCCATATTCCTGTACGTAGGTAGACAAAAGCCTTATACATATATTATGTACACACGATGAACTACCACTGATCTTTTGATGGTATTACTCGAGCACTGAGGCGCAAATACTCCCCTCTGTATTTCCTGCCTCGTATACGTATTCCGTGTCTGCGGGCACTAAGTACACCGCTTTATCACTTATATCTTCTAATACCCCCTGAGCTGTTGCAGCCTTTCCATATGACTCTGACTTCGTTTCCTTCCTCCTCAACAATTCTTTGTATACGCATTCATCGTTCGTCAGGATCTACACGCGAGGCTTATTAGGAGACGGCGATATTGTGGTGGCCATGCAGAGTCCATTCTGGGCCCTATGGAGACTACACGAGTATGATAAAAGACTGAAGTGTACCGCTAAAGCCTCAAAACACAGTTTTTGAGTGCCGAAGAAGCGCTGCTTCATACACTTCCGTCTGCTTGTCTCTCTTTTGCTGCATTAAGCAAGTCATCAATCTGCTGCCTTTCTTCTTTCTTCTGGCCTTACATTCGTCACATCTAGTTTTATTTCCATCGTTTGATCATTCTCTCCCCTGCATCCCCCTTATGTCCTCTCCTATTTTCTCCCCTCCGTTTCTCCCCGTCTAACGCTGTTACCCACCACTTACTTTCCCCATCAATTGCCTGTGTCTGTACTACAGGCAGAAAATCCTGGGTCCCAGATCCCAGAACAGCAGGGAACAACTACAACGCTGGAATCAGAACCTCAGGCGGCAGCCGAGGCTGTCAATCTCCTTTTTGAAGACATTGATGCACTCACGACTGAAAACGCCCTCCTTACGGTAAACAGACGCACATGAACCTTGAAGCCTACTGTCTCAACCAACAGAGGCAGGCCCAACAGAACTATTCTGCAGATTTAACAGCCAGGCACACAGTCAGAGGGGGGCTCATAAGCATCACAATATGCAGCTAGCTACACGAAGCTCGATACAGGTACCCAAAACAACGAGTAGATAGCAACATAGACATAGGTAGAGGGCGTTTGGCATTAAAAAAGGCAGGGGTATCAACCTAAAAGCATAACATTTTATAAGCTGCTCTTGATGGATGGTGGCCACTCGGGACTACAGGGAAGCACAACGAACACACGCTACGAAGCATAGCGGAAGGAGATGCAGGCATGCACAAAGCATAATGGGTCAAGAGAAATGCCGAGAGATTTAGCAGGCCGAAAGAGCCCTGTCGTTAGTAGTTGCTACACCCTGCGCAAACGGGTTAGTGGCTGGCAGAGTATAAATCGATGGACGGCTTGTGCGGGCTCAGGAACAAGTTGCTGCCCTTCAGGCTAGCCTCAAAGAGAGCGGAGACAGGTTTGCCTTCCTGCAATCCCTGGCACAGCAGCGGCAGACCTACGCAACTGGAGCTGAGCAAGTATCGGGTACCGCAGCAGTAGCAACAGCTGCTGCTACTACTTCAAATGTTTCGGGTGACAAACGCAGTCGGAGAGGCCTCGTGGAAGCACCAGTCGTATCCAGCAACACGAACAGCACCAGCGGCGGTGGGCCTCCACATGAAGACAACGAAATGCAATTGTTGCTGCTCATGCGACCACAGCCGCAGTTGCAGTCATTGCATCAGCAAGATGAGGATTTCGAAGTACCCACAGAGGAGCAAGAGCTACAGGGCATCGACTGTCACGACGATCTGCAACAACAGGCGCAACCACTAGCCTTGCAGCCCCAAGGGCTGATACCCAGCAGAGATAAAATTCAATTTGATGATTACTTTTCGCCCCAAAGCGCAGATGCTACCGACAGCAGCCCCGCAAAGGCAAAACCATCAGCTGTTGCGCTTCTGGCCTCTGCAGCTACTCCTGAGTCGTCAGGAGTTTCTCGTGCGCTTGGATTGGGGCCCTTTCGTTTCTTCAGCAAGAGTAGCGCTCTTAGCAGGCTGTGTAACTCTACTCCAAGCCCTCAGGTGACCGATGCTCCTGCTGCTACAGTTCCCGAGTCTGCTGCTTCGGCTGCTACGGCAGCTGGCAGTACAAAGTTTTGAGAGTTAAAGCCCTCCTGAGGGTTAAAACTTCAGTAGTTGCCGTTCAGCTCCCTTGGATGAATGCTTAGTCTCAGACGGGTTGCATAGGAGGAATGTATATAGGGGAAGATGCCTCTGTCCACACGGTCGGACAGACCAGCTGGTTACGCAGCTGCTAGCCATAGCTAAGTACGTGGCAACCAGATGACCAGCTAACAAACTCTCTAGCTACCAGAATGAACGTGGAGGCATCTGCTGGGGCTGTTGCTGAGATTAGTACTGTTGCTACATGTAGTACAGGCTCGCCAAAAAAGTATACAAGTTCCCTCCCCGAATAAATGGTATAGTGCTATTTGCTTGGCACATGCGGTACCGGGACATCCTTCCTGCGACTTTCGGAAATCTTGTTCTCTACAATTTGCTGGAGATTGGGCTGAGTGAAGAAACAACCAGCGAATTGCAGCAACTGACCCTCCCGCAGACGCTGCTGCGGCTGCAGCCGCTTCTGCTGTTCCAGGATAGCTGCAAGGAACGTCAGCAGGAGCTCGCTAAGCTCGGGATGCGACGCAAGATACCTACAAATAAAGCAACAGACTAGAGGCCGTATTGCTGTATTTCATCATCGTGTCCGTCTTCACGTATCCCCCACCTTTGCTCTATTTATAACTCCCGCTTCTTTTCAGCATTTGCTAAATGCACGTTCGATGCGTCTTCAGCTCGATACGAATTTCTATCAGCTAGCTAGTTATCCAAGCATTTGGCTGCTTAGCCTTTTTGATTGTGAGCTGTTTCCTAAGTGCGATCTTCTTTGGGGTGCTTTACAGCCAAGCGTGTAGCTGACACCCTGTGCTCCTTTTACCTCTCTAACCCTAAGCCCCAGATCTCCCTCCCTAGAAACCCTGTGTGATAGTTTCGTTACTCCTCGTTTTCCATCCTCAGTTTTATTTCGGATGCCTTTAAAGCCTGCAGCTGCTCGGCGCTGAGAGTTGACCGCTGCTCCGGTATAGGCAAGTGCGGCTGCTGTCTCTCCAGCTCCAAAGCAGTGGGGGCGGAATCTGTTGCTATGAATGCTGCTGCGTTTCCTGCAGGAGAAGCAGCTGCAGCTGTTTTTATTTTTTCCCCTACATCCAGGGTGGCATCCTCGGTGCACAACAGAGGAGGCAACTCTGCCATTATCACAAAAGTAGCAATGCAGCACAAGTCCTGCAAGTAAGATTAATGGTTTAAGGCCAGGAAGACTAGAAACAGATGGCGATTTCAAGTCTACACATAAACTTTCAGGATCGGGGTTTGTGGCTACGCACTGCCCCTTTGGAGAGTATTAACGCGATAAACGCCGTACTGTGCTTGCTTTTTAGCGAGTTAGGCTTTAGAGCTTAGAAAATAAAACTTAGAACGTTGTGTTCAAGAGTTGAGGGTACGCTTGTCTTCAGGGGACTCGGGCCCCGCCATACAGGGCTGCAGCCTACGATGGAGGAATGTAAGCACCCTAGTAGGTGATAAACGACGCAGCTCTTCTAAAAAGGCTTTGCGTTTCCTTGACGTTAGGGTTCACGAATAGCGGTTAGGGTTTAGCATTGCACGGTGCTGGAGATAAATAGACCTCAGATCGTACAAGTGGCACGCTGTCGTGTGTGTACAAATATTCCCATGTGGTTTTGCTCATTACGCCAATTATTACTGCACCAAACAATTTTCTTTTTGTTCCCGCATTAGGGGCTTACAGACAAGTGCATGGAAGACGTTAATGTGGACGCGCAATGGTACCGGCGTAAGGCCTGAACACCATGCGGCTAACGCGGCTCGCTGGAATGCTTAGTACCAAGGCTCGGGCTGTTTTTGCTTCGTGCATCCATAGTCCGAGCAGTTGCGACAGCACTATTATTTGCAGGGCCGGCTGTAGCAGCAAGAGCAGCTTCGGGGGGGAACGAAGATGCAGCAGCAGTGCAGCAGCAAGAGCTGCTGCAGATACATGGCGGGGAACTCATAATCAAAAGCAACACCATAAGCAGCGTCAAGAGCAACTGCAGAAAATCAACAACAAGGAGCAGCAGCTGCTCAGCCCATCAGCTGCCAACTGGCAACAACTGTGGCATCACTCAAATTCTCACGCACCCAAGTTCTCGGAAGCCAGGTGTAACAGCAGTAGGGATTGCAACAACAGCAGCCGTAGTACAAATGTAGTCCATGTTGTTCTTCTCAACCTAGGTTCCCCGGCAGAGCCAACATACACAGCACTGTGGATGTACCTGAGACGTAAGCCCCTCTGTGTAAGAATGTTGGTGCTGCTCCTACTACAGTAAACCTATGGTGATTTTGCTATTCTCTACATACTGCTCGTTCCATTGATGCTTTTAGTTTCTGTGCATGTGCCCGTTGCCTGAGAAGGGACACTTGACGCTTGCAAAACCACGGTGCGGTTGCTGTTGTGTGAATATATGTATCCTTCCTCTCTTGCTGCCGCTGATGCAGAGTTTTTAGGAGATGCTCGCGTGGTGGAGAGTCCCCGGTTCTATTGGTTACCATTGTTGTACTTCCTTATCCTCCCTATTCGGTCTCGTAAGTTCGCAGCAAGGGAAACAGTGATCAGGGCAGGAACACCAGTAGCAGCACCACACACAGCAATAGCAGCAGTGTATGCGTATGTTCCCGCAGGTACGTCAGCAGCAAGGTATTCCAAAATCTGGCTCTCTCAGGAGGCCGTTAAGGAGCAGCTTGCTCCTGCCGCAGCTGCTCTGCAGGAGCGGCAGCAGCAGCATCGGGAGCAAGAGCAGTCTTTGCTTCAACGACAATTGCAAGGTGTCCTTCAGGGTGGTTCGGCGTCCCCGTTGTTGGTGCATCATCTGTCGCTTGCGGCGCGGCTACAGAAGCAACTGGACTTGCAGCAGCAGCAGGGGATCCCACGCTTTGAAGTCGCAGCATGCATGCGTTACGGTAGCCCTGACGTCGCTAGTGTGTTGCAGCAGTTGCGGCAGCAGCATCAGCAGCTGAAGCTGCTGCTTCTCCCCCTCTACCCTCAGAGCACAGCGTCGTGCACTGCATCGGCATTCGATGAAGTGTTTTCTGAGCTCAAGAGATGGAGGTTAGCTATTGTACCGCTGCGTGTGATTCTGCTGCTGCGTCTGATACATCCTGCCGCTCCTGCTTCTCCCTATGACGAATTAGTTGTCTGTAGCAGCGACAGGGTCGTACAGCAGCATCGCGAGCTAAAGTGCATCTGACGGTTCTTGACATGGCTTTCGCAGAGTGATGCCGGATTTGCGAATGGTTGCGGGATATTCAAAGCATGAGCGTTACATTGACGCCATCGCGGCCTTGGTGAAGAAATTTTGGGAACAAAACGGGTAGGGGAGCCTTTCAAGTTGCACGCACAAGCTGCTTGCACCCATAGACGGGGAGAGCAGCACGACTGCTTCCTCTACGCGGCGGCCACGCAAAGAGGCATGCCCCCTATTCTGTGTGTTGTACCAGCAGGCACTTCTCGCCGTGGCCTAGCTCTCAGTATTGATTAGTTTTAGGCGTAGAAAGCGTCAGTTTTGTGCGCTCAGGCGGGGCGACCATTTATTATTTTCGTACCACAGCATTCCGCTTGACATGAGCCGCTCGGCGGGGGATCCCTACGCTTGTCTCTGCTTCCAGACGTCTCGACTTGTCGCGGAGAAGCTTGATTTGCAGGTACTGCTCTTGTAGTTTTTGCCTTGGTTGCCTCGTGGGCTCCCTCTGCCCCTCTGCACCTAGCGGTGCTCCTGCTGGGAGTGCTGGCCAGTTCATGCTGTCAGTTGCTGCTCAGCCTGAAGAGTACGAGGTGGCAATGCAATCGAGGACGGGGTGCTCGGCATGGGCGGAGCCCTACCTCATCCCTGTGAGATTGATATCACCCTCAAGCAGCTGCTATTTTGGCAGCTCCTGAGCTTGTAGCAGAAGCACCTGCCTCGGCAGAAGCAGTAATAGTCTTTGCTCTATCACCAGGCTCGAGACATTCCTCCATCTTGTAAAGCCTTATACTTCTGCTTCCTCATCTATCTTTTTTCTATCCATACGCCAGTGTTTTTCCTTCTAGTTTCCATTGCTCTTTGCCAGCCCTCATAGTTTATGTGGCAGCCCGTATTCCCGCACTGATATCTTCGGTCTGTTTTTCATCTGTATGGTTTATTTCCGTGTCATCTGGCTTTTTCCCTCCCTCTTCAGGCTCTGGAGGCACTGGCGAAGGCCGGATGCCTGCAGGTTGACGTGGTTCTGCCGGGGTTTGCTGCTGACTGCCTTGAAACGCTCGAGGAGATTCAGCAAGAGGCCGCCGCTCACTTCAAAGCTGTCACGGTGCGTTTCCATCCTTAGTCAGAAAGGCACCCTACGTGCATCCTTCTAAGATGAAATTGCACTGCTCGACCTATTGCTGAGACGAGACACGACAACCAGACTCTCTGGAGGAGCCAAGGGTGTGCGACTGCCGATCGAGTTGAATTGCCTGCCAGGATGGCGCTGCCACCAAAGTCACTGGTCGTAGTGTGTCTGCGTATGTGACAGGATGGTCGCGGAGAGTTACGTGTAGTGCCTTGTTTGAATGACAGCGACGAGGCTGTTAATCTGATTGAATCTCTTGTTTTGGAGAACACCCAACAGTGGTGGCGGCAGCCCGCATAGGTTCGTGCAATTCGGTCTTCGTAGTGGTATTAAAGGAGTGTGAGTGTTACGAAGCAAGTAGACCCTCCTACAGCCACAAGGACAGCCAGGAATGCGGTTGCTCCTCGTGACCTACCAAGCACCACCACCACCACCGCCACCATCAGCAGCATTTGCGAGCAACGTTCTACTGCATTCGAAGCATGAAAATGATTAACATTTTAGGGCAGAAACCTAGTCTCTGAAGCGAGCTGGAGTGCAAATACCTCTGCCAGAAGGGAACCGACTGTGAATCTACAACAACATTCTTAGCACTACCAGCTGTGTACTTCCATCAATCGAGTTTTTCGTGGCGTTTTTCTCCTTCTGAAGTGCATAATATGGCCGACAAGAAATTCTTGTCGTGTGAGCTGCCTTAAGCATATGGGGGGATTGCATTCTAAGAAGCAATCTTACTCTTTGTGCGCTGCTTTTCCATACGGTCGAGGTACTGAAAATTTTTAAACTTTGCCATTGTCCACCATGTCGTTCTGTTCTCCGCTAAAGTAGCCCACTGGCCTCAGTGCATCAACACCCCGCATGACTAATAGCACCACCAGTTAAAAGTGCATGTGCAGCCACTGCATGCTTGTGGCCAGCCACTTCTCCTTTTCGACACAGTAGCGCTCACGCGATAAATTGAAGTCTGTTGGGGACATATTACTAATCTTGGCTTTCTGTAGAATCAGCATTTGAGGCACTTACTTTGGTGCCGATCTGCGTTATTCGACTGGACAGCAAACGAAGATTAAGCTTGAGTGCGTTAAGCTACACTTCGCCGCATTCTACTGCACTCGTTTTATTTAGGAGTGTAGTATTGAAGGTTTGAACATTGTTCGTTTGCTTGTTTCTTATTAATTGCGAATTAATGTTAGCTTGACGCCTGAAGGGGCAATATCTTGTGCGTTTGAGTTGTATACTACGTGCAATGTGCCACTAGATATGAATGATAAGAGTGCATGAAGAGTGCAGCCACCAACTCGATGACTCTCCCTGCCCCCTCATCAAGAATTTGAGGTGCCGACAGAGAAGTTCAGAGCTGTTTTGAGAGACTTGAGAATTTTCGATTAAGCTTGTATCGAGTCTGAAGCGAAATGTCTTTCTTGGGAGATTAGAAAAAGGTGTGTTACGCTTGGTATCACCGCATGGTCCGATGCAGCTGTTCCCCGCTCATCCTGTTGCTTATTTGGAAATTGTCGGGTTTCCCCACAACGGGTGTCCGGTTTTGACCGTGCTATTTGGTAATTCAATAATTTGATGTCTTTCGCTGCAGCTGGGGAAAATCCTATTTGGCGCTGGACTAGGTCTGCAAGCTGATGTGCCGTAGTTCTACAACTAGTAGACACGCATCATTTGGCAATCAATAGATTTATGGATGCCTCTTTGAGGCCATCTAGACCAGAAAAGCTTGGGGGACGTAAGGATGGAAAGCAACTCAGATTTCCCTGCTTACTGTCTTCAGATTTAAACAATCGTACTCCCGTTGCGGAATGTTTATTGGACAAAGGGGGGCTTCAACGAAGGCTCAATGCACGCAGAAGAATTTGTCTGCCTGCAGAAGCTACCACTGTTAAGCCCTTAATACAAGCCCTGAATCATCCGTTGATGCTGAGATCAGGTCAGCAGCAAGCATTGGAAGGCTAAGGCTGAAGTAGGAGAATTTACCAACCGATCGATGTATAGAGAAATATGAACCTTTGCTGCGTAAAGGCCACAACGCAGATAAAAATCTGCTCTTCTAGTTGCTACCTCGGTTGTACCCAAAGTGGTGTCCCGACAGGAGGTTGCAGGATAACCAACGGCTGAGCCATCAAACAGCCGACCAGGGAAGCTTTAGCAAATGATGGACTACATCAGATTTCAGGAGCCAACCAGAGCAATTCCTGCGTCTTTGACTCACAAGGAAAAGCCAATTTAGAAATTGAAACCTGCGGATATCGGGGCTGTGTTTACCGGCTCTAGGCTACAGACCAAAGCAAACGAAAAAAGAAAGCCACAGGAAATCAGCACTCCTGAGAAGCCCCAGAGAGCCCCGCAACAGCTCATCTACCTTTACTGTGGGACACTAGGTATAATCCGGAGCTGCAATGTAATGCAGAGAGCCAAAGAGCCTGAACAACCGGACTGGGTCCAGCTGACGCAGGCTGCTTGGCGAGCAAAGAAAATGCACCAGGCAAACTTAAAGCACCCGATGCAGGCTAAGGCCTAGTAAATGGGGCTACAGGGGATAGAGCTGCAGTTGAGGACCCACCAAGAATCAAGTCCGCTTTTACCCAAGCTCAAGGTAATGCCTAAGAGTTGGTAGCGTTGCTTGAAGCCCGATGTGAGTGGATCTGTTACCAAGGAGATGACATAGAAGGGCGAATTGCATGGGCATTCGCTAGCAGATCCCTTAGGACAGAGTCCCGAGGACTCCGGTTTGCTGAGGAGCGGCAGAATGCAGAGATTCGCAGTGTCATCAATGCCAAATGATACATTAAATCAAGCGTTGATTCTATTGCTTAGTCCATGACTTCCATGTTGGACTGCACCATGACGTATCCTAGAAAAGGTATGGGCGACCCACACTCCGATGCTGTGGAGATTAATGTGGCGAGAAGCGCCGAGCAAAGCACTCCTTAGGGTCGTCAACAACGATCATTTCATGTTTCGTAAGCGAGGTAGTGCCGTTATCTCAACGAGCTGAGCAGAGTCTTCATGTACAGGTTTCAGCAGCCTAGTATTCCAGGATGTTTCTGAGTCTGCATCTCGTCTTAGCAGCCATGCAACCAGCCTTATTTACTGAGACATTTGACGAGATTTTCAGCCGAGAAAGTGCTCGAGTGACCAAACCTCAAGGAGGAACGCGCTCATGTGCTAAATGTAATGAATGGCTGCCAGCAGGCCGTTCACCTGATGGTCGTCCATCACACCCTCCTGAGCAATTCATGGGTCAGTATTAAGCTTGGTTCGCGGTGCCAGCAACCGGAAAGCATGAAGAGCAGATTGAGCTGCAGGCGGTTGTTGAAAAAGGAGACGTGCAAAAATAGGTTAGCGCCTCTAGGGTTAACCCAGTGTTGGTGGCAAAAAGGACAGGAGCTGGAGCATGTGCATCTACATGACGCCCGTGAGCAAGATCACTAAAAAGCAGAGATCTTAAATGCCCCATATTGGCGAATGTTTTTGCATCTTCCACGGCTCAGCAGCATACTCGACATTTAACTTCACAAAAGTTTTTTACATATCCCTAATCACCCAAAAGACAGGCATTCAACACGCTTCCACACTCGCATTAGCATATTTGAGTATACCTGTATACCCTTTCAGCTTTCTTGACCAGCAATGGCAATTAAATCTGAATTTCTAGAAGCCTATCAAGGACGTGTGGATGGCTGCTTGCCTTGACGACCTCTCGATATTCAGCCGAGCGCAAGAAAGCACCAACAGTATCTACAACCCCTGCTCCAGTTGTTGCTGAACAAGCAGTGCCATGGGAAGGAACACAAACAGTAGTATGCATGCGGAGAGCTGCTATTATGGGCTTATGTGCATTGAATTCAAGAAATGGGCCACGTGTGGCAAAAATCGGAGCAGTCACGGCGTAGCGCTCTTTTTCGCGTAGCCGCAAGAGCGTTGTCAAGTTCTATTGGCTAGCATTATAGTACCGAAATATCCTTTCTAGACTTGCTCAGATCCCTGCTCCATACGGCTGTCTGCTTAGGAAACCACAGTATGCGACCTGGACAAACGATGATACTGCCGCACCAAGAACGCCTATCCACTCTAGCACTTCCGCTGCTCGCAAGTGCGTATCGTTGCTTGCTAATAACCGATGCTTGTGACGTAACGGTGGCTCCTACTCTCTCCCACCAAGCTACGGGCTCTCCAATACATTGAATCATTGCTTTTGACTTTAAGGGCTTCATCGAGCAGCATCATCTCGTGTAAAAAAAGGAATCTCTTTGCTGTGTGATGAGGTATGAAAAATGCCTAGACATGTTACGTGGGCGCCCTGTAGCTGTCTTGACCGGCCTTCAGTCTTTAAGGTTCCTTCCAAAGAGTTTTCAAGCCTTCTATAGTCCTAGAATTGTTTGGTGTCCTGCGTTCCTCCTGTGGTAGCAGCAGTCACGTATATCAAGGCATCACCAATGGGTCGCCGACCCACCCTCGCGACGCCCTAGCGATACACTACGCCGTGGCGCAAGAGATCTCGTTTGAGATTATCTACAATTCCCGTCGATATTATGTGTGCCTCATGGTTTTGACAGTCATGCTTCCGCTAATCCTGCCAACATCCAAAATGGAAAAAGGCGGAAGCGCTATTGCGTTTAGGACCTGCTATGCATCAAAACAAAGCGGAGACCTCGTCGCTTGAAGCTTTCGACCTCACTCCGAAGTGCTATCTTGCGCAGTCCACGTGATCTCGTTTTCTTTAAGCCACGGTGGGCTGCACACTACATTGGGAAAGCAATGGCGGTCCTTTTGGTCGCCTGGCATGCGTCTTGCGGCAGAGCCGTTTGTACTGTCATGCCCAGATTGTCAGTACCTGAAGCCATGCAAAATTCCCTAGCCCCGCGTTTTGTAAACCCGCCCAGATACTGAAAGGTGACTTAGACTGTTTTGAATATGGACTTTGTTGTTGGAACTTCCGAAGGGCCAGGGTCAGGATGGCACCTACTTCATTGTGGATAGACTAAGCAAACACGCCCAATTCTTCTAGTTGCTTCAGCTCTGACACTGCTGAGGATGACGGTCGACTGATCTTTGCCCATTTGTAGACGCTCCACTAGCTCCATAGTAGTATTATTCTAGAGGGGGATCAGAAACTCGTTAGTGGGTTCTGGAGTGCATTCATGGCCTGCTTATGCAGTGACAAATAGGACCATTTCGAACCACCCAGAGGAACGTGGACACACTGAGCTTCGCAAAAGCGCGCTTCTGCAGTGATTGAGATTTAAAGCTAACAACAGTCATATTGCTTTGCTTGATATTATTCCTTGTATTGAGGGAGTTTATGATGCAGGTGTACACTTTTAGGGGGCCTCGGCACTTTCTACTGCATTGGTTGTAATTAACCACAAATTAGTAGAATATTGGCAAATAGGCTTGTCTGTTCATATATATTATTTACTGCAAAATAGCGTCAGCTCGATACAATTAGATACAATATTAGTGCATGTGCGCTAGATGCTACATGGAACCAGTTGTGAATGTTTGGAGCCTCCGAGGGTGCAGCTACGCACAGCCTATCTGTTCCTCTCCCTATGTGCCAAGAAATCTTCGACGTGCGACCAAGAGAAGAAGGGAGCTCTTCTTAGATAACCAGTGACTCTCTATAAGGTTTTAACGAGGTCTAGAGTCAAGTGTTTCCCTGTGAGGACCATCGCTGGAGTTACAAAAGGAATGGAGGGATAGAAACACGCGTTGGAGTGAGGGAGCCACTCAACGACGCTTTTCTAGGACTCACCTTTATAAGTTATATGCGGAATCTGATCGTAGCTTCTGGACGAAGTAGAGGATACCAAACGTTCGTAGAACCATTGCTGCTTGCGGGGTGCGGACGTACACCGTTTACAGTTGCTGTTCTGGATTTTTTGACAGTAGGACTAATTAGGAATGTTTCCCGACTAGATAGTTGCGGTACTCTTTACTTACATCCCTGGCTCTTAAGCACCCAATGATAGGCAAACTCACTGCGCTTGCTTTCATGGTACTACTGCCGGAACGAGTCTCAACTCAGCAAGTAGCAGCGACTTATGGAGCCAATGTATGTGGTTCACTGGCTTTGCTGGTACTTCCTGCCTTTAGATATCTGTTTTTACAGGAAGGGGTGCAAGTGATGCACTTTTAAAAGCAGATCTATAGTATCAAGGTTTAGGTCACTTCGGGAAGGCCACGACACACCGCCGGGAGTTATATAAAAGAAAGTTAATATGTTTGCGTCTAACCCATGCAAAAATTCAATCTTACGATATATGGGACAGGTTTTAATGAGAAGCTGTAGCTCTGTTGCCTTTAGCTAGATTTCAGTATGGTATTCCCTGTGCAAACAGGGCTCCGATGCTCCGGAATCCCGCTGTGAAAGAAATGCAATAATGTACGATTCCACAGACACTCTCCTAATCATCACCAAAAATTACATTGTACTACATGTGTGTTGAAGAATAATTTAAGCTGCTCATTATTCTCTCCTTGTGTTTCTGAACGTGCCACGTCGCAAGACAGAGCCTTTCTAGTGACCATCTCGGCGTCGCTCCACCAAGAGCGAGTTATGTCGATAAAAGTCGCTATTTTGATGTATCACCTATATAAACGGGTCCAATCATGATAAATATCTATAGAAGTAAGGGCTTACATAACAACGCCTCCTAAGACTCACACAAACAGCAGCATCTCCTCGCACCACACGGCAGGGCTCTTGCTTTTTCACTCCCGTATCAGCATCTTCATATCCAATTTAAGGATTCGAAAAGCACCCAGCACTGTCGGCATGGCTCTAAACAGCATGTTATATTGCATCGATCTTAGTTGCATGCCACAGCTCATTCATTTCTGCCCTCGTGGAGGCGCATGCGAAGCCTTTATCTGCATTCACTTATCCCCGCGAAGCCGGCTGCTCTATTTGCAGAAGGGAGGGCCATAAGCAAAACCACTATCAAATATACCGTAATACCTCTGTTCATGTTTCTTTCGTTGAGCTTTAGATAATTTCTGCACAGCTTTAAAGTTGATTGCCCTATAATATCAGAATGGTTTTACATGCAGACGAGAGCAATGGACACGAGTATCCTCTGCTCCTAGACAGAGTGCGTCGATATGTGTTTGCGCATTCCGTACGTCTTGTTGATTTCATGAAGCCATTCGACCACCTCAACCATGGAGAAATCTCGGTTTCCCAGTTTCATAGAGCCCTTTGTGCCGCTGGGGTTAGGCTAACCGACACAGAGGCTGACTGCCTAGCCTTGTCACACGAAAACAGAGCAACTGGGAACATTAAGTTTAACGAATTTTGCAGAGAAGTCAACAAAGTCTTCGGAGCAGTCGAAATGAAACAAGATTCAGAAGTTGTGGCCCTCCAGCCAGGTTAATCCCAATGCACAACAACCAACGAATGGGGTCAAGATTAAAAGCAAATGACGTTCTGCTTGGGCAAAGCAGGAGAAACGAAAAGAGCTTATTAGCTAGGCAGACTCACGTGGCAAAATCTAATATCCAAGCTCTAGGCTGCCCTCAACTTGAGTCATCCATTAGATTCACAGCACACTCCCAAGTCATCCTTCCTCCCCTACACTTCATTCCCTTCCGCACCCCTACGGTACCTCTATGTTCCTGCTGCCCTAGTCCTAATTTTCCGAATAAAATATAATGACAGACACCCATCTAACTCTTGCATCCATCGTTCTGGTTCTCCCCGTGCGTCACTTCTGCGGCGTAAAACTGTGCAGGAAGTGTGCTGTTGCCTCTTCCTAAGGCGCCACTGGATCCATCAGAGTCATCCCTTGTGCATCGAGCTCTTGTGAATTTGCGGCTTTTAAGTGCAACACGACGCTTAGATTTACGAGCTGCCTTTGCTCCTTTTGACAAGCACAATACCGGCAAAATCCCCCTCGGTGTCTTCGAGAGGGCTTTCCCTGTTTCCTTTAGAGAAAGTGAGAGGCCCGTTAATCAGAAAAACGCTAATTGCACTGATTTTTATGCCTTGGGTTGTAAGGCGGGCTTAAGGCAACTGCCACAGCTTTCTTACAAGCATACTGACAGCTGTGAAAATAATTTTAATTTCTTACTTAGCACGCAGAAATAGAGAGCTTTCTAAGTAAAATTGCAGTTGTTAATAAGCTTTGCAGAGATAAACCCGCTAATATGGGTGATGAAATGTATCGTAGACTTCACTTAGTGTGTTTGGTGTTGCACCTTTGAATGGTACCTCCGCTTGTTTTTTCATCGTGTTAGTGTGCTGGGTGGCATTATCTTCCTGTTTGTGATTACTTGTAAACATACTTCTTTTCTCCATCTGATGTTGATATTATAGTTGTTTTGGAAAATGTTTCTTTCCAATTCTATATTTTGAGCTCAGACAAATTTACAGAAGAGGAAGTTCGACTGCTGGGCAGACTTGTCACAACTCCGGAAGGCCTAGTAGACTGCCGGAAACTGCGTCTCCTCGTTGAGGGGCCCCTAGAAGAAATACCTTTGACGCAATCAGGTACCCCTTCGGGAACCCCAAAGGACTTCACAGTAACTCAAGGAGCTACCAATATGACTTTGGGAACATCTCAAACATTCCATGGGGCAACTGGAATGCAAGAGTGTGAAGAAAATGGAGGAAAAGAAGCCCACTGCTCTCCTGAAACACCGACAAGGACGTGGGCCCACGAACTGAGGTCCGCTGTTCAAAAAATTGAGGCAAGCAGATTATTTGTTTAAAGCAGAAAACCAAGGGAGTAGTGCTGATGTTTTAGAGTTCGCACCTTGCCTGACTTAAGTCCGTCGCTGTATCCTTCCATTCTCCCATCTTATCGTTGGCATGAAACAAAATCAAATTTTATTCGTAATCAAATATACAATGAATCATAAATTAGCAGCTGCAACAGGGCTCCGTATGAGTGAAAAGTCAGCACAGTAAGGTCATTAAAGCATGTGCTTCAATTTTCACGGCTCATAGCATTACCTGCATATGCCACCAAGACCAATGCAATAGCTTGGTCAATGTATTTTGTTGCAGACGGCCGTGGTAGCAGGCCAGCTGCCTCTGAGAGAAAGTTTTAGGGATTTCGATAGTCTTAGGAGGGGTGTTTGCTCGAGGGCCCAAGCAGAGTCCGTTTTTATTTCTGCACTGAAGATTCAGCTGGACGAAGTACGAATGAGATCACCCCCCCTGAAATATTCCTCTACTTAAAGGCAGTGGAATTTTCGCCTCCCTGTCTAGATTATGCAGGAACTCGTATACCAAAGAAGTTTTGTGGGAGCAAGCCAGTTGGTCGAATTCGGAGAGCTGGATTCATAAGCTTGCCTTCTCTTTGCTGGGGCCTAGAGTAGTCCAGCAGATGTAGAAATCAAAAAACAGGCAATAGCATTATGAGACAGTAGAACAGGGAGGGGAATATAAAAGCAGCAGGTAGTGGCATAAACGGGGGCCAGCAACTATGAGAGAGGCTGAGGATCCAGACAAATGCAGAGAGATGCCAGTACATTTAAATTTCGCGTTTAAACGGCTACTACGCAGACTACAAGCTGCTGGGTTATGTTGTTCTGTTGGGCTTTAAATGAGAAGTAAAGAGAAAGTAGCAAGCATTGAAACCGCTCTCAGTGTTAAGTGTAGTTGTTCCTTTTAGTGCACAGAATCACACTTAGGTGTTTCTGCTTATCTGCTTGAAACACGACGAAACACACACATAACTGTTTGCACACTTCCTGTCTCTTCAGTTCTAGACATGAGTGAGGGTATGCGTAAGTTTTGTGTGTTTGGCGCAGAGCGATTGGCGCAGTCTTTTCCAACAGTTCCTTCGACCTGATGGAATGTTCGCCTACGACTCACTATGCAGACACATTGAAAGCAAACTTGGAAACCCTGTATGTGTGCACAGCTCGACACAAACGCACTTCGAGGAACTAGTAAGACTCTAAAGGGGTCCTTCAAAGGCCTGAGTGAGGCTCCAGAAAAATCGCATGAGGACCATAGGCCTTCAAAAAAACCAGCTTGGGGTAGTTTGCCACTTAAGGGAACGCGGAAAGCCTTTCAAAAGCCTGAAAGGTCTGAGAAAAGGCTCTACTGTGGCCCTTTGAAACCTTTGATGTTGGAAAGGTGATTAGTGCGTCAGTACAAATGAGAGTCTTCATATAAGAAATGCTCTGATCACATTTGCGCAGCCTTCTCAAGGCTGTGTCGTACAATTTGGCGTGCAGTGCTAATGTTATTTTCGAGCTACTGCATCACTTTTGCTGTGCTCACTGTATTATTTTGAACACAAAGCTTTCATGAAAGCAATAATGGTACGCGAGTGCCCGGTGCTCCTTCGCACGTCTTTCCGGCGGCGAGAATCCCACAATTCACGGAAAAAAAGGAAACTGTAGTTGAAGCATCTGTTTTCTCAGGAAGCGGAGCACTATCCAGTGCGGGTAGTCCCTGTGCCAACGCCTTCTGAACTGAGAATTGCACAAGAAGACAAGGCATCAATGACCCCTGAAGAACTTGTCAGCAACCTAAGGGTTATGGCGGAGGGTTCAGCAACCAAGATCTACGGTGTAGAATGTAATGTGAACAAATTATATTACGGAGCTTGAGCTAGTGTCAAAGCTTCGGGTTCTGGGCAGCCAAACACTCTGCTTATACGCTTTGGATCCTCTGTATGACGGTTGGTGGCATGGCTGTCTAGGTTCGCCTAACGACGCTGAAGAACCGCTTAAAGTGCCAAGTCCAGCAGACTAGAAAGATCATGCTGCCGACTTTTCATGACTTTGATAAGCGACGGACGTACGTGAGAGTGGAAGTACTCAGAGTGTAAACCACAAGAAAAAGGCGAACGAGTACACTGAACCAAGCAACCCTTAAGATGACCCAAAGCCAATTAATACATTCAAAGCAACACAATGAGCTTAGATGCTGCTTAGGGATACACATCGAGAAATGCGATCAGCAGCATGTAAAGGCAAAGGCACCAAACCAGCGCAAGAACTAGAAAGAGATGTAGTCCCATTGTCAACATAGTCTTTTATTCCGAACGAATTTACATGCATTGCCGTCCTCTCATTCTATTGATCCTGGCTTCCCCTTTTATTTATCAATAATTCCCTCTTTATCCATTCAGTTCCAGTCTGCGGGGATTTTTTCTCTGTGTAGGCAGCATGTTACCCGTTGGCAATTGTGGCGGATTCTGGGGATGCTGGATTTGCCTGTGACAGAAGAAGAACTCGATTTGGTCTAGCTCCACCTTTTACAAGTGTTTTAGAACAAATGAAGCATTGTGGAATGAGATAGGCTGTTATCTTTTCCCCTATCACAGCTTGCTTTGTATCTAAACTGATAGAAGGCAAGACACAAAAGACCCATGGTGACAATGAGGGCAAAACTAAGGATGATGAACAAACACAAGATACTACATAATAATCCATCGGTAGATAAGACTCGTATTTTTACTCCTGTGTTTTCGCATTGTGGCGCTTCTGGTTTCTTCTGTAGCTCTGCCTCTGGTTGTGCGACAAGGGCAACCTACAGGAGGTCGCGTACCGCCCCCTTTTAGCCGTTCTAGATCCCCCAGCTAAGGAGCCCCTGCAAGAAGAAACAATACAAGAAGGACTGAAGGAATCTATATATTATAAGAATGGTCCGACGCATACACTTTCAGGCGAATTGTTCAGTGCATAGGATAATACAGAAGAAAGCAAGGGATTAGATACGGACAGATAGAAAGACACTCACAGACATCTACGAAGAAACAGTCAGTCAGTTCGATAGAAAGCGTATTTCAAAGCAAGAACTCATAGGGGCGTGAAGGAAATGCAGGCGAATAAGGGGAGGGGCGTACGCAAGCATTCATGACGCATAGAGCCATGCGCATAGAAGAAAAAGTGCAAGTGGATAAACCTGGTAGCTGAAAGAACAAACTTCTGGTTAGCAAGCTTTCGCTGGATAGAGAAGGCAGGCAGGAACAAGGAGAGGGCGAGCCTCTGATTTCCCAATATGCGTGTGCCGAACTTTGCTTAAGCTGCCGTTACACAAGGCTAGATGAAATACCAGTGAAAGGTTTTTCACTAGTAGCTGCAGTTAACACCACACTTGTTCAGACAAGAAGCCTGCTGGTTGCACCGCCTGTCTATCTCAGGAAAAATCGTGCCACTCGCCGAGTCCATGAAAAAAAACCAGGAAAGCATCCAAAAATAAGCGGGAGAATGTGCATCGTGCTATCTAGTCCTTTCCTCCCCTACCCCTTCCCTTCTACTTTCCAGTCCTTTCGCTTCGTCTCTTTACTACCTGCCCCCGGCACAATGCTCTAACTCCTCTCTCAATCCAAGTGTGTTGATATGCATTATGCTCTCTTTCTTGGTTAGCTTTACTTCACTCCCTATTCGTCCTTACTTCCCATCGCGGTTCCGCTTACTTCTACCCAGCCTCGACATAAGTGGCCTGGCAACTTCTCTGCCACAGAATGTAACATTGGCAAAAAACAGAGGTTTGGAGATTGTTCATGTGAATAAAGACGAACGTAACGTGCCAAAGCCTCTATGAAGAGGCACACGTACGCGTTCTATCCTTAAGACTTTGTAGCGAAAATTGGGCGCTGATATCTCCCGAAGCCTGAAGGCAGCCACTTTCTAAACCCCAGCAATTTGTGGCTGCGGCACTGCACATACGGTCCCATGCGGTAAACGAACTGCAGGAGGTCAAATGTATAGAAAAGTAGGTCTGAGTCTCGAACCGCCTCTGCCAATCATCCGGGGTGTAGAGAACTATTTAGTTGCTTCAACAAGGTAGGCAATCAGGTTGGCTCTTTCAGTCTCCTTCTTGATCCCCGCAAATACCATCTTCGTGCCCGGAATGTAAGCCTTGGGGTTCAAGAGGTACTCCCACAAGTGCTTCTCGGACCAGACGATGCCGCTGTTCTTGTTTGCGTCGCTGTAGGGGAAATCAGCAGAGCCAGAGGGCTTGCCCATAAAGCCGAACAAGTTAGGCCCCTGTTTTGTGGCTCCGCCTGTGTACAAACAAGATAAAAAGATCTATGTTGGTGATGAAGGACCACAGAGAGGGAGGGAAGACGAACAGGGGATATCGGCGGGAGGGTGAGTAACACTATGGAACATGGGGAAGCGATGGAGGGTAAGTGGGAACACCCGGAACAAAACTAGGCAATACAAGCTCAGTGTAGAAGATGAAAGAACTGCATTATAGTGAGGCGTGACAAACACATGCCGGGCGGGTTAGCGCATGTGGCCAGAAAACGCGGTCCAAGGGAAAATTCAGAGTAGAAGAATCAGGGACAGTTTTCGCCCTTAAACAATGGAATCGCTAAACGGCGCTTCAGAGCTTGAACCGGCGCAAAAAACGACGCCTACAACTCAAACGATCCATGAACCCCCCTTACCCTTGCCCATGAAGCAGCCGGCCAAGGTTCTGCGAGTCACCACCAATTAACGAGGGATTCTGGCAATCACACGAAGGAAGCTCCCCAAAAACAGCAGAATTAAGCAAACGAAGAACCTCTTACCTTTGTTAACAGTATGGCACTGTGCGCATTTCGCCTTGAAGACCTTAGCCCCGGCCTTGGGGTCCCCTGCAGGGACAGTCACATCGGGCTCGGCGCGGGCCATCTTGCCGCTGAATCTAGTTGTACAAGCAATGATTGTACTACCCTTAGAATAGTAGCCCTCAAAAATATACCGTTTAACCACCGTCCTTTCCGCAATCCCCGCCAGTCGGTGCCGGCGACGCCATAAGTGTACAGGGGAACGCATGCACAAGCCCGGTAGCTCATGACAGGATGGGAAGGTTTTGGTTAGTAGCCACCAGCTGAAGCAGAAACCCAAGGCATTATACTTGCTTGGCTTATTCGTTAAGGCATTTTGGATTCGTTTTGCTTTCTATGCAGGTAAATTTCGCTCTGTATGCCCCAGAAAAATGTTGTAGCACTCTTCTGTTGAGGCTTACCCGTGTTGAGCCTCTCTCGCAAGAAAAGATACAAGTATTCTTAGCTTGGACTGCTCCCAGGTCAAAAGTCATCGACCACACCATGGCAATGGGTGGCTGTGAGGTCACAACCAAATGCCCCGCACACCAAACCCTGCAGTGGGTGAAAACGGTATTGGACTTATCTACAATATAATACCAACTTTACAGCCTGCTTCTTGTAGCTTGCATGTCCTTAATTTCATTCTGCTCACATATTCAAGGGGTTGTTATCCCTGTAGCTCCATTAAGGGACTCCAAGGTAGACGCCTTTAGGCCGAAACCCATCATGGACTTACTAGAAAGTTGTTGAATGCCCTCCTTCCAAAAACTGGTTCCTCTCACCAAACCAGAACCGCTTAAGGTCCTGGCTTTATAAGAGAGGGACAATTAGAGTGCACACAGCTGCACCTTCTATAGCAGGTTAGGAAGATTTAGGCACACTACTACTCGTTATGCTTAACTAAGAAATGGTGAATAGTTCACTAACTGGTGCTAGTATTTCTTATTTATTGCGGAGTAGCTTCTACTTAGAACAAATAGTCGCAACACTGTGTGCTTGTGCGCCAGATGATATGGGGTACCAGCTCTGAATACTCTGACTGCTCAGAGGGTGTAGCTACGCGCGGACTAAGTGTCTCTTTCCCCCCATGCTGGGACCTGTGATTGACGCAAGTAGGAGATAGAAGGAACTCTTTTGATAAACCCTTAGTAACTTTCTATTGGGCTTGTATTGTGTCGGAAGTTAAGTGTCGGTCCACGGAGACTTTTGATGGAGAATTACAAACAAGATGTGCCAGTACGCCCTGTCAGCAGTCGGGGGTTCCATGGTATGTACACAATCTGTGCGATTATATCCCAAGAATAAAGGGAACCTGGAATACTGCTATTATGATCAGGAATCTAAGTTACAATGCAGGTTCTGATAAGTGCTACCAGCAGCTGGTACTATGCGTCACGATGCACTGAAAGTCGCGCGGAAAGCAGGCGGTGGTAAAAGCAAGGGAATATGGGTGAAAAGTGTGAACTTATGCGTCTGATAGTAACCTTGGTTGTAGAGCACAGCGTATGACACTTTAGAGCCACACCTACTCTCCATGGCAAGGTTTCAGTGTTTGTAGGGAAAGTTTCCCGCTAAGGCTGGAAGTTGAATGAACGTCGGAGTAAAGTCGTACTTTGTGGTAAGGCCTGGTGGTGGGCTTGCCTCTCACATGCCTTGGGGACTAGATTGTTGGGCGAAGGGCCCAGTAACAGCTTCAGTATGTCTCGCCTCATCCTTGCTCTCTGCTTGACATCTTTTATCTTACTGATGAGCGATCATTTTGCATCCATCTAATTTGTTGCATATCATTTTGCGGCAAGATTTCGGTGCAGGAGGTGGCTGCCTGAACAGAGATGAAGGGAAAGAGACGAAGTACCGGTGCGCCGTCGCCGTCCACCTCCGACGAAATTTTACCTCAACCTTCGTCTCTTTTTTCTTCCGCTTTCTACGTTCTCCATCCTGCAGTTGGGCAGCTCAAGAAAAATCCATGCAGCAGAATTCCATGAGGGAGCAAGGTCGCGGTTCTCCTGTGAGAAGTTGTCTTCTTCTCATCGTTGAATTGACGTCACGCACGCTCCTGGGAGCAGGGAGCAAAGGTCCAGCTGCTTTGAGAATGCAACTAGCTGCATTATGAAAGCGCGTCAGATGGCCGCTGGCGGTCCCGCATACAGACACTTGTGGTAGGCACGCGTTGCTGGCGAATTTTTTTCTCCAAAGAGCCATGCGGCAAACGCTTAAGTATGCTCACACGAGACTTGGGGTGACACGATTCATACTACGCCGTCAATTAGAATAAAACTTAGGTCATTTTCTGCAGACGAGCATGCGTCGATTTAGGTTGCCCTGGATGACTGGACAGACCATTGGGAAGCATCGAAACGGGCGCGTCAAGCGACTTGTTACTAAATTATTATTCATATATTAGCTGCCAACGATTTGAATTCCAGCTGATCGACAGACAGCCTCACATTCCACGTCACCACACGAAAAGAACCTAGGGAACTCTACGTCGCCTAGCACTGCGTGCAGGAAGATGAATGCAATGAAATAACAAAAGTAATAGTTGCAACAAAAAGGTTCATAGGTCATTAAATTGGTACGGCTTAGAGTGCATCAGTATGTCGTCTTGTTTGTGCAGTTTCACTCCCCAGTACCTTAGCTGCTGACTCCGAGAGGGCCCCCCGATAGGGCCCCTGAAGAAGGGTGTCTTCTCCTAACGGTTTACTCCAGACCAGTTCGGAAAATCGCTCCTAAAGATGCAAACTGCTCTTTTTCCCAAACCCTAAGGCGCCTTTCCGGCGTTTAAGGGGGCCTTTGGGGATGGGGATTTCCAGGCCTTTTTCGCAAGGTAAGTGTGCCTCTGGGATGGAAAGGCGGCCTTTGAAGTGGCAAGGAGGCCTCTGAGAAGGAGGCCTCTATGGAGGAGGCCTTTGAGAAGAAGGCCTTGTTCTTGAGCCGCCTACGATGATCAGGGCCCCCCCTTACCGCGTTCGGCGCGCGCCTACCCACCATATGCATCTTATCGGCCTTACCGACTACTATACCACCGTGTCGCTGTACACTGCGCAAACAAGCGTGCGAACGGAGCCGCACACCCACAGACGTGAGCGTGCGATGATGCAGCAGCAGCGCCTCTTGCTAGTGCTATTGCTGGGGTTGCCCGCTGTCTTGCCGAACGCCACTTCCTTCATGCTTCTCGCAGCTTCACCCGGCACGCACACCAGCATTTGCCGAAGCAGCATCAGCAGCAGCGGCAACAACAAGAGGAGCACAAAGCAGGTCCCAAGAAGTATTTTATGTACCCACGCACGCTTCCTGAAAGCACCAGCACATAGCCTCCGCAGCAGCACCGACAGTACCGCAAAAGAAGGAGGACGAAGCACCAATGGCCGAGGCAACAGACCGCTTTATGCTGCTGATAATGGCTTTTCTGAATGGCAGCAGGCCTCATCCTCCCGGAAGCGGGTGTTTCTGCGGCAGCGATTACAGGAGCTGCAGCACGAGCTGCAGCAGCAGCACGGCGCCGACAAGCAGCATCAGCACCTGCAGCATCAAATCGATGAGGCTTTGAGCAGTGCAGCGGCTGAAACTGTTGAGGAGCCGTTGTCAGAGCAGCCCACCCAGCAACTCCAGGGGAAACCACACATGGAGGTGCGCAGTAACCGCCTCCAGTCGCACCAGGGGTCACCTGGCAAGGACTCCCCTCCTCCGCCTCCGCATAACGTCCTTCCGCCGGCAGGAGAACTGTATACGCATGTTCAGGAGCCACTTAGTTCTTCCTTGCTGCCCTTTGATGTTGCAGTGCTGGGGGGAGGCCATGCAGGCGTAGAGGCTGCAGTGGCCGCCTCGCGTTTGGGCCTGCGCGTTGCGCTGATTTCGCCAGGAGGCATGGCTTCAGTCGGAGTTCTCTCGTGCAACCCGTCTATTGGCGGCAGCGGGAAAAGCCACCTTGTTTGCGAGGTAGACGCATGCGGGGGCCTTTTAGGCCGGGCAGCCGATATTGCCGCAGTGCACTGGAGGGTGCTGAATGTCTCGAGGGGTCCTGCTGCATGGGCTCCTAGAGTGCAGTTAGACAGGCGACGCTTCGCCGGCTGTATGCGGAGGTTTCTGAGGGCGTTCCAGCCTTCCCTGACTGTCGTGGACGCTGTCGCGGAAGACGTTCTCACGGAAACTACGGGGCAGCAGCCGCAGGACACAGCGCAAGGAGGGTGGCTGCAGCAGCGGCGACAGCAGAGGGTATGCGGCGTGCGGCTGAAGGGGGGAGCGGAGCTCGAAGCTTCAGCGGTTGTCGTTGCGGCAGGCACCTTCTTGGATGCCGTTGTTGCCGTGGGTAGCAGCCGAGCAGAAGGCGGCCGCATGCATTCCAGAGCAGAGGCTGCAGTCGCAGAGAACGCAGCCGCTCTGCAGAAGCCGATGCAGCGCGCCCGCCATCACCAGCAGCCCTTGCCAGACGCCATCTGTGACGTGGAGCCGGCAGCGAAGTGCCTTGCAGCATCGCTGCAGAGACTCGGCTTGCATATGACGCACTTCAAGACGGGTAGGCTGCCTGGCATCAAGCGAGTGCGATGGAAAGGAAATTCTTTGATAGGCGGCCACTAATAGGACCCCTGCGTTCGGAGGCACAGGTGGCGCGGCTCACGCTCTACCCCAGATGCCGCCTCCTATGTGCTTGAACTCACTTAGTGCAACATGAGGCATCCGTGGAAGGGAGAGTGGGAGAGGGTGACAGGGGGGGAGGGGGGCCTCCTGGGGACCTCAGAGGCCCCCCATCTGCTTTAAAGGGTTTGCTTTGCGCCCTGCACGAAGGCCGAATGGCGCTCTTGTGAAGCCTTGGGACGGCTGCAATTGTGGGTGCCTTTGGCCGTTCTCGCCGCCTCTTCCGAGTCCTTTCTTCTTCATGGAGCGGATACCCCTGCTGCAATCTGCAATCGTGCATGCTGTTACTGCTGCTGCGCAGGCACACCCGCGCGTCTCCTGGGCACGTCTATAGACTTCTCTCGCCTGCAGCGTCAACCGTCAGATCCAACGCCTCGCCCCTTCTCAGGAGCACATACGCCTGAGCAGCTGCGGCGGAGGAGGGAGGCCTGGATCGAGTGCTATATAGGGCGCACGACCGACCAAACCAAGAAAATCGTTCTGGAACACTTAAAAAGTCTTCCAGTGCATCTAGGGGATGACGGCCAAGGCGTCGGGCCCAGATATTGCCCTTCCATTGCTAACAAGGCAAGCAACGTCCAGCAGGAAGCCTAAGACTTGAATGCCGCGCACCGCTCCCAGCGCTCCACTGGTACTCTCGAATTGCAACTTTGTGGAGCCTCTTTTTGCCAGAGGCGAACGCCTCCGAACTCCGCGCGCACGCACTCTAAACGAATGCTTTTGTAGACTTCAGTGAGCGTGTGTGCCATCTGTAGATCCGTCAGTTTCCGAACAACTCGTCGCACGTGATTTGGCTCGAGCCCGAAGACCCCCAAATGACGGTGGTGTATCCGGGGGGCCTCTCGGGCGCTTTTCCTCCGGCAGTTCAGCAGCAGCTCCTCCAGTCGATCGCCGGTCTAGAGGCTGCGCAGATGCTGCGCGTCGCATACGACGTGGAGTATCTTGTAGTTCAAGGAACAGACGTAAAGGAGGCCCTCGAGGCAAAGGCTGTGCAAGGGCTCTTCCTTGCAGGCCAGGTCCTTGGCACCACAGGTCGGTCAGCTAGGCCTCTCCTTCCGACACGCCTTCTTGCGTGTTCTCGTACTGCGTGCGTCCGCGCTTCTCTTTGTGCTGCTGTCTGCTTGCTTGTCGCCGCTGAAACTCCTTAAACAGACGCACCCGCCGCTCCAGAAAAAGCCCTGCGCAGTAACTGTTGCTGCTGCCTCGGCCCCTCCATCGCCTCTCTAAATAAAACAGGCTGGCTAGCCGCCTCTCATTTGCTAAGCCGGCTCATGTACCGCGCCGGCTTCGCTTAGCCTTACGATGTGATCTTGACTCCCCTTCGCGGTCGGCTTGCCTGCTTGGACGTGCGTGCCAACTGGCGCTGCAGGATATGAAGAAGCCGCAGCCCTAGGGCTCCTCGCAGGCTGGAACGCTGGTCTCTTTGCAAGGGCGCAGAAAGCGAGGTTTCGCAAGGCCCCTTATAGCGACATCTCCCATACAGCGACCCCAGCAGTGGCAGCAGCCAGTGCAGATGAGAGAGGAGGCGGAGCTGTAGGAAGTGCTTACGCAGCCACACTGCCCAATAGCAGCTCGGCAGAGACAGCAGCCTGCCCTCCGCCTGCAAGGAGCTCGCGCTTGAAGCACAGCAAGCTAGTCGAATGCCAGAGCACGCACACTGCCGCCAGTTCACTCAACTTGGGCACCACCGCTAGCAGTGTTGCCTCGCCGTGTCTGCCAGAGTGCGTCGTGTTGGACTCTCGAGCTAGCATGGCAGGAGCTCTTGCAGAGCAACTGACGTCACGGAACGCTACAGAGCCTCTACGAGCGTTCGCCGCTCGCGTGCCATCCCGCCTGTCCGTCCGCTGTGACAATGCGGCGGAGAGACTGCTGCCCAGGGTCCTCCATGGGGGTCTCTTGCCACAGCATCACCCCAAGGTTACGAGGGCGAGGAAGAAAATGGAGAATGTGCAGAGGCTCGTAGATCTTATCCGGTAGGCGCGATGCGAGTTGCTTGTGTTCGTGTGTTTTGTTTAGAGGCCGGCCCGTCAGCCTACCTACCTACCTGCCTGCCTGCCGCTCCCTCGGGGCTCACACGCCGTTTGTGCCTCTCTAGCCGCATGCTCCACGCGTCTCTCTTTGAATAGATGCAACACGCTCTCTCTGTTAGTGTTGGTGCCGCCTCCGTTCACCCTAGAGCGGATGTTCTGCGATAGACTATTGCTGCTATGTACTATTGCTCTTAGGCTTGCTGGGGGTGTACTCCTGCGGGTGCTTCTGCCTGTTATTCGTGTGCTCGGCCGCCCGCCACTGCCACTCGGCTGCTGCTGCTGCACAGAAAGAGATCTGACACCTTACTTTTTCTGCAGCATCTCAGTGCATGCCGCGTGCTGCATTACGCGTCCCTCTGCAGGAACTTTGAGCTGCCAGCCACCCAGTGGGCCTCCCGCGTCAGTGAGGCCATCGCTGCGCTTCGGCGGAAAGTGCAGCTTCCTCAGCTCGGCGCCAGTGCAGCCTCGGCAGCAGCAGCCGCAGACACAGTGACCCTAACAGGGGCGGCTGCGAAAGCGGCACAGGCAGGCGAAGAGGAAACTCTGGTAGCACCCCAAAGAGGTCCTCTGACGTCTGCAGCGCCTCTTCCTGCGGAAGGGGCAGCCGTTTCTCGCGCGGTGCATGCGGAGCGCATCAAGGCCCCAGCCTCCCTGCTGCTGCTAGGTCTAGAGAGTTGGCAGTTGGCAGTTGGAAAAGGGCATCGCCGATGGACGGCAGCGCAGCTCCTCGCAGGACTGCCCCCCGCCTTAGCGAAACTCGAGCAACCGAACACCAGCTGCCGCAGTACGGCCCTTCCAGAGGCCTCACAAGAAGGTCACCGCGAAGACGAAAACGAGCAGAACGCTGCCCAGCGCAAGCCGCCGAGTTCTACGTCGCCGACCATTGACGGCTTCTCCGAGCGGCCTATAAATGCTCTTGGAGGGCCCCAGGAACACCCTCATTTGGGTCGTGATTGCGTTGCGCTGCAGTTGCTGGTATCGCTGATGCTGGATGAGCTCATGGGCAGCAAGGGCAACGCCGCTTCGAGCAGCTTGGCTTTCGGTGGCTTAGAGAGAGTGCCCGAGAGGGCAGACGGTGGCGAGGAGGCAAATGCTGCAGTGCTTCTCTTACAGCAGTGTCTCTGCCCCTCTTTTGGGAGCTCCATTGCGAGCACGGTCTACGCAGAGGTGCGATATTCGTTCTACTTTAGAAGGGAAGAAAGAGAAGCCGAAGCTGCCCGGTCGGACCACCCAATACCGGAAGATCTGGGAAGGTAGGAAGAGGTTTTTCTCTGCTGCGTATTGTTGACTCGCATGAAAGCGAAGCCTGACACAAGTCAATAGGGCCTCTGCGGGGTGGAGGCACAAAAATCTGTACGAGTGCGCGCACGCATGTCCACCTCCATGCGTGGGTCGCCGTTCCTGAAGGAGTGGAAAAATTGGGGGAAGGGTATGATGTAGGTTCGTCCTTTTCAACCGGCAGTGGCGTTCGTTTCAGGATTTCGACTGCCAGCGCTTTTCACGCTTTCCGTCTGGGCATCGACCTTGATAGCATTCTATTGCTGTGCGCATCTTTGTTGTGCATGCAGAGAGCAGTACCCCTTCTTGTGTCTGGAGGAGATCGACTGCCTTAGGCGGTACAGACCCCGCACCTTCAGAGAGGCTGCACGCCTTGGCTGCCTTCGCCCAGCCTCTCTCCTGCAGCTTATACGGAGATCCCGTTCCAAGCGCGCAACGTTTGCTGCTAAGGCTACGGCTGCGGTTGACGGGGAAGCCTGTGCAGACGCTGGCCTTGCTGCTGCTGCCAAAACTAGTGGTGCTTAAAAATTGCGCTTTTGTTGACACTAGAGAACCCGCACCAGCATTAGCCAAAGGCAAAAGAGGTGGGAACAGCAACATCAGTGGGAGAAACGTGAGGCTGCAGCTACGAAGGAGGCATGGCAAAGCAGATTTACGCAGATTTGTAATAAACCGTCTCGCTGCGCACAATGGAAATCGGGCCTCAGCCATTGCAGGCACCTCTAAGATTATCAGAGGATGTTCATAGACGAGGGGGGAAAGGGTTAAAGAGGAAGACGGGGGCTGGAATACTAGGGGGAGAAAGAGAGGGAACGCACAAGGCAACGGAAAAAGGTAGAGTGTATGTCGCGGCAAGGTGTTCTTGCGCAATATCTCGAAGTCATAATGGAAGCCCCTCTAGTCTTTTGCACTGATCATCAACGTACTCTACGTGTAGACATTGTCAAGAGAGAATAAGGCTACAGAGAGGACGACAAGAGGAATAAGAATAGACGAAAGGAAGGGAGTGTCGGCAACCCATTGCCAATGAGGCAAATGACTGTAAAATAAAGGCGAAGTCTATTCGCCGCTGTCTGAAGTGATCGTCCCCCTTACAAAATGGTTGCCTTCCCGTTGCGTGCTTCGTGTGTGTGTGTTAATGCTGATCTGACGATTTCTTCATCTATAGTGCCCTATTTCGTTAGCCGTCCTTTCGAGCCTACATCTCTCCGCGCCTTCTTCCCCTCGCCAATGCCCTGATTGCTTTTGCCTAGTCGACTTCCTTTGAATGTGCGTGAAAGTGCCAACAGGGTGCCGCACGCAGGACAACATGAGGTGCAACACATTCAAAGGGTGGTCTGTCGTGAGTGTATTCCCCTGCAGCTCCAAATATACACAGCTCTTGAACTTACCAGGGAGAATTTCTCTCCCGCAGCTGCCTTATATGCAATGATCCGTGAAAGTCCTCCGTAAGGAGGCAGTTAACGCCAAACAAAATGTGCACTTTGTGGAAAGTTATTGAATGCTCTCACGCAGGGGCTTTCTACTTTGCTTTCCTGAACGTTCCATGGCTTCGGCATGAGGTTTAGCTAACCTTGAATGCGCGTTGCTGCACCCTCCAGTCACGCAACCACTTGCAGCAAGTTGCATTGTACATTTATTACGCACGCACGGAACATTGCGTCTTCTTCTCAGGGGTGCGGGCAGGAATAGAAGCAAGTCTTGCTAGAAGAACACTTCATGGAATTTTCTTAAGTTTGTTCTGATCTCGAGCCAAGCACCTTCTTAGGGTGGTCTAAAGTGGGAGCTCGAGATATCTACCGCGTGCATTACAACAGTAGGAAGGGCCGTATCTGTATCCAAAGTGGATGCCATGCAAGCCATTCCTATCCGCGGCAGCTCTCGTTTCAATGCCTACGTCGTTATATGGAACGATTAACGTGGTAATTTCTAATAGCAGAAGACTGCAGTTACCTTCATCTCCAGGTCTCTGGGGAAGCAACCACTGCCTTTTTGTAGAATTTGTTGACTTAGCAACACGTTGAAGCTAAGGAAGGCTTGTTTAGTATTCATGGGATCCCTGTGGAAACCATCAAGTCTCATGTCCACACTTGATTCGGAATTCTTACCATCCGACATCAGTAGGTGCTAGACTGTAGGGAGCACCAAAAGCAGCAAAAGTGCCCGTTTTGAAATGAATCAATGAGAGACTTTTGCCTCTCTTACTGCTATTCTCGGGGCGGATCTGGTCATTCTCGCCGCAGCTTTGTGGCAGGGTGTGGCGACTGGTGGAACCAGCTTTTGGATTGTGGTTTGTGCGTGCTCACTATGCTGAGAGCCCCAGAATGCCACACGAAGGCTAGCCAATGCATGCCCTACTACAAAGTAAACCATAATTCACATCTCCTGCATAAAAGAAGAGCCTATTTCCAGTGGTATGTACGACCCCGGCGCCAAAGGATTCTGTGTCGCTTTTGTGCGTCCAACTCGGCCCCTGAAGCCATTCACCCCTCGTGAAAAACGCTAGATGCTGATGAAAATCTAAGGACCCAAACTGTGGAGAGTGTGTTAGACCTAATGAAAAGACTTCTATTCTGCATACGTCAAGGAAGGGCCCCTACAGCCCCACACTTCCGACACCCTAACATTTGACTATGTGAACTAAGCCATGAATTTTAAACGTGTCTTCTGCAACTTCTGGGGTGAAAAGCTGGGATATGTGTCCGTAAGGGGGTGCACAACTCTTTTTCTGTGACGCGTGTGCAGCGGCTGTGCACTGAAAGAAACGAGCAGTCGGGTAACGGCATCAGCGCTGGCGGTGCCGTCAGGGCCGATCTTGTAGCAGCAGTACCAGCAGGCGCAACCAGCACCTTCGGCAGCAAGAGGGGCAACAACCACCCAATCCGCTTGCGTAATGAAGCCTCCGCTATATGCGACTCTTGGTGCTTGTGCCCCTGGCGTACCTGTTACAGCAGCCTTCACGGCAGCGGCGGATATCTGCACCCGCATGGGAGGGCTCGCCACTGCCACTCTAAGAAACAGGAGCTGCCCCATAGGGAGAAGCCTCTTCAAAAGATACCTTCTAAGAAACTCTCGAGACAGCAGCGAGTGCCACCCCAGCTCTAGCAGCCGAAGGCTATGTGCATGCGGCTCAGAGGACGCAGAATCACGAGAGTGCGGCTTTAGGGGGAAGGGCGTTAACTGGAGTGAAGTCGAGTTCCGCAGTAGCCGGAGCGGCAAACCAGGGGGCCAAAGCAGCAACAAAAGCAGCAGTAAGGTGCAGCTGCGACTCGATATCAAGAAGCAAACCTGGCTGTGCCGCCTTTTGCAGGAACGGTTACAGCAACAGCAGAAACACGCGGTGAGCGCTGCAGGCGTGCTATTGTTGCGGTGCGAGGACACCCCTTCACAGCAGCAAAACAAGGAGAGGGTGAAGCAGCAGTTACTGCTGCTGCTACAGCAACTGGCTCAACAACAGGAGCAGCAGCACATCCCAGTAGAACAGAGGAAGACCCTTCAGGAGAAGAGGCAGTGGAGGCAGAAGCTATTTGATCAGAAGCGCATCGCCGCGTACCGTCGCCAGTGGCCTTAAACCGTGCAGCCGAACAAGCTGCTTCCGAATCCGTGTAGTGTGTCTTGACACTGCCGTGGTACGGCCGCATGCGGGAGCGAGTACTGACTCTCTAAGTGGCAGCCCGAGGCGGCAGTCTAGCCAGTTCCGCGGCTGAGTGAGTGCGCGCGGTAGAGGATTACAGGGAGAGTGGTGAGCTCGGGGGTAGCCTCACGTGCTCCGTTGCGGGGTGTCTACGCTACATGCATGCATGCATGCATATGGGGCAGCCGTCTGCGCATGTGCAACATGTGCGCTTAAAGGCGTCAGCACCATATCTACATTGTTGCTCCGGTTTCGCTCCTGCGAGCCGGTTCCACGCAGAAACTATGAATCTGCCAATTAAAGAATCCGCATTTTTTGTAACTTTTCGAGCGATCCGCCTAACAGGCGCTTTGAAGCTGCCGCCGACGTGCAGGAGTACAGCATGCACTGCCACTGCACAGGCATTGAGAGTCTTGGGCAGGGCAGCACAAGAGGCGGCGGCACGGCAGGCTCTCTTAGCGAGCATACTATAAACATTTTATTATTTCTTTATGGCTGGTGATCTTCGCCGAAGTGGCGAATCTTAGAAAGCATACACACAGCGCTATATATATATAAATGCGGGAAAGGACTCTAAACACAGTCCACGCATCTGCTGCTGCTGCAGGTGCAGCGAGGCAGTACGCAGCGTGGCCACGCACCTCCTCTCCCGCCGCTACAACTGCCCCTCTTCCCCCCTGTTTGTGTGGCACTTGTCGCTGGCGTTTGCCACCGCGCCCGCCGTTGCACCCACCCCAAGGCGGCTGCAAGGCCTCATTCAGAGCATTGCAGTAGGAAGAACAATACGAGAACCCCCCTCGGCACGCAGACACGCAAGACGCATTGGCTGCTTGCGGCTCTAGGCATTTGCAGCCTCTAATATGGCCGGCCGTAGCCGCGAGCCGCACCCCCCCGACCGCGGTATACCGGCCGAAAGCCCGAACCTCCCCTGCCTCTGCGTATAGACAGACAAACAGTCAGACAGACATACACCCAGGTAGACATCTATATGCATGTATAATATGCATTTTACGTACGTAATACATGTATATATATAGGCAAATATACACACACAGATACTCCACACATACATACATACGTACATTTTCACGAGGAAACACCCACATAGGTTCACGAAACCCCTGTCCCTTTGCACACGGCCTTTTACGTGTATCTTGGGGCCGCTCGGCGATGCATGCGAAGCGAACCCAGAGGAGTTACAAGAGGCTAAAGTCGACTACAGGGGCACACCGGAGCAAGCACGCATGCAGCCACCAAGTCACCGAGGCGAACGCCTCCACTGCCTCCTGCACTCCCCCCTACCACCCCCGTTGCTCAGGCCGTGCCACCCAAACACCCACCTCCCTCTGAAAGGAAGGGGCCCCCCTCGAGGTCTCCACCCGCCCCCTCGGCCTCGAGACATTCCTGGAATATTCTTCCGCTTGGACACGACCTGTCAAGACACACCCAGCAAAAAGGGGGGCCTCTCTCGTGCAATCCACGCACAAGCTTTCACCCACGCGTGCAGTGCTCGCTCGACAAAGGGCAGCCGTGCGCGCTTGCCTTGATCTGCCTGTCCTTCAATGTCGAATCGGAGAGCAGGACGGCGTGTTGAGCAGCAACCTCGGAGGTAAATTCGATGTATGCGTATCCTGCAGCGGCAGCAGGCAGCGCAACTCGGTGAGCATGCGGCGCCCTACCAGCGAAGGCAGCAGCAGCAGCCCTCCCCTGCAACACCAGCCGTCACGCCATCTTGCCGTCGTTGCTCCGCACCCCACCAGCAACCCCCGCTGAGAGGCAGCAGCAAAAAATATCGCCGCTGCTAAGGGCAGCCACTGACCCTTTGGGTGGCCGGTAAACTTATCAACCATGATCGTGATGCGATTTATTTGCCCGCAACCCTTGAAGTGCTCCTGCAAATCAGCTGGCGTCGCTGAATAATCGACCTGCAAAAAACGTATGCATCCTTGAAAATACCATTGCAGATCCTCCGTGCATGTGCATGTATGCATGCACATGCGCCCCAGGAAGACGCAGGTACACCCAATGAGCAACTTCCGCAGACTAAATGCAGGGCCGCATCACTCCCAACGTTAGCAGAGCTACCCACATTGCCGACATACACAGACCGCTTGTCTGCATCCGTTGCAGCAGCGGCGGCGGCTGCTGCACTGTCTGCTGCAGCGCCTTCTCCGGGCTGCAGCAGAGAGCCGAACTCTGCGTCTTCCTGTAAATCCTGGAATGCATGCACCGCAGCAGCAGAAGACGCAGCCATGCAATATGTAATGGCCATAGAACCTCCACACCCTCGCCTGCTGCGAGAGCTGCTGCCACTTAAGGGGATGAAGAGGTGGAGGCACAGGGTAGGATGCCATCGCAAGACGTTTTGAGGCCGCCTACTTGCAGCTTCTGCAGCTCAGCCCACTCTTGGTCGAAACCAGACACCACAGCCTCTGCCACGCAAAAAATTGCACACAGAAACACACAGTTCGAGAAGCCAAAGGCGTAAGACATCCTTTCGAGATCGCCCGCCTATGAGACCCCTAGTTAGCATCTGCAATCCTAGCGACACGGCAGACGAAACAGCCGCTAACCTGCACTCTTGCTATCTGCTGACACCGGATCACACTTTGCAATCGCTGCAGCGGACGGGGAAGCTGCTGCCAGTGCCGCTGCAGGCGATGCTGCTGCAGCCGGTACGGCACCAGTTGGGGGTGCTGCTGCTGCTGCAGGCGCTGCTGCAGTTGCTGGCGCTGTTGATTCCATCTCGGTTTGAGGCTCCCGCTGGTCTGATGGTGCAATCTGCGATCTGTCCGAAAGATATGGCTGCGCAGAAACGGGCGTTGCTGCTGCTGTTGCTGCTGAAAGGGGGCTGTGTTTGTATCGGTGCTGCCGCTGCTCGTCCAATATGCGCCAAGCGAGCGTAGGCGAGGCGCGATTAGGCCTAAATTCAAGTGGGAGTTGAGAAATGGCAGGAGGAGCCGGGCAGGAGAGCGCATGCACCGGAGAGAGAGGGGTAGTATGTTAATTGGTAAGCCTAGACCTCAAATCCCTGGCCACGGCGCATGAGCATACACCCGAGCTCAAAGGAGCTAATGTCGAAATTCTCTGCAGATTCAGCAGCAAGTAAGGCAAAACACAGAGCCCAGATCGCCGGAGGCAACACCAGAGGCTGCCGCTGCTGCAAGAGGCTGCTGCTGCCTGCAGCGGCAGCGGCTGCTGCTGCTGCTGCTGCTGCTGCCAGCCTAGCATAAAGCAGCACTCGATGAGGCCTCTAAGGACCTTGCCGCACCTCCGGGGGGAATAGAAGCGTCGCGGTCCATCTTCTGTTATTCAAGCACACGCAGTGTTTGATTTTTTAGTCGAGGTCACACGCGGTGGCTGCTGCCGATCCTACTACACTGGGGTGTAGAGACACGGCGGCGCCTGAGGCGGGGTTTCAGCTCAAAGAAGTAACTCCGGTGACCTTCCGCGTGGCTGTGCTTCTATTGCCGTCCGTATTGCATCTGCCGTTAATGCTGTCTCAATAGTGCGGTAAGAGCTGCATTTTTCCCCAGGCACAGACGGCGGCACGCAGCTTCAGTATTAGCCCTTGTACAACTACACACCCACCCACAACACATACACACACACTCAGAACACACATTCCCAACATTGGTACACACACGAAGGCACCAGCATAGACTTTTGCCGCCCTCCGTTATCGCTGCCTTCGTTGTGGAAGAGTGGGCAGCGCGTATCTCTCGGCTTTGCGCTGTGGCGTTCGCTGCTGTGAAAAGCCAAATCTTAAGGGTCTTAGGCAACGGCCCTCCTCCTCAGCAGCCATGCCCAGCGCAGCTCACGCGCTGCAACCCCAGTAGCGGCAGCGCGAAGTGCAGCAGCAGTGGATGCTGCATCAACAGCTCTGCATGTGCCTTGAGTTTCAAGAGGATGGCTAGGGACAAGGCGCAGTTGCAGCAACAGCAGCAACAGCAGCAACAGCAGCAACAGCCGCTGACGCGCGCCTTACTGGAGCAGCATGCCCACGATCAGCAGCAGCTGCTGATCGTGCAGCAGCAAGAGCAGCAGCTGCTTTCCCCGCGAAGTGGATTCGCTTCCCCGTTGACACCTTCTCAGAAGGCGTCGAGCGACTGTAGCGACGAAGATGAGTGCCTTCCATCCGCCTCTGCCGCAGCAGCAGCTGCGGCTGCAGTTGCTACTGCGGCTGCATGTTTGCTCTGCAACTGTGCAAGCAACGACGGTAGCAGCAGTTCTATGAATCCGTGCGACTGCACATGCCACGTGGCGCCCAAAGTTGTTCTCCCATTTCAAGCAGAAACAATAGAGGAGGTGCTGGAGCTGGCAGCGGACAAAGTTTCAACACTGCAACACGAGCGGCAGCAAGTGCTCCTGCAGCAGCGGCGGCTGTTGCTGCAGCAGCAGAACCCACAGCAGCAAACTCCAGAGCCTGAAGGGGCGGTGCCTGACAATGCGCTATCCTACGATGAGGAAGAGGCCCTTGTGGACGCAGCACAGCAGCAGCAGCACCAGAAACAGGTGCAGCAGCTGCTGTTGCAACATCAGCACCGCCCCCTCTCACCTGCGGCTCAGCTGCTCTTGCTGCAAATCATTAAAAGAAGAATTGCGAGAGCCGCACCGCTGCACCGCGTGATACCCCTCTGTATCCAGTTCGCCATCATTAGAGAACCCCTGGTAAGTAAGGCCTACATTTTCCTAAGACGTCCAGCAGGCAAGCCAAGCCTGCGCAGCACTTCGCTGCAGGGAAGCGATTTGTTCGGTTGTGGTAACAGTGGCATACACTTGCGGGCTGTGCTTCCTGCTGGATCGCTTGGTTTGTGAGCTTCTAAACCCGCCCCCACCCCTCCCCCGTCTCTCCCCTCCCCCTCCATACGGACTTACTTGCTGGTGCTGTTGCTGCAGCTTCAGGAGCGCTTCGTTCGAGAGGTCCTCGAGCAGCCTCCGTTAAAGCAGTATCCGCCTCCAGCTTCCTACTTACAGCGGCTGCTCAAGTGTCTCTACACTGCAGCTGAGCTGCTGCAACTCCCCCTGACCGACTCCTTCTGCGACGCCGTTTTCGCGTATGCCTGCACACACTGTAGTCGCTGCACACCAATTTCTGCGCTTCCCGCCGCTCAGTCGACAGGGCGCTTATTTCGTAATAGCGGCTTCGGCTTGGGGGCAAGCTTCTGGGGGTGTGTTGCAGGCTTATGCGACGCGACGAAGAAATGCGCTGCGCGTACTTGTCGTTTCAAGTCCTCGATAGGCCAGGGGAGATGTTTGTCACGTGCAAAGTTCATGTGAGCGCGAATCCTTGTGCATGCGTCAGCTGCCTGTGGCATTTACCGGGCACCCTAAGATGTTTTGCGTGGTCGAGCGTCGAGAGTCTATCGGGAGGCAGCCTTTTCGCTCAGCGGGGGCTCAGCCAGCGGCTGTCTCCGCGGCTGTTTGGGGTACTGAATGTGCATTTTTCCTCGCGTGTTTACGGAACTTGCAGCCGCTAATCGCCGTGCTTGCGTGTGCTTGTGCTGCTCCTTGGTGCGCAGCCAGGACGTAATGAATTGGGGCTTAGGTCGTGGACTGCAGGGCTCTTTTTGGGGGAGTATCTAGCCACGTATGGCCACCAGTTCGCCGCCGCCTGTTACTGCCCGGGTGTCTGCAACAGCTGCACCAGCATCAGCAGCAACAGCAGCAACAGTAGCAAGAACGAGAGCAGCACCCTCAGCAACGCCAGCGGTCCCCCCAGCGGCACGGACCTTAGCGGCAAGACAGTGGCGGCAGCCGGCTTCTTCTGCCAACCAGCAGTCCCGTGGATCAGTCAGCTGCTTCACTATGTAGAGCACCAGCAGCAGACGCAGCAGAGCGCTCGGCAGTTAGATCTGCAGAAAAAGCAGGAGCTGCAGGGATCTTTGGAGCCCGCGCATGAACTAAGTAGCAGCTTGAGCATGACTGCCAGTCGAGTCAGCACTGGGAGAAGTAACGTCTGCAGCAGCTGCAGCAGTCGCTGCAGCAGGAGAGATCGCCTTTCTCTGTTGGAGATTGGCTGTGGGGTCGGCCTTACAGCTGTTACCACCGTGCAGCGCCTCGAGGATTTCCAGTATTATGCCGCAACCGACAGGCTGCCCTCCATCGTCGCGAACTGCAGCACCAACTTGCGTTTGAATGGTGTGTATGTGGATCCAGAGTCCAGAGAGGCAGTAAGCGCTGCTGCTGCTGCACAGGCCGCAGCTGATGCAGATGACGAGAGCCAGCAAGCTGGAGAGGCGACGCCTCGCAGTACCAGCAGCCACAGCAGCAGCCGCAAAACGCGCGCAGCCACCTGCGTGGTGGGATGTCTAGACCTAGAGGAAGTTGCTCCTGGGGTGGCTCACCTTACTGAGCAGGTTCTCTCCGTTGAACGGCAGCGAAACAGCCTTGATGGGCAGCAGAAGCAGCAAGAACAGCAGCTACACCACCAGCAGACGGCGCGGAGCAGCGTCAATTGGCCCTGTATCTGCGCAAACCGGAGAGGAGTTCCTGCTACCTTTCAGGTGGTACTGGCTGCCGATTTGCTGTACGATACAAAGCTCAACGAAACACTCGCGAATGCCTTGCAGTTTTTGTTGGGATGCGAAGACCAGCAGCAGCAGGGGCAACCCGACCAGCAAGACCAGAAGAGGAGGAGGCTCTGTGTGATGGCATCCACCGTCAGAGATCCAGCAACAAGGGAGCACTTCTTAGATCTTCTCACGAATCGTGGCTTGGCGTGTTACCCTGTGCGGCTCTCCTACGGCTCCAGACCCTTTCGCTGTTGCGAGTTGCGCTTTGGTTGGCTTTATGTGGTGTTATCATTGCACTTGCTGCTGCTGACTCTCTCACCGATGGCGCAGTGATGGAGGCGGGAAAACCCGCAAGCGCCTTCGTGAGGGGGGAGCTAATTTTTGCGTGCATGCTGACTCGGTTGCTGCTGTGGAGTTGTGTGTGCTGCTGCTGTTGCAGGACACAAGGCCTGTGCGTGGTTTCCTGTCGTATGAAAGGAAGGAGGTCAAGATTGATCTTATATACCCTAAATCCTAATGCCCATGGAGGTTGGGGTCGGGGTTCGGGGATTTTAGGGTGTAGAGTCGGACAAAAGTCAGGGTCGGGGACGGCTCGGTGTGTGCGATTCCCCAGACTGTAAACCTTAATTACGTAGATATAGCCGGTCTTGCAATGCGGCCCCTGATGAATGAGCTGCCCTGTCGGCTCCCTGCAAATCTGTCGACCTAAGGTTTAAAATGCAATACATTTGGTGACCTTGGTGTTGCGGGTTTAATACGCTAACGCATAGAGCCATTTGGCATTGAAATGTAGGACTGCAGCTGTTGCTGCAAGTCGCACGTAGCTGTATCTTTTGTTGCAGCCGCAGCAGCTGCTTTCTGCGCCGGTCGCTTTTATTACGCTTGTAGCTGTAGCAGCAGGGTAGGTATGCCAGAGGAAGTTTATTCACCTCGTGGCAGTCAGCGCAAAGTGTAAAAAGTTTGCTTCTAGACTTACTTGCTTCGGGAATGCGAGATTTTTTTCATTGGGATAGCAGGGGTCTGTGGGGAGGTGACCTTGTGGTGGGTATGGCTCTGAGAGATGGCTTCGCTTGCTCTGTAAACACCAGGGTTATAAGGCTGGAGACATTCCCTTGTTCCCCCAATTTTTTGCTCTAATTTGTGTTTTAATCAATTCGGAAAAAGTTTACAGCGCTTGATGTGGAGAGTCTTAGTCCAGCAATCCAGCTACTGAAGTGGCTACCACTGCAACGCACGCCCCACCGCGTGCACCCACGATCAGTGAGGGCTTTGTGGAGGCCTCGCAGCACATAGAAAAGGGCTTTTCCGGCACGTGCGGTGAAGCTGCCGGCTTCTGGCCGAAATAATATTTGCCTTTTCAAGACACACGCAACCGTCCCTTCACAACCGACAGCACATCAGCTAACACCGGCAGAAGCGGCAAACTGTAAAACCCACATGGGCAGTCGCCACTGCAACAAAAACTCGGCAAAACGGGATCCAGCTTCTAAGGATATATCCCGATCAACTGCCACACATTGCAATGTTCCGTGGTACTGACCCATTGGCTGCCCTGCTGCTGTTAATTCGCACGCTCTGATGCTACTTGCCCTTGCGCCCGTCGCTTTGCTGCTCACTCGCATGATGTATGCTTAAGAGGCCACTGTAGTGGCACGTGGTTAGGTAGACCGCTTTGGTGTTGTCCCTTGGTTTTGTTTGCCCAGTTCTTTGAGCGCGAAGTCTTAATCAGTGGCACGCACCATGCCTGTAAAGGCAGCAAAAGGTAAAGGGAAGGGAAGAAAGGGCGGCGTAAAGGGTCCAAAGAAAGCGCCAAATAAAGCAATCACCCTTGCCCTTGGCCACCCGCCAGCGGTAGGTCCCTGGAATCCCCTGCCGCTGGACCAACAAATTGATGCGTTTGCTGGTGCCATTGCCAAACCTAATGCTGTCGTAACCTCGACTGCTGGTGGCCCTACTCTTTGTGGGCGAGGCATTTTGAGCAGCGGAAAGCCTGCAGCCCCACCGCGGTATTTTGTTCCTACCCGGGATGCCGCCATTGCTGCCATAACAAAGGCAGCTGAGGCCAGGCGGCAGCGCGAGCTTGCTGCAGCAAACCAAGAGACTGAAGCCGCATCTGCGGATGTAACCACGGCGGCAGCAACCACGGAAAAGGATTCTACAAGCGCTGTTTCTCCGCCATCGGAGACCATACCAACAGCAGCAACACATGCTTCCGCTGCTGCATTTCGCGCGGGCTCTCTGCATTCCAATGCCCAATACTGCGCCATGGCGCGCACCCTTAGCTGTCTCAGAGAAAACATTGAGGCCGAGACTAGCAAAGGAAACAGTGGTACTACAAAAACTCTAGACCCAACAGCAATAGGCGAGAGGCGAATGTATACTGAACTGCAACGGCAGCTGCTGTTGCTGCAGCAACCAAACGCACCCACCAGTCATCTGCGACAGCTCGAAGCAGTGTACAGGTGGTACAAAAGATCCTGCTGCCCTCAACAGCAACAACAGCAGAGGCTGTCAAAGCAGCAGCAGCCGCTAGAGCAGGAGAAGGGGGAGGAGGCAGCAAAACATTGGGGTGGGTCACTAGATGGACCAACAGAGGAGCCTGTCGCGGGTTCGGTCTTTTGGAAGCCGCCAGTTGATTCTCCATTGCTGGAGCGAGCGCCTAGTGTCACGCAACAGTGGCAGCAACAGCAGCATCAGGATGAAGGGCCAGTGGAATCGGGCTTTTGCAAATATGTTTACTCGCACACTCCCCTGTGCACGCCGGCAGACAAACTGCGACTCTACCGAATAAATCTTTTGTTCAGGCCCAGGCCGCTGGTAAGAAGGAAACTTAATGGTGGGGATTCGAAACAGCAACAGCCAAAACAGCGGCCATGGAACAGCGGCAGCAATAGCAGTAGTCGTAGGAGCCCCTTTGCTTATCAGCCAGCTCACGGGCAGCCTCCCTGGGGTCTTGTTCTCCCCGATCAAGAAGGCCAGACGGAAGACCCCACTCCAGCGCCAATGAGACCGCGCCAGTGGCAGTTCGAGGGTAAGGCAATGCACAGCAACAAGCCGTAAAACCACTTTGGCATACACTTGGGTCGCACACTGTTGTGCTAGAGAAGCGTAGCCTACAACAGTAGGAAGGCGAACGGATGCACGGTGGTAGAGTGCACCTAGGGGTGTCCCATGTACCGAGTGTTTTAGGTTAAGGGAATTATTATCACGGATTTGCGTGTAGAGCATTGCTAGCGGTGCCAAGTCTCCCCTGTTCGGTGCTTGGCATAGACGACGTAGAGTAGAGTCAGAAATTTAGAATTCAAAGGGTCCTGCAACGAAGGTTTAGACTTCAGCAGGTGGCTACATGTCTTGTGGTATGCCGATGTCTCGATTGCCGGTGCGCAAGCTTTCCCTGTCAAACGCCCCAGTGTGAACCAGAAGGTTGCAGGATTTGTGTTTAACCGTTATTATTTTTGTGAAGCCCGCGAGAGTGGGCGAATGTTGGTGCTGTGGCGGTTACGAGAGTGGTTTCTTTCATGATTTGGTGCTTTGGTGTTTTCGGCGCGCCTTGTTCTTCTGCGGCCTCAGGCCGGGCAGTTGTGTGGGCAGAGTGGGGTTTGGGAGGTTTGAGCTGCTTGACTACGACGGTTGCGTCTCTAGGATGAGATCTAGCTTTAAGGCTGGCAAACAGGGAAGAAGTTGTGTGAATTCCAAGATTATGAATTATGGTTTAGCAGTGAGCAGCGTCGATGGCTGGATGGCCGAGTGGTCTAAGGCGCTGCGTTCAGGCCGCAGTCCTCGCGGGCGTGGGTTCGAATCCCACTTCAGTCATGTTTCGTCCATGCTCTGTGCTTGCATGCATAATGTAGATGCATTCTCTGTTTTAGCATACCAACTTATTGTATTAGGCACAGTTATGCACAACACCGTGTCATACTCTGCTTGCCTTCCGAACGTGTGCATGTTGGAAAGGAACTACTTGCAGGAGACGCATGGGGGGTATTTAGCCGAGTTCTGCTGGGAAATCCTCTGTGTTTCCACACATAGAATTAAGGGTGTCTAGTGTAGAGCAGGTTGATTTATCAAGGATTTGCTAGTCAGGCCTCTATGCGTCTAGATCAATCGGGTCGCACATATAGGGCTTTACTGCCTAGCGGTTTTGCGTTAAAGACTTGCGGCAAGTCTTTAAAGGGCTACTGCCCGGCAGTTGCAGTGGGAAAAGCTTTTCGCTTTACAATGAATATGGTAAGATGCGCCAATACGGGCCATGTAGGGGAATGTTCTCTTTGGTGATTAGGTTACGTTGGCTCCGACCGCCGGTCCCTCATCCAGGCTCAACTTCATGCACGATGGCTGGCTGGTCGACAGCGAGAACAGGCACAAGCAGAGTGCGCCATACCCTACACGGCACGCCCTAGTGATCTTTATACCACTGCGTTTTATGCTGTTGCATGCACCAGAGGGTTTACGGTTCAACCAATAGTCTTTGCTGCTCAGGAGAGAGGCGGCTAGGAGAGGACTTGTTGAAGCTTGGCAAGCCCGAAAAGACGCTAGCGAGCACGCACCTCTGCTGTATGCATGCAACGGATACCCCACGTGGTAGCCTAGCCGTACCGTGCGACACATGGGCATTCACTCCACCTCAATGCCTTTGCTGGCTCTCCCTCACAAAAAATATAGGGAATCGAGCCCTTACTTCTAGGTCTGTGCTGTTAGTGAAAGCTTCTTCCTCTATTGTCCTGCCGCTATCGGTGCACAGAACGCTGCATGCGAATGTAGGTCTAACAAACGCTGTGCATCTGCACACAGCGTGTGCAGCCCAAACTCCGGCTGACGAGGCCACTGGCTTCTTGTGTGACTGACTACAGGGTGGCAGAAGGGTCTCGCTGCTCTTTCCAAGCCACCGGGTGAGGCCACTACGGTTTGAAGTCCACGAATGTGGGCTTCTGCAGGCACGCAGCGTACAGCAAAGCTGATACTCTGAATAAGTGCCTCTGTGCGTCAATCATAGCGGCTCGCTCTCCTCCTTACCCCTGAACCTAAGATCAGGAGTGCCTGCTAATGAGACAACTGCAGGTTGAAGCACAGTGACTCGGATCATCGATGCTGCACCTTGCAGCGACCCCAAGCCTCCCTTCGGCACGTCGGGAGAGCCTGGGGACAGCTCGAGACCCCCTCTGCGCACACGCCCATGTCTGAAACGGATTCAGACACCTCAAAGGGTGAGCGACAGCGGCGGCAAAAGCTGCTACTGCAAGAGCGACAAAGACAGCGACTCCAGGACCAGGGGCACACAACGCGTGGTGTTAGAGCGCTGCCAGACTCCGTCCATGGGCTGCATCCCAAGGTACTCGGGGGATCGGGGCGTAAGGCTTTTAAAATGCGAAAGATTAGCAACATCAAACGCAAAAGGATGGACTTGTTTCCCCGGTTGTGTGGGATTGAGCACTGAGTTCTTCCTACGAAATACTGCTTTCAGGGTCGCAGGCGTGTGTGGGCGGGTCTGAGCTCCTCTATGGATGCATTGGACCAGCCGTCAGCAGCGGCGAAAAGCTGCTCACCAAGATCAGCAACTGCGGCAACGAACAAAAAGTCATACGAAGCGGAGGCCACCGTTGTCTCATGGGACGCCTACGCACAGGCAGCTAAAATTTCAAAGCGGCGTTTGCTGGAGTGTGACAGAAGTGAGTTGGTCACTCTGCGTAAGTCCGTGAACGATCGAACTTCCCCAAGTCCAAGAGGGTAAACTCTGCAGAGGGCGGGCAGTGAGCACTTCGCGACCCTCTTCCTCTGCGAAGTTCACCACTTAGGGCCTTCCGGAGGAATTGAATAACACCCTATTGGGGGCACTTGGTCGTTGTGCTGGAATCACCGAGTACTTCGCAACACCACTGAGCCTAGAGCACTCTCTTCCTTCACTTCTATCCCCGTGCAGCCAGGATGCGCGGCTTTTTATTTTATTCGTTTATTGGGAAGAAAGCGAACGGCTAATGGTGGTGATTTACCGGTGGAGCAGCTGCAGTAGTACAACAAGGGCTGCGCGAGCGGCAGTTCTCCCTCGCTTTCTACATGTGCGTTGCCTGCTGCTGCTGCTGCTACCGTTTGAACAGACTGCCCCTCTGCACTTTCGGCTCCGGTTCTTCAGCAGCCCAGTGTATTTGCTGCCGTTGCCGCGTATCGGGAGCAGCGGCAACAACAGCTAGCTCAGAAGAAGAAACCGGCGAAAAGGGCAAAGAGCGGTAAAAGCGCAGGAGCAAGCCGGGAGAGCACTACAAGGCCTCATAAATTAAATGCCAAGAGTCACACTGCAGCGGGAAACAAGTAAGAGGGCACAGCACAGCCAAGACCCAACTGCCTGCTTAGACTGTTGGACCTTGGTTTTACTGCTGACGCACGTGCTGCTGCACAGTCTCAGGCGGCCGATCGCAAATACTTGGATGTGTGTGTATGTGTGTGTGTTGATTTAGCGGGGGTGCACAGTTGGAACAGGTCGCACAAGTAGAGCACCAGCAACACCAGGCGCTGCCCCTGTTGCTGCCGCGAATGCCGTTTCGTCTGGCGGACCCGGCAGAGGCAATAAAAAAGCCGAAATCGCAAAAGAAGGGGCGTGGAAAGAAGAAAGCCTAGAGCTATAAAAAGCAGCAGTCCCTACAGTAGCTCTAGCATAACCCAAGGCAGTGTTTAAACAGCGCCATCACTATCTGCTGTTGTTTCACTGTAAAATTCGCGCACCAGCAGCAAGAGTAGCGGGTTTCGCAGCCACAACACGTTCCCAATAGGCAAGAGAAATGCCACATCGGCCATCGCTTCCTGTCGAATTTTTTGTGGCTCGAAAGACACTCTGAAGAAGGCATACACCGGGGTCTCCAGAGAGGTTAGCTGCGCAGCTGCAGTTGTTCCCGCTGCTCTTGCCGTTACGTTGTACTGGCCGCAGCTGCACCCAGTGATGGGGGTAAGCACGTGAGCCTAGCAAAGCAGAGACTCGCCCTCTACCGCACTTCTTTAAGGCTTCTCTGCTAGCAACGCTGAAACCAGGAGCCCGCTCCTTTGCCTTGCTGCTGCAATTCTAGCAGCTGCTGCTTCTGTTGGTGGCCCCTGTGTTGTTGCGGACACTGGGAAGCCGTTGCAGCAAGCGTTTCCGCTGCGGCGAGACCCCTCACGGTGAGCGACTACCATCCGTTTCGGCCGCCGCTCCTCCAGAAGCACCAGCAAATGTGCTTTCAGGATTTAGGGGAAAGCGCAATTTAAAGTATCCCCTTTGCTGTCAAGGGGACCAGCCTGCCCAGTCGTCCTTCTTACGACCCCAATGTATTCACATATGTCTTAGAGCCCAGCCACTAGCCTAGAATGCGATTTGGACGGCCGCTAGCGCTGGAGTCGTGGACGCTACGCCCTAGTAGAGTCGTGAAGCTTAAGAACGCCAAACCCTTTTATACCCGTGAAAGCGGAGTTCGCACTGAAATAGTTCCTCCGCCACAAGCAACCAATTATTCCTGCTTCAGAAGCCAAAGGCCGCCAGGAGTGAGCGTCGTGCTTCCCAGGCCAGCGCTGCCGCCATACACGCGTGACGGGGGAAGGAAGAGCGGAAGGAAATTTTCCTCTTTTGCAGTCAGCGACCTCACTCCTGCTGGTGCTGCTGCTGTGATGCGCGACTGCTGAACCTGTCGCTGCAGCGGCAGTAGCAGTAGCAACAGAAGAAGCAGGGGCAGCGGAAGCAGGCGCCTTAAATGACGTCGCTGCCTCCTGGTTGGTGTATCACTAGATTGCGCTCACACGTGCCTTTTGCTGCGAGTTCGGTAGGAGCAGTAACTCAGTGTGGTGCACACGTCGCGCGCCTCTCCTTTCGTGATGCTTTAGCTGCTGCGTGCTGCTTTCGAGGGAATCAAAGCGAAAGGGCATTCCTCGATGCCCATGTAGATGCCAGGAGGACTTCTTCACTCGGGGCAGACCCCTAGAGGTTCCCTCCGCAACGCGTGCATGTCTGCACCCCCCGCGCCTTCTTAGAGTGCATCCTGCAGCAAAATTGTCTTACCCTTATTGATCTGCCCCCAACCAATGAGGCGCCAGTGCTTGTCCACACGCCGGCTGAGTGCAACTTTATCACCCACCTATTGCAATCACCACACAAAAGGGAGCAGAAACAAGCGAGCCTCAAAAAGCCTCGAACTCGTAATTTACGTCAAGAAAACACGCGCGCGCTTCCGGCGCGACTCAGCATCTGACCTCCCTTGAAACGGCCTCTTCTTGCACTGCGGCTACCTATATCTTCATGCAGCACTGTAACTCCTAAAGACCCCTCCCCCTATCCGGCCATGCCGTACCTAGGGCAAACCTCTCTAACCGCATACTCCCCAGTCTCCCTGTCGCAGACACCTAACTTTCCCTCGCTCCTTCCCCCCTCCCCCGCTAAACACGAAGGCCTTACTCGCGTGCAGACAGGGCCTGTGAGCTCCAGCTTGGCGACTTCGGGTTTGATGCCCGCAATGCGCGCTCCCACCGACGTCGATCCTACATTGACCATCACGAACTCGCCCTTCTTCAATTTGGAAACCTTTGTAGATTTCTCTCCCTCCTAGAAAACGCAAAACACAACAAGCCCGCCGCATCCAAAAGATAAATGGTGGCTGGCAGCTGGAAGACGCGATCGTTCGAATAAATTTAAAAATATGTTTTTGGCCAAGATATTGCGGGTCCTAAGATTGCTACTTCTTTAAAACGTAAAATACTGATAAACACCAGTTTTACTTGAAATAAAGAATTGTTGACATAAGGGTAATACACTAGTTATTTAAGTGAAAGGACACCTCCATTCCAAACCCGTTCGTTCAAACCCCCCTCCCACGCCTCGAGAAGACATTTTCTCCAGCGCTTCCCCACAGCCTCCTCTCCTGCCCTCGCAGCCTCCTCAAATATCCCTAGCAAACTGCTCTGGCCCTTCAAACAACCCTACCTGGCTCTTGACGCCGAGAAGACGCCTAAGAAGATAGTAATTTACGTCGATCTCGATATAGCAGTCCGGGAGCTTCCCGGGGTGTCCAAGGACCTGCCCCACCAATCTGTCTGCCCTCGTTAATGTGGGATCGACTCTTGTTCCGACTCCAATTAGACCCCCTGGAACGGCAAACTGCAGAGGATTCTCCTCCGCAAAGAGCGAAATGATGCGCGACGCAATGGGCCTGCAGCGGCAGAAGATTACAGCACGCACGGCACATGCATCCCTCCATGCCCGTTCCAGCAGCTCCTCCTTTCCTCCTCCTCCACGGACCCCCCTTCCCCCCGAAAATCCACAAACAAACACCTGGCAGCAGCGCAACAAACGGCGGCAGACAGCAGCGCTTCCAGCCGTATGAAGGACCTGCATTGAATAACTCCCGAGTTGTCTTTGCTGATAATGCCCGGCCGTATCTCAATCTCATCGTCAACCCGCAACAAGCCTTCACTGATCGAGCCTCCAGCGACCCCACCCTGCAGCTTCTCAGCCTCTTCTCCAGGCTGGACACACACACACACACACACACACACACACACACACACACACCCGCGCAAAATAAGAAATACGCAATTAGAGACTGCCACTCCCCACGCGTCAGAAACTCGAACACACTCCCCACGCGTCGACGCGGGGGACGGCCCCTCGCTCTGCCTTGAAGCGACACACCGCAAACGGCGAGTAGAACTGCCTGCCTCCCCCCAAGCAGTAAGCCCACACGAGAGAGAGAGAGAGAGGACACGAGAGAGGAGAAAGGAGGCTCTTGCAGACATGCGATATACATAGAAATACCAACGCCACTCCCCACGTACACATGTGCACATGCACGGAATAATACCTTGTTGACGTCAAAAGATCTGATAATGATGAGTTGAGGCGGACGCGAAAAATCGCGATGAGGCACGGGCACGAGGGTGCAAATCAATTCGCAAAGGACGTCGATGTTGTACTTCAACACGGCGGAAATCGGAATGATGGGTGCCTTGTCGGCAGCAGTACCTGTTTTACAGACAGACAGATAGACAGACACACACACACACATACACATACGCACCAAACGCCAGTCTGTCGTATCTCCATCTCAAGCAAAAATCCACCTTCTCACATACCCACCTCCACGAAGATACACACATACGCAAGCATGCGTGCACAAAGACACACACGCATGCATCCATACACTCCGTAGAAAAACACGATACCCCCTTCACAACGCCGTTGAAACCCTCCAGCGTGCTGCCACCTATCTCTCTATCTCTATCTCTCTCTCTCTATCTCTCTAACGCCACGCCCTCTTGCTCTCCCCTCCGGCAAACACACCGATCCAAGCCCCCAAATCACCCAGCAGCAGAGCCTACAAAAACCGTGGCAGAGGTAGAAAGAGAGAGAGAGAGACTCTGCCCCTTACAACGTGCCCTTTCCCTCCGTACCTGCAACGAATTGCTTGATTTCTTGCTGCTGCTGCAGCGCCTGAGACTCCTTGATCAGCTCCACCTTATTCTGCATGCAGACGCAAGTGCAAACCTAGGGCGCCTCCCGCGTCTCGCGCATGCCCTCGAAGACGCCTAATGCGAGCGAAGACACCTTCTAAGACGCCTCCAAGCGCGTCTTTCGAGGTCCAACACGCAAGTGTCGTGCCGCCTAACCTGCAGAATGATAATATGCTGAAGGCGCATAATTTCAACTGCTGCCAAGTGCTCAGAAGTCTGCGGCTGCGGGCAGCTCTCATTTCCCGCAATCAGCAGAAGAGCGGCATCCATCACAGCGGCGCCGTTCAGCATTGTCGCCATGAGAATATCGTGCCCTGGACAGTCCACGAAGGATACGTGCCTGCATCATCACCCCGCATACCCGCACAAATGCATTTAAATGCACATCTAGAGATGCATACTACAACGCCGCCATCTGCACTCCCAACGGTGAAGAGCCAGCGCGTTGCCCTCCCTTCCAAAGCCGCATACGGCATACTCCCAAGTATTACCCCCTCCCTTCCCTCCTCCCCGAATACGGAGTCACTGCAATTGCAGAAAGACCAACCGACAGACAGACCAACATTCACACAGTCTCCCCTACCACCCCTTGCCGCCCCGTCTGTCTCAATGCACTTCCTTGTACGCAACAAACACCCCTAGGCATATCGCGACATACATACCGCATCAACTTCATCTTGGCACCGCATCCCGGCCTCAAACACGGGGGATCGTCTTCCTTCGAGGAACCATATGACCAGTAGCACTCGGGAGGAGGGCAGTCAGGATTTGTGCACTTGTAAATCTTTGCATTTGCATAGCTGCACAGTACAACCCAACACATATACATATACATACATATACATGCACACACACATACATACATATACATACATACAGATACACATATACATACATATACATGCATACACATATACATACATATACATACATACACATACACATACATACACATACATACACACATACATACACATACACATACATACACATGCATACACATACACACAGATACATGCATATACATATACACACACAGAGACGACCCATGACGCCAGGTGCAGCAGTCCTGTTTGGAATGTGGTAAACGAAAATACCAAAAAACGAAAAGTCTTCTGCCCAAAGCCACCACGAACACAATATGTAAGCAGAAGGTTTGGATTCCCTGCCAACACCCCGCGGGAAGAAATGGACTTGGGCAACCTCTCTGTCTCTTTTTCTCTATCCGTCTCTGCATCTGTCTCTAAGTGTAGGTGTAAGTGTCTGTATGTGTGGATTTCGACCGCGTGAAGGCCGCTGCCGAGACACCCAACCGGAACACAGGGCGTCTACGAAAAATCACCTACCCAAGTTTGATGGTAATGTTTCTTTCTTTCTCATGCTTGAAGCGCACCGTCTGAACCCCCGAAACTGCCCGTACAACCGTCGATTTGCCATGCGCGACGTGACCGATGGTTCCGAAGTTTATTGTTGCCTGCAAAAAGCGAAATCGAGGGGAGGAAAGGCGAAGATGAGGTTTAGGGGGACGCGAAGGGGGAAAAGAAAGGGAAACGGGGAGTGATCATGACACAGGCAGCGATGGCTGCAGCGAGCAAGCCACAGGAAGGAATATAAGCAAGTTGTTGCTGCAAACAACAACCGCTAAAAACTAAATGGGGAGACGGGCTGCTAGGTACAGTCGGTCTTTGAAACTAGCAACCGCTAGCTAAATACTGTTCATCGCGCCGGTACTTACTTGACGGCTAATCACTTCGGGGGAAAGGGGTGTCAGCTTGCTGACATCCAGCGTAGAAAGATCCTGCAAGCACATCGAGCAAGTGGCAAAAGACATGTGACACCATCAGGCCTTTGAATAACACGCTGCACGCGCATCCCTGAAAGGCCATACGGCGCTCGAGTTACGCCAAATGTTTCTTGGGGAATAACAGGCACCTAATAGCCACTGCCCAGGCTCTAGACCATCATAAATCTGCCCCCACGCCGTATCACATCACTGGCCACCCCTTTCTCTCCCTTTTCGCCCTCTTTTCCCATATTCATACCCCCCTCCCCAAATCGCCCCCCCGTGTCGTTTGTCTCACTTGGCAGAGCAGATGGTCCGTAGCGGCCGCCATTTTCCCGGGATATATATATGCGCTTCCGGGCAGCTGCAAACACAGCAAAGACGCTAGTGAACAGACATCCTAAGAACTTTCGCGCTGAGAGGCCCCCAGCGAAGGGAGGGCCCCCTTGCCCACCCACCGGCCCTCCCACGAAGCGTGCTGCTGAAATTCTGCAATTCCGCTGTACCGCTGCTGCTCGTCTCACAGCGTAGCTGTTGAAGACCGGGCTAAGAAACGCAAACACGCAGAAGAAGCCCTTTCCGCAGGCAGGACTGCGCCGCAGCGCTTACTCGAAGCCGCAAAACGGTGTGGGGGCGAGGGTTGCGAAGCGGGAAGCGGCGATCGAATTCCAGTTGCGAACCTCCAAGAAACGGAAGAAGCAGTTTCGGCTTTGCATGTAGCGTATAGGTTTGGCGATTTTGGCTGCCGCGCGGCAGCATGCATAATTGCAGGGAAAGCCCCGTCCTCATGATGGGTGCCACGCAGCCGACTGGAAAGCGCTCACTCATGCGCCGCCTCCCTTCTTCATTGTAAATGTTTGGAAGAGGCTTTCTTTTTACTTTTAGGTGCCACACGCTGCGCTGAGGGGGCTGTTTTTCCAATTCGCATGAAGCTACCCTACCCATTTGGGACTTGTATTCCCGCGGTTGAAGGCGGCGGTGCCGCCGTCTGAACACGTCTACGCAACTCTCCTTTCCAAGGGCTTCCCAGAAAGCTGCAAACTGCACAGCAACGGGGGAACGCAGCGAGCAGCGCTCCCGCGCCAGCATGCGTCTTGCCCTCTTCCCTCTGTGCTGTGCAGCTTTGAATTCTTTTAGCCCTCTGCACCGGTCGCATGGACCTCTCTGAGGCCGTATGGGTGGGTATGCGTGTGAGAATGGGGATGTGAGTGTGTGTATGTTTGTTTCCAACGGCGGCACGACACGGCGTTACCCCTTAAGGAACGATGCTTCGCTTGTCTTCCGTTCTGCTCGCCGGAGGGCCAGGGCGCTCCTTGTGCACTCCCACAGCTCACGGCCTCTCTGACGGCCCCTTCAGACGCATCAAATTCAGACTTCATAGACAGCAATTCCACAGAAAATACAGGGTAGGCATAAAACTCTGAAACGACCCGCCGACGGGGCCTCTTGCGGAAACACACACACACGCATATATATACATGTGTGTATCCCTGCATGTTCTTCTTTTTTTGCTCCTTTCTTTAGAGAGCCAGCTAGCCTTCTTCTTTCTGCCTGTCCAGTCCTTCTAAAGGCCGCACAAGGCACCGCTGCCTAGGCATTCTAGCAGAGATCGTCTTCGCCTTTCTTCGCTATCCTGGCGCGCGAGCGCACAGAGAAGGGCAGGCGGCCCTTGCTGCCTTGCCTTCATGCCCGTGCTGCGGAAGCTTTGCGTTTGTGATTTTCGTGCAGGACGTTCTGGTGTCTGCCGATGTCGACGGCCTTGTTAGTACAGCGCGAGAGCTTTTGTTGTGCCGCCCCGTAGGCACGGGGGGGGGGAATAGCTCCCTGAGGCTCTCGAGGCTCCCTAGCGGGGATGAAGCGGTGGGGGGAGAGCGGCCAGCGCGGCTCTCTTGGGAAGGTGCGACGTTTGACAGAGCCGCATCGGAAGGCGCTCAGGAATGCCCTTCACGGGATCTTTCCCAGCAAGCACATCAGCAGGGGGTGTCGAAGACGGAGGGGTTCTGGCAGGTGTATGGACGCCGCGCAAAGGAGAGCTTGCACCTGATGGGTGTTGCTGATGCGGCGCTTATTGCTGCAGCGTTTCATGCCCACGACCGAGACACAGGTAGGGGTGGCGAATATTCCCTGGAGGCCGATCCTGATTATTTTTGCGGGGCGAAGACAGGGGGGACGGGAAGGAGGGGGAGAGCAGAGGGAGGGGTATTGCGCTGTGTGTGGCGAAGCGATTGAGGCCTTTGAGAGGCATTGCTTTTCTGTTCGTGGTGCGATGTTTTTTCCTAGGCTTTTTTGCAGCGCTAGCACCCGCATTTGGAGCTTTCCAAGACGCCCCCAAGCGTCCTGCTGCGCAACGTCGCATGCGGCAGCAGCGGCAAGGGCAGCGGGATGTGGCATTAGCATCTGGAGGGGCCGTTGCTGCCTCTACACAAGCGGCACGCGCAACGGTAGACTCAGCAGCAGTGGAAGCAGCAAGAGCAGCGGCGGCAACAACTGAAGGCTTGTCGGAGGGTAAGAGCCTCTTGGTGCTGCTCGGCGTCCTAAGCAGCCGCGTCAGACTCGTGGAAGCCTTTCCTGGCCTTTTAAAGCAGCTCAATGCAAGACTGCCAAGAGTTCTCTATCAGCTAACAGGTATTATCTGCTGGTCGCGCCGTGGAGGGGCTGTTGCGAGCGCCTCTAGAGTTTCGTGTTCCCCCGTTTTCAGTGTCTGCTGCCTTTCCTGGCACGCGAGCGAGTGACCTCCTATGTGAGAAGCCGCTGATATTCGAGGCTCAGGCAGTTTGCATTTCTCATGGTATTTGTAAGGCATCTGTGTCATGTACTGCCCAGGTAGCGAAGTTTTGCGCATCATGGAGGCTGCAAGCTGGCGGCTGCAGCCGCTCGAGCTGCAGCAGCAGCAGGAGCAGCTGCAGCTGCTAGCCCGTCTCGTGTGGCGCAAAGTCATGGCTTCGGTTCCCCTTCTTGGGCCTGCAGGTTCGCTAGCACGAGCTTCAAAGTCTGACTTTGTTTGTCATGCAAAACGTGACGCACGCCTCCTTTCACGAGACTTGGAGGGCAGCCTTTCAGAGGAAGCATCACCTGCCGTGGCCACTCTTTACGGGGTGTGCTGGTACTGCTTCTTCTGCCGAGGGGGCGAGAGCGCATGGCGTTGCTGACGCATGCGGACTGCGGCTTTTGTCTGCAGACCTGAGTAGGGCTGTTCTCGCGTTCAGCAGCTGTGGAACGCGCTTGCCACAGCTTCTGAAGAAAATCGAGGAGAAGGCGCTCGAGTTGCATTCCCAGACGGAGGTAGCTGCAACGGCCTTTGCCTTTGTGCAACACAAGACGCTCGAATAGTAGCTGATACACTCTAGGTAGTAGATGTGCAGACGCAGTAGAAGCCTTCCTTTCAGAGGACTGCTATTTTGCTGGGAAAACTGGACTGTGTACTCACACACACACGCTTTGCTTCCCCTTTGTGTCGTGTACCAGTGTAGTGTATTTCCGACGGACTAAGGTTTCATGCTGCGGGTGTTTTTTTCAGGTTCCAGATGCCCTCCGTCTTCTGCGAGGTTTCATGCGCTCTGCATATGACGCGGAGAAGCTACTGGAAGTCTTCGAACCTCTTCTCACGAAGCATGCAGGCACCTTCTCAAGGTAAGGCCTGGCCTGCCATTAAAGGTTGGGCATGCCACCAAGAAATACTTTCCCGAGGTCAAGATGATGCTTCAGGCTTTCGGCAGTGTGTCTGCGAGTTGTGCCTTGGTGATGGGTGGCGCAGAAGTGACTGTGCGCTGTTGGCGAAGCTAGTAGATGAGGCGGAATCTACCAAATTCAAAGCCTTGAGAGCTGCCCTGAGCCGGTAAAGTGCCGTTCAGACAGCGTTGGGGGTACTGGTGCAGCTGCTACTGCACAGGGGATATAGCGTCTTTTGAATGGGGCGGTCCTTCCTATAAGGCTACTAAGCGTTGCCGCGTGGAAACATGGCCATCTCCATAGTCGGAAGGCCCCTGACGCGAGAATGCATCCTAAGCTACTGCCTGCTTTCATTTTCCCGAAGCAATGCTTTTTGGCTTCACTCTCTGCCCTGTTCTCGGCCGCTTTTTCTGCCTGTTTACCTCGGCCTTTGCAGAACCGCCCGGCCAGCAATTGGCTGCCTGTTAGGGGAATGCTAAGAGGAGTGCATACGAATGACATCCTTGTAAAGATTGTGGGTAGCTAGAGAGCAGCGGTGTGTGGGGTGGTTCGTGTTGGGAACGGCGCTGCACTGTGCGGGAGGTTAGCGCTCCTTCAGGCCAGCGCGTCTGCTATGCTACAATAGCAAGTTGGGTGGTGCGTTGGCTGTCAGAGGGGTGTTTGGTCTGTAAGGGGGCTTTGAGAGGGCTTCCTGAAAACTGACATAGAGCCTAGAGTCTTCCTAGATTACCCCAGTGTGAAGTGGGCAGTAGAGGCAGTGTAGAGATCTCTCTATAGGGCGTGCGGGGATAACCACAAGCATTCCTCCAACACAGCAGATAGCCAGAGCGAAAGACATACCTTCAGCCTTTGGAATAATCCTTCATCTAGGATCTTTGTAGGGTGAGACTGAACTTCAGACTCCACACAAACTGGGCGACACCTTGGAGACCGCTTTCCAAGGAAATGTCACCTTCCCCTTACCGTGCTGCTCAGAGTTTCCGATATACGGGGCAAGGGGCGGCTACTGTTTACGTGGCACCTCGAACCTAGAGGAAGATGGATATAGAAGGAGCGTCTCTCAAAAGAGGAGCGCGTTGATCTTGGTCACCTGGCAACACGCCTTTTTGTGGTCGCCATCTAATGCACTTTGTGGAACATTCTACCTCGCCAAGACCAAATCTTCACGCTTGGATTGCACAAAACCAAGCGCCGTTAATAGTCATTCATCCGTGTTTCTATCTCGTGAGCTTTGAGCGCACATTCTTGTGCAGTAGCCAGCTCTTCTCTGAATCTCGCGTGTGCTATGGGTAGCTGTTCACCCCGGACTACAAGGTTCAGGTCCACATTGGAGCGCTTCCTTCCTTGTAGATTGGCGACGTGGGAAGACAGCGGGTAGATGAGGGTATCTGTCCTCGGACGGCTCGCAAAGGTCATATTTAGGTCAGTGTGTAGGTGGGTTATAAAGCCTCACCTTAGCACAATGAGAGGAGCAGTCGGATATACGAAGGCTTTCACCGTGAGCCGGGGAGTGCGCCCCAGAAATAGAAGATGAGCCGAGGGTTCGTTCGCCGCACAAATTGTGAAAATGAGCAGCAGCGCTGTCACGCAGGCCTTGAGATGCTCCGGAGAGGAGGTGACCGCTGGCATCAATGCCAGCTGCAGTCCACCTAAATGTGGAGAGAGCAACTCAACTGGACACGCCGCTACGAAATCCGATAATGGACAGAAGCAAGCGAAGATGCCCCTTACAATGCGTTGGACGCTGTTTTGCCCACCAGGCAGAGCGCGCATCCCACCCCAAGCACAGACAGAGCTCGTCCAGAAAATCGGTGAGTACATAAAACTTCCAGATATCCACGAACAACAAATGAGCGACTTCTCAAGCCTTGATGGGGCTGAAGCATGGGACGTCATGAGCCAAGCTGCTGAGTCTGCCGAAAACAACGCAGCTGCTATCCTGCCCCTCCGCCAATCCAGCAAGAAAGCCCGTAGTCAAATCAGTCAAAGTCTTTATAAGGACAGAAAGGCTTTGCATTAGGCCGGGCCCAGAAGAATTGCGCGGCTTCAGCTACCAAGTATCTGAGCATGGCGATACATACTCTGCTACTGGACGCATCCCTTGCCATCAGAGAACCATTAAAGCTTTTTCCACGGTAGAGGGATTGCTAGTACGGCCCAATGCAACCCTATCACATGCCTTGCGTATAACAACACGGCGAGGAAAAGTCAGAATGAACAAGCGACAGAGTCTTTACTTTGTTTTGAATCAGAGCACTTCACTCATAACGTGGGAGTGCGTTAGCCTTTTGCCAGTCCGGATATTGCCAGGAGAAAACATATGATTCACATAATGTACACAAAATAATCGATTCACCCACAACCGCTGGATGGTCGCAAGAGCGCTTCGGCCAACACGTTGATGATGCCTTCAATATTGTTCATTGGTAAAGTCGTACTGCAGGAAGCACTTACGGTAGTTAACAGACCCCAGAAAAGTCCTAAAACCTCATCGTAGGTTGTAACAAGGAGTGCTACTTCGTCTGGACAGTCGAGTGACTCCCACATAAATATTTGCGGCACTTTTTTCAACCTTACTACCACGCATACAGTTTCTTCTTCCTCCTTGGATGCCCCTACTCGGATTCGGTGAAGCACTGAGGATAGAAAGCAATGATTTGGCGTTTAAAGAACCCGTAGCCTGTCGGTAAATGGTGGCCACCGCTACGTCACAAGCATCAACTTTTACGAACAAATAGCTCTCACAATCGGGCAGTGGGACTATCGGAGGAGTTTTCAGGCTGCCAATAAGCGTCTGCACTGTGCATCATCCAGCTCTGCCAGGATCATAGACTACGTTTTTTGGAGTAGATGATTCTGCGGAGCAAAGATATAATCGGAATCCGGGTTCAAGCTTCGGGAGTGATGCAAACCCAATAAACTTCGTAACGTCTTTGCGAGCGCATGGAGAAAGGGGTCGAGTTGCAGCTGCTTCAATATTTTACGGAATCTACCTCATTTCCAGCGGAAGCGCAGAAATTCCATACACAATGCGTTACCATGAATGGAAAAAATAGGAGTACTTTCGCATACCACTGCTTGTATCGTAACGGCCGATGCGCATGCCGTAGGTGATGCAGGTGCTCCTGAACGTGTTGGCTCAATAGTAAGGCGTAGTCAATCTGGACAGCCATGCACCTCCCCTTGATTTGCGTACTTAAGTTCCAAGTAACTTGCTGTAGCAGTTCAGCTACTTCATCAACCATCCCAAACGACATACCGGTCTACTCTAGATTGCAAGGGTGGGTGTGGATGGCCCTTTGGTGCTTGCCATCAGGGTGTATGGGGACTTTAAAAGAAACTATGTAAAGCCAGACGTCAACTGGCCCGTTTTCCTCCTTCAGCTTGCTGAGTAACCCTCCGAGATGGACCATCAGGAGCTTCTGCTTCACAGTGACTTTGTTTCAAGTCTTACAGTTAACATTATATAGCATATTCGCAAACTCCTCAATGATATTCGCCCATTCACATTGTTCTTGGCTGAGCTTTCAGTCCACTTCCCTAATATATAGCGAGCTACAAAGCCAGTAGGGCCGGATGCACGCCTAGATATGTTTTTTCAAAGTGTGCTGCTAACCCCATGAACAAGGGTCTGCTTAACCTTGTTGAGGCACCAACCCTATGCAAGCTTACGCTCGATAAAATAAGCGCTTTATTCATATACATTAAAAGCTACTTGGGTAAAAACATTTCTGGCATGCTAACTTCTACAGCGCACAGGTGTGGCTGCATACGCGTCTTCTATTGTGTCACCCATCCACAGGATTTCGTCGTGGTACACACGACCACCACAGAAGTCACGGAACATTCTGATAGAGCCTCATTCTCATTTGTAGCAGCATGTAGCCGCCATGAGCCAGCCAATCATTGCGTTCAGCCACCTGTCAGCACGCCTAAGTCTTGGGGGCTGCAGTAGCCAGGGAACTACCAATTTGCAATTCAGTCCCGTTTCCTCAAATAATACCGCCACTTCACATCCAGTGCTAAGTAATGCTAGCAGTTCCTGGCGAATAAAGTGTGCCTATCTTAGCGCAGACCTGAGCTGAGGTGGAAACCCAACTGCTATTATCCTTTTGTAACCCCCTTTTACTATGCCACGGCCTGTGTGGGGGGCATTCCGTTTCCCTGATGCGCATTTTTGCTCGCCAAGGAGCCTGCTTTTGCTGGGCATAGTCCGGTTGCTTAAATTGTTGGAGTTTTGCCTGCGCCTGCATTTCCAAATTATGTGATCCAATTTCTCCTATACCAGGGTACTACACGGTTAGGGGTTGTTTGGCGTTGCTCAGGAGAATGGGTGGATTCCTTCTGGACTTCTTTTTCGTCCCCCTTACAGTGGAGCCTAGGGTCTCTTGACACAACTTACTCGATTTGGCTCCTGCATTTTTGCAAAAGATGAAGGAGTTCCGCTCATTTTCCCCTTAGACTCATCTAGTACACGATTAGGAGAGGCCCCATCGGGCGGATGTTTGCTCTCCAAATTGCTGCCCGTTCTCCGACCACCTGATCTCACACTCCAAGAGCACCTGCCACTAAAGACTGATAAAGCATCTGTTGGTCTACGTACTGGCTTTTCCAAATTAAGCTTCACATTTCTCGTTGTGCCGCAGGATTGATGCAACTCATGGCTTCCGCTTTCTCGATTCTCCCAATACCTAATCTCGAGCTGCTTTCGGCATAATTTGATAGCTCATGGATTGCTTGCAGCGCGGTAATCCCTGCAGGCAGACGACTTCCTCTGCATGAACAGAGCCACCATTGAAGCCTTGCCCCCGCCAATGAAGTATTGCAAGAAGCACTGGCTTCTCTCCTAACCAAGGGTACGAAGAAAGCTCTATCTGCATAGCTGATAGAATGACATGGACTGCCAGCCTAAAAATGTCCATGGCCGCGTTAATGAGGTAACGCCGATCAGAAATGTATGACGCCAGTAAGGATGGGCAAGCAGTTGGAACATTTCCAGTTGGAGTAACTTCGATCGCTTCAGCTCTCAGGCTGGCCTCTGCCGCTCCTGCGGAGCGTTGTGACACCGTCAGTTTCCACCGCCTATGCTTTGTTCCCCACTCTGTTGCCAAAGAAATACACGCCACTAAATTACCGAGAACTTGATCGAAACCAGAAGACTGCTGCAAGAAATTCTGAAATTACCCTGCGTACATAGCCAGTGGATGAGAGGGAAACAGCTACATTGACCTCTAAAGCGCTGCCAACTTCAACGCTCCATACGATATAGGTACGGAGAGACTTTTTGCTCCAAGCAAGACAAGCTAACTCTATTGTTGAGTGTTTTCCATTATAGCCCTCTCCTTTCCCTTCTCACCCTCATTAGAGTTAATATGCAAGGGGATAAGACCTGATAGGGCGTACTTAGCTGGATCTTATAAGCACGTGACGTATTTACAGCTAGCTCTACGTTGCATGTTACACACACCGACACGAGGGTGTCAATGCTTGTGATCTGCTCTGCTGGAAGTAATATTTAACAAGAGGCAAACTGATGAGCTCCCTATTAGCTAGTGCTTAGTCAAATGCTACTTGTGGCAGACGGTGTGAAGTGTAGCCTGGCTGCCAGTACAGTTGGGGGGTTAAGGAATGACGAACCTTGGGTTCGTGGGGATTTGGGGTTTGACGGACTGTCGGTAGCAGCCAGCGTGTTGTCTGTGGAGCCTACTTCCATAATTCGCTGCCGGAAGGAGCACTGGCGTTGCGAAGAAAAGGCTTTGGTGCCAAGTCTTGAGGTGTGGCATTTTCGGTAGTGGTCACCGCAATGAAACTCACCCCCCGTATGGAGCAGGGCACAGACGGCCGGCTGGAAGCAATAGTTTGCTAGGGAGAAAACACTGCTATTTGGCTGAAAGGCGAGTAGATCGTCAATTAAAAGAGATGGATAGAGGTTAGGGGGGGTAAAGGGCACTTGCAAGCAGCAGCGCCGTGGAGCTGCAAACACAAACACATATTAGACGGTGGTTGCTGCTTCAATGTTTGTCGCCCTTTTCAATATTTGTTATGATTATGGGTCTATTTTTCTTTTCCTTTTGAAATACTTGGACGCTCGCTCATTTCACCCTAGAGGCTTTGGTTAGCGTTTCTCGTCGCAGTTCACTGACCAGCGGACTTGCCCACAGAGAGAAAGTACACCAGAAACACCTCCTTGTAGGTCGTTCGTAGGATACAAGGCAGTAACCTGCTTGGAACTATAGACATACTCCGGAAAGACACGCATAAAGTACAAGCAGAGATCGCCATTTGCCCGACATCCAGAGGCCACGACGATGGGATCTTCAGCAAGCAGGCAGAAAACAGTGCGCAAAGTCGCGGCAAGCTCTATCTGTCTCTCTCTCTCTCACACATGAAAGGTCGTTTCCGCTAATTTATCTATTTTTCAAAGCGAGAACACTCTCAGTAGTTGGAAGCCCTTCGCCGCAGGTGCCGGGATCGATTGCAGGAAGGGCATGTGAGCACTTTGAAGGCTTGTCCCCGGATCCTGTCTCTCGTGCTTCTGCTGCTCTATTTTTGGCATAGATATCGCCAGGAGACTTGGTGTGGCTCGCCAAGAAGCCGTTCATTGAAGTTTCTGGGAATGACCGCGCAGAGTAAGACGCTTTTTCTGGAGCCTGCTGGTTCGTCACCCGGAGCTGCAAGGCTCAAGCGGCTGGCCGAATCTGCTCCTACTGCTAACTGCACCCGAGCAGCAGCGCGCTGAGTCCGGTTCTGCGTGCTTGTACATCTGCGTACAAGCCACTCTGCTGTGCACGGGGTATGCCTGATACACCTGCGTCTTCTCGTCATCTATCGCGCTGTCTTTGCGCAGAATCACGCTTGTAGTGGATACCGGCTGCTGTGCAAGGATAGTTTTAATCGACGACCGAACTGGTGAGCAACTTGCCATCGATGTAGTCCTGCTGCAGGGAGAAGCACGGAAGATCCTAGTTGAAGGCCTGATGCCAGGTAAGAGCACATTGCAATCATGCGTGTGCTTCCATATTCGTGTATCTTCCACGCACATCGCTCATAAGAAAGTTTGGAATCCTGCTGGCATGTAAGAGTGCACGTACGCGGGTGCGACGGAGGGGCAGTGCGGCAACTCTTTCCAGCACCAGTCTGCTTGTAGTCGCGGTATGAAAAAATCCGCATGCGCCTGCCTGTCTACTGTTCAGGCTCAATTTACAGGATTCTGTTTCTCTTTCGGCATGACCAGGGATCACGCTGCCGGTGGCTCATCAACGTGCGGAAGAAAACGGAACAGACGGGAGTGAGGATCTATTTCGATACGCCAGAGGAAAAGAAACAACTGGAAAAGGTAGCCGCCTGGCCGCTGTTTCCAATGCGGCAACCAGGCGATTTTCCAACGTTCTACGAGGTCCGCACTCCCCCTAAACTTTGGTAACACCAACTTTTTTGGATCGCGCAAGAATCACGTCCTTTGAGAAGGGCGTTAGCTCACAGCTAATACATGCTGAAAAAGGCAGCAGGCTCTGGCTATATTTGCAAGAGGGTTAATGCAGAAGCGAGCTGTTCTGCTCCAAGTGACCACGCATCGCTATTTCTTTTACTTGGGCGGCGCTTGCCCTCGCAGGCATTGAGCCGTGCAGAAATGTGCACTGCTTCCGCATGCGCCGCGCACACCCCAAGTAACACTTTAACAATGAATAAAGCTGCAGCGTACGTAGTCCAATCAATAAGCACTAAGCAACAAAGACACATCGTGCGCCCTGCTCACTGCAAGGGTGAAATGTGATGCCGTGTATACACAAGGCGGAGGTTGGAGTTTCACGACTTCCATGGCCGGTGGGCATCGTTAGGCGCTAGGAACTCGATGCGGAGGAGCGCCGTTTGAACAACGGTCTCGTAAAAGGATAAATATCGTTAAAGAAATTAGCTGGCGGAATACATTCCCCCGCAAAAGCAAACGTCTAATATAGCCAAAACGACAAAAGCAAGAACGAACTACGAAGGCGGCAGCGGAACTTTCCGTACAATACCGGGATGCCGTCGATGCGCTTCCGCAAGGAGGGGCGCTTTCGTCGCTTCTCCTGACAGTGGAGGCGTAAACCAATAAGGATTGTTGAGTCGGAAGACTTGAACCGGCGGTGTCAAGCGACAGCCGTCTGTAAATGATGCGAGGACGGCGCTAAAACACATGCTGTTGCATGGATTTTACCACATTGGTGCTTCATCACATTCTTTGATGATCGTATTCTTTAAGTTTGACATCAATAACGCGCCCATTTAGCACATCCGGTACACACGGCCTAGCGCGCACACATCTGATGAGTACAAGCCAAAGTGTGAGCGTCGTCATGGAGCCGTGCGCTTATTTTACGTTTCGCCATGCAAACAATGCTTGTAGCCACTTCTGGCTTTAAAACCCAGTGGGTGCTCCTTTATTTTTGACATTTCCTGGAGACTTTAGAAGCTGTGAAACAGTGTGTACTTTGTTAGTGCTTGTCCCCGGGATCGGCTGCGGATTATTCTGCTGATGGCTGCTGTGTCGATGCCGCCCTGCTTCACCCTGCGACAGCAGCGACCGCAGGTCTATCTTCGTAACGTTGACGCCTTCAGCTGACTTTTGCAGCTTTATCTTTTGGTTAATCAGCTGCACCTTGGACCCTGTAGGCGCAGCTGCGTTCGCGGCGGTAGTAGCGGCAGCAGATGCGATCGCTGCAGTCGTTAACGGCGGAAAAGAACTTGAGGTCAGCAGAGATGCAGGCCACTGATCCAAAAACAGCGGGATTACAACACCTGCATTACTAAGCGCCTCCCAACGCGACGCGTTAGACCTGAGATTCGTCATGACCTCCTTTCTGAACAGACAGAAGGCGCATTCAGCAGCCCACGCAGTACACACCCCTCGAAACGCTGCTTTAGAACCTTTAATTAACAGTCGAGAGCCACTAAACCAAAAACACGCGCGAACTTTCAGTTAGGCATATAGATACTTGCGCCATGCGCGCGCACAGCCATCAACCCCGACAGACAAGGCCATAAGCATCGAGTGACTGGTGCTTTCTTTGGCCATGGAAGTCTTGTGGAGACGCTCACGCGATGTGCCACAAGCTCAGATCGCATGGAATCAACGCACGTGAAAGTACACACACACACATATCTGCATGGATACAGCGCGCAAGATCAGATTCGAACTCGTAGATTTGCAGAGATGCCTGCAATGAGCAGAATGTGACGGACGTACTCAACAGTGCCGCTAATATCAACGGCCGCAAGTTCGTCGAAGAGCGGCTTTGCTACAAAATTTATAAAACCCATTTGGCTCTTTGCCGCGTCCCCATGTTTCTCCCTGTCACAGAGGGGGGAAATCGGCAGACACCGCAGCCGTTCTTCGTCGCCCTACAGCAGCACAGCCAGCATCCATCGCGTAAATGTAGTTGTAAGAAGCCAAAAAACCATTCCGAAAACTGATAAGGCCACGCCTGCCAGACCCCTCCCTCCTCCCTGCGCCGTAAGGCCCTAAATCCAACCCAGCCTCTCTTAGAATGGCAGCATAGCTCTCTTAGAATGGCAGCATAGCTCTCTTAGAATGGCAGCATAGCTCTCTTGGAATGGCAGCATAGCTCTCTTGGAATGGCAGCATAGCTCTCTTGGAATGGCAGCATAGCTCTCTTAGAATCGCACCATATCTCTTAGAATGGCAGCAGCAGAAACGCTGCACTGCTTGCAAACTGCCGGCAGTCAGCAACCCCACCATGGAGAGGCGCTACTATACACATCCATGGCACTGCAGTAAGGGCCGAACCTGATCATAGAATTCGTTGAGGACTCTTTGACACCACTCGAAATGCTGCCCCCATTCCACGCCGCAGTGGGAGATGTCGGACGCCTTAATAAACATTCTAACTAAAAACCAGAAGTCGTCTTCAGAAAATAAATCAAAATCTGGCGCACTTCGGCGTACCTAAAGAACAAGCATATCCACGAACACTCCGACTCGACATCCATTACACTGAAGCCATGGCCTCCCTCCCCCTTTGCCCCCTCCCCCTGTTCTGCAGACATTTCCCTTCCTTCCCCCCTTTCCCCCACAGAACCTCCTCTTTTCACGCCTCGTCGGCACACGATGTTTGTGTGAGGGCTGCAAGGAGACGCTAAGATCTTCCGGCAACAAAAGGACTTCGCCGCGCTGATCAAAGCCAGGCACTCTTGCGCATGTATGTGCGTGCAACAGCTCTCTCTCCCCACGTGTAGAAGCAAGAAAAGCAGTGCAAGAAAAATGCGAAACCGCTTCAGCCGAGAGAAGGTGGCGGGGTGCAGTGCATGCAAGGTTATTTTACCTACCCGAAAGCGCGAGACAGTCTCGAAGTGTCCCTTCATGTCGGTAGCTAGAATGAGTTCGATGATTTGCGTTCGCACCATCAAGTATTCCTGCACCGCCGCAGAGCGCATGCACGCAGCTGCGCCTAGAGGTCGCATGCATGCACTTTAAAAAAACACACACTAGACCCTTGCACTGAGAGCCGCGCGCGCGCATGCAGAGGCCACAGATGCGACGCGAATGCCTCCTTTCGTTCTCTTCCTCAACAGAGCACCACTCGTTCGGGAGGGTGGCGAATCCGGCAAAGAAGACGCCAGAAACCTACTCGCGTCTTGAGGGTAACGAAGATGTCACAGTCCTGCTTTTCCAGAGTCTTGAAGGTGAGACACGCGTGGTAGTTCTCGAGCACGGCGCGATCGTTGTATAACAGCGCCAAGGGTTCCATCGCGTTCGAAAACAAAGCGTTGTTTCGACCAGGATGCCCGATGTCGTGGCACAGACCTGCAGCCGCAGAGACGCGCAGTCAGCTGCGGTTCACACGCAGAGCGTTGGAGGAAAAAGACGGAGGCAGGCGGCTTCTTTTCCGCCCCCGGGAAGCGCGTATTGAACGGCCACTGCCATCGCAGAGGAAACTGGAGCTCTCGCCACTGCCAATCAAAAGCAGGCACGATAAAGAAGGAAAAGGCGCAGAGACGGAGAGGGAAGAGAAAGAATCGCGAAGCCGTCCGTCACGTCTGTCCGTGCAGAGACGCGCATGCCTCGTAGTTTTGGGGGCTTTGCGAAAGCCTGCCTTCCCAGCCAATGTGGTGGTCACTACACGCGAGAGGAGGAAGGCTGCCATGAACGGCCGTAGGCAGAAACCTTGCATGCAAGACAAGACTCTTCTTTGACGATTCGGGGTGGCAAAGAAGCAGCGTGACAGACACGCAAGACTCGCCATGGCCAGCGTGCTAATGCCTTTGCTAGCAGGTGCTCGGCGAGCAATTGTGGAGCAAGTGTGAGTCAGCGAACCTGCAACAATGATAAGCGCCATATCGCGTGCTTGGCGGCTCTTGACTAGAGAAACCAGATTCAGCAATGCGTATGTCTTCTGAGCGACCTGAAAAGACACTCATCGCGCACATTCACTGCAACAACTTAGGCACGCCCTCCGTATGCGAAGGCTTGAGAAAAAGATCCAGAGGAATCAGAGACAGCCTCCTCCTTGTTCCTCCTACCCTCACCCCCGGAAACCAAAACACCAGAGAAGCGAGAGAAAAAAACCCTCAGGAGGAAGAGTTGTCAAACTTCTTCCTCTGCATTTCTCCCGAGAAGACCTCTTCCCCGCACCTGCCTCCCGCTCACACCCCAGGAACCCTCCTCCTCCTGCCCTGTTGCACTCTGCTGTGAAGTGTCTGTGGAAGTTTGGAGACGCAGCGCAAAGGGTGGCTGCCACGCGCTGCTGCTTCTGCATCTGTCTGGCAAGAGCCTGAAGACGCCACGTGGGGGAAGGAAGGTCGAGGGGAAAAAAGTGGAGGGGAAAAAAAGTGGAGGGGAAAAAAGTGGAGGGGAAAAAAAGTGGAGGGGGGCTTGAAGACGGAGGCTGCTAAGAGGAGGATGTTTCCAGGGAGAGAACGTGTGCGAGCATGCGGACCATAAGCCCATGGAGAGCGTTGTGGTAGGGAACGCAGAGATAGTGCTTGTCGACGGCCTTAAGAAACTTGGCGAGGGTTTGTTCAGAGCACAAGCCAGATTCCAAGCAGAAGGGACTTAACAGAAGAAAGCCTAGCTCGGGGAGAGGCGCTCCTGTCTCTCTTCCGTATGCCAACATGTCGAATTTCCATTCGGAAGGAGCCCCCGTCGCGTTCGAACCCCCCTGTCCACATACACATACACATGTGCACACACACATACACACGCCGCACATAGCCATCCTCCCTACTCTTGTGCGGGCGGAGCGTTCGAAGGGGGAAGGGGGAAAAAATTAAAACGATCCGCTTAAGAACTTTACGGGCAGTTTTCTTCTACCAGAGGAAAGCGGGGTGGTCGCTCGACTATTTGTTTGGTAGCCGTGGATGCTAGCTAGCCAAGAAGGGAGCGAACGGCTAGTCGTGGCCTCTCCCCTAGAGCGTCAACGAGATGTGGCGTTTCCATCCCCTTTTCTTCTCCCCCCTGTTTTCTTTCCCCTTTTCTCCTCCCCCCTGTTTTCTTTCCCCTTTTCTCCTCCCCCCTGTTTTCTTTCCCCTTTTCTCCTCCCCCCTGTTTTCTTTCCCCTTCTCCTTGCTTCCTCCCTCCCTCCGCGCGACACCCAGGAGCAGTGCAGAGCAGAGCACGGCGCTTACGGTTGGCGTCGGACTGAACAAGTACGCAACCTTGAGGAGTTTGTCCTCTCCAGCAGTAATCCGCTCGTGAGTCGCCCTACTGACTCTGCGAGGTCTCTGTAGCATGTCGGAGAACACAGAGCTCCTGGTGCTGTTTTTCTCAGCGCCTTCTTCCGGAGGTTTGCTAAAGGGCGTTTCCTCTGCAGCGTGCGATCCACGACGGCTACGGGGAAGAGGTAGCAGTTGGACGCCTTGTTGCAAGAGTTTCCCTGCTTCAGCACCAACGGCGCGCCTGCCCGTAGCCATTGGAATTTCCTCGGCTACACACACTGCTGCTCCTCCCAGCGGTCTCTTTTCGGAGGCTTGAGGCGGGGGGACAGAGGGTAATCGCTCTCCAGCGGAGACAACGGTCTTTCCGCCGGCAGGAGCGCTGTTGTTGCGCGTTTGTTCGCCATTAGACTCCCGCCTAGGCCCTGTCTCCGACTGCGTGAGTGATGAAGGCAGGGAGTCGCGCGCGCGCACCCAGTCTTTCGGGAGGGCGTTCTTGTCATTCAAGAGAGATCGGATAATGTCCATGTGCTCAACGTTGTCGAGGGGACCAAAGTTTACGGCGTACAAATTCGTTGTCGTGCATAAAATTGAGAGGCACTGCTGCAGCATGGTCTTGCTCTCCTGCAGCTGTGAGCGCAAGTCTGGGCGCAAGCCGTCCGCTGCGGCCGCTAAGGCTAATTGATTGGACTCCTGCATCTGCTTCACCAAGTGCACCAACTGCTCTACAGATGTAGATACACCCCCCCGAGAACGCTGACGCTTTAAATCTGACTCAAGGCGATCGACTCGTCGCCGCGTATCCTGCCAACACACAGACACACACATGTGCCGCCACACAATCAAAAACGCTTTAAAAACAGAATGACAAAATCAAAAAAATACACACAAATACATATACACACTACATTCATACATTCACATTTACATATATATATATATATATATATATATATAGAGAGAGAGAGAGAGAGAGAGAGAGAGAGACAGTGAAAGAGCCCCTGCTATTTTTGAGAACCCAGGATCTGCACAAGCTTCGAAAGAATTAAGGCTTCGAAATTACCAGCCAGCCGACAAAAGTTTGCCTGAGATGCATCTCTGCTGCATAGCGGCCAAGGTACAGGAAGAGCGCCAACACGAAATACGTCACTACCCGAGTGACTCTGCAGACGGCACAGCCCGACAGTCCAGACACCCGACTGCGCAAATGCTCTGAGAAACGGTTTTTGCAAGAAGACGATTTCGAGCTAAAAGGACTTTTTGAGCAGCTGCGCAGCAGCCGCAAACTGCATGCACGCACGCGTCCGCCACTAGAATGGAAGAAAAACTGGAGAGCAAAGAAAAGCGGTTCTTGTTCCTTCTAAGCCATCATATCACGCACACGAAGGAAGGCGCGATGAAGCGTGGATTAAGACTTCCGCGTATAACAATCGAGGCAGCACTCGTGCCGAAGAACGAAACGTGGATTAGCCATGAGTACTTGGTCCTACAACACAAAGCATCGAAGCACAAACCGGAGATCCGGTAAAGACTCAGCGGCAAGCTTTAGCAAGCGCAGCGTTCCCTGCGCTCTCCCATGGAAAACACATGAACGGCCTCAAAAAGAGAAAACGCAAGAAAAAAAAGCAGTTCAAGCGTAATTTCCCGCAGACGTCTGACAAAAATAAGCCCCAGAGATGCTGCCACGCATGCGATCGTTAGGATGTACCCTGGCGCGACGACCGGGTGAAGACTTGGTACGCACATGCATCCACGCAAGCCACAGATATATATGTATATATATATATATATGCGCAAAACTCTGCTGCTCATGTCCTTTCAAGAAAGTCTGTGTGTGTGCATGCGTGTGTTTGTTTGTTTGTTCGTTTGTTGGCTTGTTGGTTTGCCCGTGTTCGTTTGTCTCTTCTTCTTATTTCTATCTGTCTGTCTCTGTTCCTCCGGGAAGATGCATGCGTTCGGATGCCACAGCGCAAGGGCACCAACGCGGAAAGAAGTAGCACACACAATAGCAATAGACGGATAACCACAGAATGCATGAAACGTCGCAGACTTCTCCTACCTGGATGGTAAGACAACATCAATTAGGACTACAGGCAAGAGCCCGTACAAATAACTCATGGCCGTGCAGGCTTCTAGGGCAGTACTCTCTTCGGTAGATCGAAAGTCATTGGCATGCTCGGCTTGGCTCTCCAAGAGGTAACTTGCCATACTATTCCATACACCCCACATCGTTACCAGCTGAAAACGCAAACAAAATACGCCCATACGGAAACATATATATATATATATATACATACATATATATATATATATACGTATGTATACAGACAAGCAGACACACACACACTTGCACACACACTTGCACACACTTGTACACACACTTGTACACACACTTGCACATACATACACACACACACACACTTGTACACACACTTGCACACACACATACAAAGAAGACGCAAAGATGCCGAATGAGATGGTGCTGGCAAGAAGAACGCAAGAAAGCGTCCCCCACGCCTTCCTTCCCTCCCGCCGTCTCCGCTCTTTGACGATGGTAAGGCGAGTGCACACGGCAACACGCATGCAACCGAGGGGGTCTTGCGAGACTACTGCCATCCAACAAGCTAACGACCACCAACATAAGCCGCAAGAATACGGCATCCCCATCAACGGCGATACAAATAGAGCCAGCATCACCCACGACAGGATACAAACAACCGCGCATACGCCCTCCCTCAAACAGCCTAGTGTAGGTAGGTGTGTAAGCATCTCTAATCTCTACATACGTATAGACCTATGTATGTATACATGCATGAAATGTACATACGTATACACATATGTATGTATTCATGTGTATGCATTGAAGCCTTTGAGGGTAGCAGGTCCCCGTCCATCTGAAAGTGCATATAACGGTCTCACACAGCATTTGAAGTGCCTTCGTGAGAGATTTAAAAATAGCTGCGCAGCCATGCATTTTGCTGTTTTTCTGCCTGTGTAACATCCGAGTGTTAGGTTTCTCCCGCCGTGCACAGCCCTTCCCCTTCTCCCTTCTCCCCTTCCCTCTGCCTCTTTCTTCCTCTCTCTCCCCCGCCCTCCTCTCTGCTCTTTTGCGCGCTTACGAGCAGCAATGCGATGCTCGTCAGGTGCTCGGCATAGTTTCTGGTGGCTGTACAAAAGCCTGAAAATCCGAGCGCGATGGACGTGACTACGGTGACAGCCATAGCGCTGTTGAACATGATCCCAATCGTGCTGGTGTGATCGAAGGTTGTTTGTTGATCAAAACTCCACGCGAGGAGGGGCCACATGGCGAAGGTGAGGACGAGGAGGAGCAAGCACATCGGTATGAGCCGAATACGCATCCAGTGATTTACGTTCAAGGCGAAAAGCTCTTCGAGTTCTTTATTGATGAATACAAGAGGGAAAGCCCGCATCAATTTTTCAGCGGAGTTCGAGCTACCCCGCAGGCTATTGCTCCGACACACCCCGCTAGCGCTGCTCATGGTGCTGCTGCGGCTCAAGAGCCGTGCCTGCCGCTTGCTGTGCAGCTGCTCCTGCATCAAGTCTTCCTTCGTGTGAAATGCCAGATCGCTGCTAGGACTAAGTTTCTTGCACAGGCTGCAGATCCGCGTGCAGCAGGCACACCAGCAGGCGTATCCGAGGCGGGTTCCCAGAGGCACGTACAAGGAGGTGTTGCTAGTGCTGCTGTAGCTATGCGTGTATTGACCATAAGCACCTGACGCTTCGCTCACACTGGGATGATCTGTATCGTCATCCATTACAAGCAATTCTCCTCCGTCGAGCTCGACTCCGCACAATATAGGGGCCTCCAGAGGCGAAGAAACAGCACCGTCATTCTGCAAGGAAGGGGGGAGCTCTCCTGCCGCTGCACCCTGTAGCAGATCCCCGTCCGTCACATTTTCCAAGTTGGCGAAAGACACCGTTTTGACGCGCTGAAACTCCCGCCGACGATCGTCATCACGGCCGTTGCCGTTGCTACTACGGACGGCAGCAGCAGCGGCAGCAGCGGCGCTCGCAGACGCCGACTGCGCAGGCGTTAGGCTGCCAGACTTTCGCAAGATTGGAGAAGGACTGAGAGGCGAGCTGTTGGGCATAGATCGGATACCCTCCCCTGCGCTGTTGCTTCTCTCGAGCAAACCACCAGAGTGCGAGGGTGAGCCGCCCCCCTCCCCGAAAACAGCCATTCTGGCAAAAACACGGGCCTGTTCATGAGGCGGGAGGGTGGAACCTGCCTCCTCTCATGCGGCAAGGCTGCGACTGCACAGCGCACACACTGCACAGTGTACAGTGCAGCAGCAGCCGCAGCCGCTGGTCCTAAAACAGCTCGGGCAGCGCGAGCAGATGACTCTGAATGCGACTCCCGACGCGGTCCTCTCAGCACAACCAAAGCCGCGGTGAAATGAATAGGACCCCCATGAGCTCTGCCGCTTCTTATGGGGGAGCGGCGAAGGTGTACCCCGCAATTGCAAGCTCCCACACGGCTGCCGCTGCCGCCGTTCGGCTGGACCCTACTGGCAGACGGCGCTCTTCCCTCCCGAGAACTCGTGGAAAGCGAGCAGTTTCTGCCGGAAGGAAGGGAGATCAGGCCAGGCACCAACAAAACTGCACGCGTTATCCTCGGGGCAGCGGTGAGGAGGCTGCTGCAGGAAGCGGCAATGCTCGATGACAAGCGGGCAAGGTTAAAGTCTTTAGAAAATGCTCAAAAAATAAAATCGAATACAGAAGGATATACTGCGAGAGATCACATTGTACCCCTAATAACACCCCCAAGAGAGATGTAGGGGCCTTGGATATTCTGTGCTGGCTGGCACTCGGCCTTTCTTCTCAACACGCACAGTCCCGCAGGCGGTGGCACCATTCAGATGACTGCGAAATGAAATATTTTTTGCTGTAGAACAAAATACATGAAATTCACCCTCTGCCGGCGCCAGGGAATAGCGGCATAACACGTCGAGAGCACCGGGAATTTTTGCCGCTTGTTACCATGACGGGCCTTGTACGCCGTCTGCAAGCTCCTAGATTCCTTCCTCCTCTTTTAGAGGGTAACCTCTGAGTTTGCATTTTGCATGCTTGCTTTGGACTTCGTCATTCACCTCCCATGCCCTGCAATTCCCTTGTGCTATCTCTGCGTAACTCAGCGATAGAAACAGCCCCTCGCCCCCAATAGTGTTTTCGATACTTCTTGGACTTATGCCTATTTGAACGCACGGACAACGCCTTTCACTGAATGGTGTGAAAGCATTTGCTCATGGCATATCCATGGGGTGCGTAGAAGACGTTGCTACATGCTTGCTGCTCCGTATCTTGCGCCCCCTTTCTGTAACTTTGCACGAAAGCATGCAAATGCAAAGCAGTTATCAGGATCCAATGCCCAGGGATGCATTGCACTGCAGAAAAGGCAGGAAGTATGCCAAGGGGCACTCTGGGACTAGCAATGCGTTTCTGCGGTGTGGAACTATGGGGCGGTCTATTTTTCAGTGTAATGAAGGTCGTATCTTGCTTGTGGCTTGTTTTGTAGACGCCTGCAACTGTCTCCAGTGTAGAAATTTTTTTCGGCGCATTTATGCGGCCCTTGACACTCTCCATGTGAATGAATTGACAAGGGTACGCCCATTTAGAGTGGAAAGTATTCAACGCTGCCGATTCCGTCTTTCCTCAAAAGATATGTACTCTTTTCTTGTTATTGCAGCTACAAATGTTTGACTGTCGTATTCTGTCAAAACTATCAAGGAGCTGTATTTGAATGCTAAATACGAATGTAGCAGGCCTCCCCACGATGTCGATTGATTCAATCTGGTTAAAATGCTGCCTTTCTCTGGAAACGAGGACACGAGGAAACACCTCGTTTATCGACCATTGGATAGGAGCCTCGAAAAGTTATTTAGAAAAACGAATTACCTGTGAATAATAAAAACGGAGGAATTTCGTTTTTGCTCGTTAGTTCAAGGGCTCAATACGGAATCGCTTCCGGCCGGCCCTCAGCCGTGAGCCAATGTCGTTCCCTGCAGGTGATGCAGCACACACATGAAAAGTGCAATAACTAAGGTCATTTTACTTATGGCGTTAGCAGCATCTCAACAACGATTGGAAACCAACTTATGCTGAATGATAACAGTCTCTGCGAGTGCCTACCATCATCCGTACTTTTGTTCCACGATAAAATGCACAAAACACTACTTGATACTAGCCCTGAGATGAGCGTTGCCCTTACCGTCCAGCACGAGTGCCACTCGGCCTAAGGCCTCGGGCTCTGCCGCCTCAACCCTCTGCGCCGGATAGAGAAAGGACAAAGATGACGGGGAAAGGATACCCATAGAAAGAGGTGAGCTATTAGCTTCAGAATGTGCATGCAAATCAACAAGGGGGCACTGAGTTGTTCCTCATTTGAAGAGGACCTTGCAGGCACTACCGGAGCAGCGGGGAAATAGAAAGTTGAATGACGTCGGTAGGAGGCACATGATAGAAGGAAGAAACAAGACGTTTGTTAGTGCAATTTACTGCGAATTGAAGCCGTAAAAGGCTGAAGGTTCACAGGATCATACACAGGTTTATCCGTATAGGGAATAGGATAAATAAGCAAATCGGAGAAGCAGCACACGCAGTCCAGACAGAGAAGTGTATGCCGAAAGGAAAAACCGCACGACAGTCAAGCATGCACAAAACCAGCAAACGCAATATCGCAGGTTCAAGAAGAAGCGCACACTCCAGGCCTCCGACAGGGCAGCAGCGAGAATTGCTGCAAACATAGAACATACAAGCCGAAATCGCAAACCAAAAGATCGTTTTGCTAGAAGCCAAAAGGCCCCTTTCTGTGGCGACCCCAAAAATTTCGTCTCTGTTGTATCCTCTGCATGGCTAGTAGAGCGCCTTGGGCTACAATGAGAGGATCGTCAGAGGCTCCATCCCCTCTCGAGCCACCACACCCCCTGCCTTCCCCCACCCAGTAGACCGAGGTGAGGTGGCCAAAGCAGTGAAGGAGAAGAAACCGGAAGTTAGAGGCAAAAATGTAGCAGAATAACCACATAGGAACGACCTACCAACGAGGGTAATGGCTGTCGGATTGTTCGGCGCCTCTCTACGCCCAGGAACGTTTCTCAAGAGAATTAAGGCCTCGCCTCTGCATAGTTCCAGCAGAGCACGACGCGCTGCACAGACACTCCAAGACGACAGCAGCCCTCTTTTGCATCAGAAATTCTCTATGCATGTGGCCCTTTGCAATTTCTGCCGTGTGCGCTCAAGTGCACATGCCCCTTTAAACTTGCAGAAACAGAATTAAGGGATGGACCACACTCCACGGTTGAGTGCATTGCTGTTCCCTTGCATTTACATGCCAGTGGTACTGCATGTTGGCATCCGCATGCTCAAGTTGCTCTATCACTACAATTCGTGAGTCTGTCTTCACGCAAAGACCGCACCAGCTCGCCTCAAGTCCAAAAGCTGCAGCGAGTCGGGGCGCCTAAATGCAAACTCTGTAGCAAAAAGGAATTCCCACGAACACCGATAGAGGCGAAACCCAGCAGCTATGCGCTATCCACTCCCCCTTGAGAACGGCCTTCGTGATGTGCGAATAGTAAGAGGCGGGGGAACTGTTTCTACAGGCAAGTCTGTACCATCAGGCATCTCTTCGAGAAGCAAAATCCAAAGGTCCTCCTGCACACCCAGCAAGCGCCAAGGCTAATAGGACTTCGAAACACGCAACTCGACAAAAGCTCACGCGTCGTCATATTTTCTTTTAAAGTAGTAAACACCGCCCGCCGGTCTTTTTAGTAAGATGCGTAAAGGAGAAAACGGCGACAGGCGAAGCAGAACCGGAATGCACAAACCCCACCCTCCCACTACATTAGCCAGACACTAGATGCCACACGCAGCACTTTCTGTCGTACTTCGCGTTTCCACATTTTGCAATCAACCTCAAGAGTAGAGTCTGGAGAAAACTCCAACAAGACCTGTAATGCTGAGGTTGGCGTCCCGATCTATGGAGCAGCGAAAAAGCAGACAGGCAGCAGCGGGTCCAAAACGTTGCAGGTGCGCACATGTGATATTGTCTGCCTGAAGTATCAGGCGAGCTGTTGAATACACGGTTTTCGAGCTACTGCACAGTATATCAGCCTTCTGAAATAAAGACAACTACAAAGAGAAGCGCCAGGCAGAGGATTGTCTGAGAAGCACAATTTGAGATTGCGGTATTTTGCTGCGCTCACTTGACATGAAAATAGCCAGGGTGCAACGAGCGCCTCCTCTGGCTCTAGCAGTTCTTGGACAGCTAACAACACATAGGCACAACGAAAGGGAGAAAAGCACGCGAAACGCTGACATGTACACCAGGCAGCTGCAGGCAATCACTAGTGGAATGATAGTATACGCTGGCGGAATGAGCGACAAAGCTTCGCGCTTTCCTCATACTGCGTTGTTGTTTTTACCCCCTTCCCTCTCACCATGTCTGCCTGCTTGTCCTTCCGGTTCAAGGTCAGGGGTAGGCTTCAGCTTCGTTCCAGTTTCGACTGCATCGTTCAACGAAATCACCTGGCCTTCCAGCCGCTGCACGCGCCGTTCCAAGCGCATTCTCTCTGTGGCATGAGCAGCAAGCAGAGACACAGAGGAACACGAGGCAGCAAGTGCGGTAGCAGAATGCAAACAAGTTCTTGCGTATCAAGAACTACAAACTTTAGGGGCGGAGGTGGCGAGATACTGGCCCCTTTCTAGATATAGTCTCAGGCGCTTCGCTCGGAAAGCGACACAGCGATACGTATGCAGTTTGCCGATATCTAGCGCTTCAGCAACCCCTTCCTGATGGTGTCATCATAGCATTCGCAACCACATGTTTCGTACGTGCGGTGAGGCTCAAGGCGGGTTGTGTGCACGGCGTTCTCTAGCACGCACCCTTTTCAGATGCCTGGAGCCGGGCATTCAGCTCTCTGACGATGGCGAGCAGCGGGTCATATTTGGTGACCACGAAGGTCTGAAGCTCAGGAGAGAAAGGGCTTGCGTTAGATGGGGTTCTGCCAGCCATTGTGTGTGAAAAGGCGCTGGTCGGAAGGGGTCAAACGGCACCCTGCCGCTGCTGCATCGTTGCGCAGAGTCTGCTTGGAGTTCAGGCACGGGAGTTGCAACGAGCCCACCCAGAGGGATGGCCGCAAACCAGCCACCTTAACAATCGATAGGAGCCCATAAACTTGGTGATTGAAATTAGAAGAATAAGGAAAGCTGAACGAGAAGGGGAGGGCCGCCAACGCACGGCCGACCCGGGATGAGTCAGACACCGCAATATCCCACGGAAACTGATTATCAGAAGTTGTTTATAATAACAAGGCGTTCAATTCATGCAAAAATACGCCACTAGGAGTCGATACGATCGACAGGCAGGCAGGAAAATGCCCTAGCCCCAGTGGCGCACAAGACCCCGATGAATTGGACCGGTGACGGGAGTAGCGAAAGCAAAGGATGGAGAGTCGCCAAGGATCATACAAACTCCCACTTCTTTAATGTTTTATTTATTTCTGTATGTGTAAAGCTGCTGTTTCAACGTGGTATCACCATTGTGCAAGGCACAAGTAGAACCTGGCAATTCAGACTTTGGTTCAACCGAGTGCAGGATGAAATCCAATGATTCAGTTCCGTATCAAGGTTCCTGAGTGACCTCCTATTGAAGTACCTGAAAAACCGCTTTGTGTGTGCATTAAAATCCGCAGTGTCCAATACTATTCGGCGGTAACATTTTCGTATCAGCCATGTTACGGATCCATCACGTTGCCTTGCTAGTTAGAAAGGGAATATGCACTTATCAAGAGCATTGGGAGCTCTTCGTAGTTCTCCCTGCGCCCCTCCAAGTTCACCGATACAGCAGGCGCAGTAAAGCGATGGGTTCAGTGTACCTGTACGCAGCAACGAACTACACTGCCCTCCGTAGGGAGGAACACAGCCAGCAGATTCCTCCGTAGATTCTTTGAGCCTGGGGGCCCTAAAATGGCACTAATAACAGCCCAGGGTCGCTGACAAATCAACGTTTAAAATTTGTGGCACGCCTGAAATAGCAGGAAGCATGTCTGTCCAGACTCGCCAGTTTTAGAGAAACGGCTCGTTCCCTTTTCAGCCAGTCTGCGATTTGCCTTTGCAACGAAAGGCGCGCATCATGATCAGCTAGCGAGCAAGCTGCGCGCCAACGGACTTGCTGTATGTTCGCACCGCAGAGACCATTAATACCTACCCACCGTGGTCAGCCGATACCAGCACAGTAGATCCCCTGAATTGACTTGCGTAGCAACACAAGTGATAACGTCACACCGCATCCCTATCAAGGAGCGCAACAAATTAAAATTCTCCTCTCGGCTTTCGGTGTTTTTCCATGACTGGTATACGACGGCAGCAGAGGCACGGGCTCTTGCCGCCCTGCTGCACACTATACACTACCATCACACCCTCAGAGATCAATCTCGCCTCTCACGATATCCAGCGCCTGCCACGCAAGACCAAACAGCATAGAGCAAACAGCATACGGGCAGAGAAACGTGGCACGTTCTCTTCGTTCTCCCTTTACAGAGCTAACGTACAAGGCAGAACGCTTGAGAAAAAACATACGGTTTTTTCTCAAGTGCATCCATCATCCTTCTGCTGTCTCCTGCAGTAATTCGCTCTCTGAGCCTATGGGCTGCACCAAGCATTCCCTGTTAGTAGCTCCCCTGAGTTGCTTTAAATAGCGCTGTACGCTGCCCTAGTGATCGCCCGCCCCTATGCAAGCTCCCTCTCCCCGCGTTAGTCTCGGACCATCTTGAGTCGAATATTCTTGATGTCTTTCTGCTGGAAGTCGAACGCTCTTCCGTCCGCAATGCACTCGGCCATTTGGCACAAGAACACACCGCAATCGAAACCGTTTTCCTGCTGAGGGGCCCCCTCCTGCACAGCGCACAAAGGCAACGCATGACGTTTCTCGCTTAGCGGTGGATGCGATGCAGAGAAACCCCCTATATTTGAATCTTGACATTGTTGATGGCCGTCTCCTCAGGGCCATATATATCTTGCTGCTCAGCCTTTTCGCGACGTTTCTGTGGCTACTGACCTCTGGCTCTCCGTTCGCCTTAGCATACCAAGTCCTCTCTTTGTCTAGTGAGAAGCCTGGAGAAAACACCGCAGGACGAAGCGCAGAGAAGGAGCATGAAGTGCTCACATGATGTCACGCGCTGTGCTGCTTCGCTGAAGAGAGCTTCTCAAGCGCGAGAGTTGCACCTCTCGTGGGCCAGAGATACGGGAAAATGACGGTAGTTAAGGACGAGAAGACTGACACAACCGACGAACATCATGCAAAAGGAGAGAGAAGCAGAGAGAGACAAAGGGCAGAGAAGCAAATAAAAGATGCGAGGAGGCTGCACACGTGCACCGATCTCCGAAACCAATTATTTTTGAAGAATCTACCTTTCTTGTCCTCGTGCTCGTCCCGCAAGTATCTTCTGAGCCGTTCCGCGAGGGGTTTGTGCTTTCCGTTAAGGGAATCAAAGAAGCGGATGCTCTCACGTCCCTGCCTACACCCCAAAAGCCACAAAAAAAATTCAACTTGAGGATGAAGTGATGGGCTGCTCTCTAGAGGCCTTCTCTCCATGGGGTCATGAGTGCTGAGCTATGCGGAAATGTATGGGTGTCTGTCAAACTGATACTACAGTCGAACGCAAAGGAAAAGCGGGAGGGAGAGAAAGACAGAGCAATAGGAAAAGATAGGGTGAAAAAAAGGCATAAAGATAGAAAGAATGAGAGAGAGAGAGATAGAAAGAAATACAGAACGAGAGAGGGTGAAAAAGAGGCATAAAGATAAAAAGAATGACAGAGAGAGAGAGAGAGAGAGAAAGAAATACAGAACGAGAGAGGGTGAAGAAAAAGGCATAAAGATAGAAAGAATAACAGAGAGAGTGAGAGTGAAAGAAATACAGAGAATGAGAAAGAGAGACACACAGATAGATAGATAGATAGATAAATCAAGAGAAAGAAAGAGGGTAGGGGAATCGCGAGAATCTGAACGAATGCGTGCAAGAGCGTCTTGCCTCATATCAATGACGCCTAGCGTCCAGTGGAGATGCCCCAGATGCAGCGGAATGAAAATAAGATCTTTCGAGAACAAATCGACTTTCTGGCGCTTAGTCCACCGCTGATGCGATAAACGCGCGCAGACACGCAAGGCTCCAAACGGCAAGACAACAGCATTCATTTGCAGTCCGGTGATTGGATCGGACTGAACAAGGCACGGGAAACTAGCGGCATGCGGCAACACATCCCAGCAGCGATAGTGAGGTCAGTAGAGAGCATTGCAGCATCGCGCCTTGGATTCGAATAAAGCCGCAGCAGCAGAAGATTCTTCTTTAGGGCAGCATGCACATCTGGCAGAACGCACAAAAAGTGCCAGAAAGAGGCATGCAAAAGGAGAAGCTGCCCATGCAGGAGCAGCACCCTTTCCACGGCCGAAAAAGTGCCTTTGACAACGGGAAAGCCGCAATTAGTTTAGCACGCAGGCGAAAATCTCGAGGCTTAAGGCGCTGAGAAGTTCGTATGGCATGCAAGAAACAGGATCCCTTCGCAGCAGCAGCAGCAGCGGTAAAGCGGCTGAAACTAACACCACACGACACAAGGCTGCAGACAGCAGCGCGCATGAGAAACCCCAGGGAAGAGGACGAGGCACTTACTCGAACACCTTCATAGTTGTACGCAGCCTCCTCGCTACCACTGGCTCCCGAGAGCTTCGCATAAAAAAAGGTTGAAAAGAAGTAGCATCGACACACGCTGCACCCACAGCAAAGATATTCTCAAAGGGCAGAGTCCTCGCAGAAGGCGAAGCGGGAGCCACGGATAATGCATTCCAATGAACGCAGAAATAAAGCGCCAAGGAAGTTAGAGAGCATTGAGAGAGAGAGAGTACTGAGAGTGAGACAACATCCAGATATTGAGAGAGAGGGGCACGCATACGCAGACACGTCTATACACACATACACAAGCGCAGAAGCCTTTAAAATGGTCTACAGCAGAAGGGGCTTGCGAAGGACACAAACAGAAAGAAAGAAAGAAAGAAAAGGCTGGCAGGCTGGCATGCAGCCAGCTGAAAGGCGGAAGGGCCGCTACGGGGGAAAAAGAAAAACGGCTGCTGCTTATGGAAGCGTGCATGCGGACTTTTCTCCATTCTCAAGTTGCTTTTTGTTGCGTTCCTACATGGAAATACATCCACAAGCGAGTTCACATATTTGAGGAAAGCATGCATTGATGACGCATGCACCGAGGAGTCCAAAGACGACATACAAGGCTTCTCTCTCCTGTCTGCCTTTCTACTCGCTATCGAAGAAAAACTCTCAAAACCACAGCAGAGCACAGACACCACGGCAACAGACAGGGCCATGCCGATGCCAAGCAACAAGAGCCTTGAAAAAAAAGTAACAGCACCAACAAGTGCGACTTTGTAGGGCGCATGGCATTTGTTGCCATGTATTCCTTTGCGCACACCTGCAAGAGGTTCAAGTAGAAGTTGATGACTTCATCATTGAGCCAATTCGACCCTTCTAGACACCGCAAGGTTTCCCTGTACACACGCACACACGATTGTACGTACACATGTCCAGGCATACATACAGATACACATGAAACACATGCATACACATGTAGATACACACACATGTAAGCACATATATATATACACATACATGCACACAGATACCCCGGAACCAATACAAAAATAGGATCACACAAAAAAGGACTGCGGAGAACACCCCTAAAGCCAGCCAGCCGTACAGCTGCGACCAGAGCACACTGGCGGAAAGAGGATGCAAGTGCCACAAGAAAATCAGGGAGATTTCATCTTACACAGTGATGGGAATATTGAATTTCTCAATCAACTCCTTATCTCCTTCAAGATTCTCCCTGAACAGTCGGCGGGCCGCTTTCGCTTCCTCTGCTGCATGCAGTATGCGAGATCGTATATGCATGTGTTTGTGTCTGTGTGTGTGTTTGTGTGTGTGTGTGTGTGTGTGTATGTATGCCTCTCTCTTTTCTCTCCTGTTTTTTTCCCTCGTTCTCTCTCTGTGTGTGTTTGTCTGTGTCTGTGTGCGCAAGCCGCAGCGCACGCTTCATGCGAAGACGCCAGGAAGGGCTGCTGGCAAAAAGGAAGCAAAGAGAGATGCTGAAACAGAGCTGTCAAGGCGTCAGCGTCAGTGCTGCAGACGTACGCGAAGTGCAGCGTGTCTTCGGTGCGCGGCCGAAGCGCATTGGCACTAAAGGCGGGGGGGGGGGTGGAGGCTGTAGAAGGAAAAGCAGAATAAAGTGCAGGAAAAAAAGATGCAGATGCAAGGAAATGTGTGTCAAGATGCGCAAGCCCTGTTACAGGGAACGCGAAGTGGGTGTCGCTTCACATATTGTTTTTACGGCGCACGCTGGGAAGAATTCATGTTTGTTGGCGGTTGATTGTTTCGTTTAGTGGTTGATGGATTGGTGAGCTTGAAGGTTCCCAGCGCGATCGAGTCACCCCGTGCGGAAAGAGTCAACGTGTGCAGCGAAAGAGTGAGGAATTATATGATTGAGAGATTAGATTATGATTGAGAGGCAGATCGAGAGAAGGATCGAGATTGTGTATGTGCGTGAAAGACAGAGACAGAGAGAGACAGAGAGAGAGACAGAGAGAGAGACAGAGAGAGAGAGAAAAAAAATAATAATCACTGCTTGCTGGCCTTAGAAGTTGTTGAAGGGCTCTACCAGCGTGTTTTGGTGCCACCTACCACAACAAGCCGTTTCTTCAGCTGCTCCTCGCGAAGAGCTTTTTCTTCGCGTGCGAGCTCCAAGTGTGTTAACAACGTCAGCACCGCATTCTGTGCGAAAAAACGACGCACTGCCAAGTCTTCAGGCGCTTGCGCTAGAGACGCCCCCAACGCAGTAGCAGTGCAACTGGTCAATACAGCGCACTACGCCACACGACACACAGGCTGGGAAGCATGGGGGAGAGAGCCTTCACCTCATGCTGCTTGTGCGCTTTGAGCATCACTTCCATCGCCTCTTGCTGCTCCCTTAGCAGAGACAGAGACTGCGGCTCGGGGGAAGCGCGCAGCAGCAGCGACGGTGTTCTCCTCGGCAAGAAGGCCGCTCCAGAGACTTCTCGAAGATGCATCTTCTCGGAGGTACCCTCCAACGCTCCACTTTCTGCAGGTTCGTACTCGGGAGGCGCCAGGGAGAGCTGCAGCAGGAAAAAGAGGAAAACTGCGGCGACGACTGCTGCTGCTCAGGAGGGCTGCGCTGAAAGCGATGCGGGAGGCTGGAAGCAGAGAGAGAGAGAGAGAAAGGAGATAATAGGGAGAAGGGGGAGAAGGGATATATATATATATATATATATATATATATATATATATATATATATATATATATATATAAGGGAGGCACGAGAGAGAGGAGACACACATGAAGGGTAGAAGATACCAGATGTATGGGAAGGAGAAGGTTGGGAAAAGGAGGCCTAAGAAGGAAGGGAGACATGAAAAGAGACAGTTTAAGACACCCCAAAAGTGCAAGGAGGGATGCAGAGGCTCAGCGCGGCTACTACTGCTCCTACGCCTCCTCCTACTGCTGCGGAGACGTATTGTAATAAGCACGCGGATGGTGTTTGCCACACAAGAACCCGTGGATTTCAGTTCTTAAAACCACAAATAAAGGGCACACAGACAGAAAGAGAGGCCCCAAAAGAAGGAAGTAGAATTTCTCTCTTACTTGACCAGCAGCACGAAGTCTGGATCGGTAGGATGCGAGATCTTGCTCTGGGGGAGATTCTTTTTCAGAGGGGTGGGGTGAAGAGTTAGCCTGCCTTTGAAGAGGAAGTCTGTCTTCCCGCGGCAGTTCTGCTGGTTCTGGCACGTGCTGCTGCCGCAAGCGCGACTGGTCATGCTGAGAGGGTGAAGCCTCGTGTGCACGAGCAGCGAAAGCAGAGGAGGAGGTGCGTTCTCGCAGCCCCTCTCTACAAAGCGTTTCCGGGAGCATCGTTTCTGCATGCCACTCGGCAGTATACCAGCAGGGGGCTTTCGGTGCATTGAGTGCCCGCATGGGGTGGCTGTGAAGCCTCCGCGCTGCTGCTGACAAGAACCTGCGAGAGAGGGGCCTTTCTTCACGGGGAGTAAGACCCCATGCCGTCGAGCTGAAGTACAGTGACGACTCGTGAGATCTCTTCTCGGGGAGGGAGTCACTTGCCGAGGTGCGGTTCTGCGAAGCAGCAAAGAAGGGCCCATGCGGCTGGTGCTGTACGTGCTGGTGCTGTAGTGGTGGTACATGGTGCTGTAGCAGCTGTGCATGTTGTTGTTGCTGCTGCTGCTGCTCTTTGGCCGCTGCAGCAGCATGCCTTCCCAGCAGGTTCATCATTGTGCTGCTGCGTTCGTGGTGGTGCAGGGGGCTAAAGGAGGAGGAAGCGCTAGACGAAGGGGGGGCACCCAGGTTCTCGTCGTGAGCCACGCTGTGCCCACGACTCGGCCCTAGGGCCCTAAGGGCCCTCTTTGCGGGGAATTCCAGCGGTTTCTACGCTGCACCGAAGCAAAGGTGACCCTGGCATCCGTGCCTCTCGACGAAGGGAGGCGTTGCAACAGCAAGCCGAAGTATCCGAACAAGCGAAGGGAGCTGCATGCATGCATGCACGCACCCGAAAAAAGAAAAAGCGTTCTTCTCAGGCGCGTTACGCGTCTCTGCGGCTGTCCTGGGGCTGCCTACTGATGCAGACTGCTCGGTTCGGAGGTAGAGTGGACGGCATAGGGTCTGAAAGCTGCTCGACTCATGAGGAAAGCTGATCCAAGAAGCCCTTAAGAAGTCATTGCTGCACTTTCGCGACATTCCATTCCCTTCGAGCGAGTGCAGCAGTGCATCTCGAGGAATCTGAATAATTACCCCCACGGCTGGGAGGGGCCCCTGGGGGCCCCTCCCAGCCACTCCCGGTGTAGAAACACACGGTGGGACCGATCCGCGAAATAGCTTTTGTGCCTGTCTGATGAACACTGCCTTAAAGTGCATGTGACCGCCGGCTTCGTCGTTCTTCTTTAAAACCGCTATTTCTAGAGGGCACTGCTGTTGCGCGCGGTCGAGTGATGGGTGGGAAGGGTGCTCAATTTTGCGTCCCAGCGCCGCTCTCCGAATGAACAGAAAGGGAAAATACTGCTTAACGACAATAAAATAAGAGACCAAATCCGTTTTTTCCCCGCGCATGGTGATACGTGTGTGTGTGTGTACATGTATGTGGGTGGGTAGGGTGGTGTTCATGCATATGGACGTGTGTGCTTACGTGTATAAAGAGAGGCGCGTAAATATGTACGGTGGTGTGCATATTAGAGCTAGGTGTGCAGGTGTATGTATACGCATGTGTCTGTTTTGAATGTGTCTGTTACTGTGTGTGTTTGTATGCGCGTCTGTGTACGTGTGTGTATGTACTTGGGTTTGTAGATGTGTGCGCAAAGATGATATATGCCTAGACACCCCGCGATCACAAAATAGGCAAGCCTCACGTCGACGACGGCGCGCCATAAGGTCCTTGCCCCGATACGCGTACCCCCTTAGGCACATGTATCAGACGTGGAGACTCCCAGGAGCCTTGTAGGCTTCCGTCAGCTTAGGATAGCAGCCGCTGCCGAGGGCCTTTCACAGTGCTCCTCCGTCCTTAGCACGCGAGTACAGCTCCTGCCCTGAAACAAACTGTGCGGAAAAGTAGGGAGCTGTATAGCCGACTCGCCGAAAGGGGGGTTGACTCCTTTTCTGCTGCATAGAGTCCGACATCACCGAGAAAGCAGCTCAACACTGACAGACACTGCGTGTCACCTTTGTCCTATGGCCCCTATGATGAACTGCACCTTTCCTTTCTCTTTCCCGTCGTTCTTCCTTCAGTTGCTCTCTGTATTTCTCCGTTTGCGTGCTGTATAGAGTCCGGTTTGAGCTCGCTCTGCCCGTTGCTTCTATGGGCTGGTCTTAGCGGGCACATCTAGACAGCTCCGCGTGCCCTCTTCCTCTAACTTAGCAAGGCTGAGCGTAGCCAGTTCTCTGTATGAATCCTTCATTGTGTGTTGGGGGCATTCAACGCAATGAGCATCCATGTTGCTGTGGACGTGCGCGCTAGAGGTTGTTACGACGTGCGAACGACTACTATGCATAAAGGTGTCGGGAAGACCTTCTAGAAGGTTTGTAGCAACACGGCGCCCGCACATGCATCCTAGCTATTATCTTCCTCCGGCTCTGCCTTCATGCCAGGCCCAAAAGGGCTGAGAGGACGGCAGGATAATCGGAAAGGCAGCTCTCCTAAAGAGAGACAAGTTAGGGCGTGTTGAGATTTGCACTTGGCTTGAGTCTTACAAAGGTTCTCTTTCTCCAAAGACTCTTGAAGAGGAAGCGCTACGCCAGCGTGAAAGCACTCTCTACCCTCTTGCAGCAGCGAAACTCCGCTACTGTCTCTTTGGGGTACCTGCCTGAATCTTCTTTCCTTGCGCTCACTTGGTTTTTGTCTCTCATTCGCGGTCATGCATCTCTTAGCAGCTCCTGTCTGTACTGCTACACACCCCTTGTCGCTCCTAACCAGACCACGGGGAGCAGGCAAAAAGAAGAAGAGCAGCGAAGAGAGGGAAGCGACACGCACAAGAGAAGAGGAAGAAGGCTCATGGGTTAAGATGGATCCGCATGCACATACAAATCTATGTATATATAGCTCTCTCTCAATATATATATATATATATATATATATACATATATATACATATATCTATATAGTTCAATAAATATACACCTACATAAAGCCACAACATATAAATCTATATGGAGGCTAGGTGTAATTCTACATATACATAAACATATATGTAACTATATAGACATACATAAATCTACACATACATAAATCTACACATACATAAATCTACACATACATATGTATAGGCATGCTCGAAGAGCAGTAGATAGAGAAAACAAGTCCGAGAGGGAAAGCTACAGATGCGCAAAACCCGGAAAGGGGTAACATGGAGCAAACCACGAGAGAAATACACACAGATTCTGGTGTATAGACGGTCGGCATGAAGACAGGGAGGGATGCAAAAAGCGGCTAGCGAATCAGAAGAAAGGCTTCGGAGCGCAACCCCGTGTCTGTCCTGCACATAAAGACACACCGAGACAGTCCGACACAGGGGAGACACATACGGGCATAGAAGAATACGTTGAACGCCACGAGATTCTATCTCTATGTTGTTTGCCCTCCTCCGTGTTGTGTGTGTCTCTTTCTCTCTCCCTCTCTCTCCCGCGGATTCCTCTCCTCCACACACACCAACATGCGTCCTCCCCCCGATCTCCCCCTTCCACTCGAAACAACAGATTAACAGAGGGGCAGCGAAGTGCAAGCTGCTGTCTTATTTAGACGCCCTCACAACTTTTAAGTAGACACCTCCCTCCCGTCACCCTTCTCATGCCGCAGAAACACACCCTTTTACCCTCCCCCGCTGAAAACTTAAGCAAACCCCACATCCTGTGCACAAGACGTGAGGACTAACTCCAATTCGCCAGTGGAGGCGAGGGTTGCTGTCTTTGCTCCGCGGCATGTCACGCCTCGACTGGAGAGGCAGGTGTGGCTGTACAGACAGAGAGACAGACAGAGAGATAGACAGAGAGATAGATAGAGATAGAACGGGAGGTTGGCGAAAGAAGGGGCCTTGTCAAGTTCGATACAACCGAAGTACTCCTCTAGAGAGGGACGCTACAGCAGACCAAGGCATAATGCAACCCCCGGAAAATGCGCATGCTTCAGTGACAAAGGATGCACCGTGTAACAACAGCCAGAGAGAAAGTAAACAGACAGAGACAAGTAAACAGACAGAGAGCGAGAAAATTAGAGCAAGAAAAAAAAGAGCGCAAGTAAACAGACAGAGAGCAAGTAATCACACAGAGAGCAAGAAAAAAAAGAGAGCAAGTAATCACACAGAGAGCAAGAAAAAAAAGAGAGCAAGTAAACAGACAGAAAGCAAGTAAACAGACAGAGAGACAAGTAAACAGACAGAAAGCAAGTAAACACACAGAGAGACAAGTAAACAGACAGAGAGCAAGTAAACAGACAGAGAGCAAGTAAACAGACAGAGAGCAAGTAAACAGACTGTAAGGAAACAGACACGTGAGAAACACGCAAGAATGTCTCTCTTTCGCCATTGCACTCCAAGCATGCATGCACGCACATCTTTTCTCCCTCACTTTAGGAGTATCATCAGAATGCGAAGCTGACACAGGTGAGGGGAGGGCAGCGAGAGGAGCACGATAAGGAGCGCAGATGTGTGCCTACTTGCATTCCAGCATGACCAGAACGCCCCTAGGGTGTAAGACTTCGTCAATCGCCTCAGCGATCTGTTTTGTCAGCCTTTCCTGAAGAGAAGGATGCACAGCAGGAGACGACTGCACAAGGATAGGCAGCTCACACAGCACACAGGCCTGTACTCCCCACTCCGCGCAGAGTGACATGCAAGTATGTGCTTCGGCATGAACACTTGCATGCCGAGGTAGCCGCAAACCTCAGACGCAAGGAGGAGCGCAGACGACTCTCTACTCTCTCAAGACTAGAGGCAAGAAGACTCCGCTCGCGCGAGTCAAGAAGCACAAGCAGCCAAGAGCGCAGCGCAGTGCAGCGCAGCGCAGTGCAGCGCAGCGCAGTGCAGTGCAGTGCAGCGCAGCGCAGAGGTCGAGATGCCGCAGAATACACGCAGACGGTAAGACCACGCGGCAAAACGCTTTTTCGTTCCAACCCCTCCCCTTTCCTCTGCGCCTGCAGTTGCAAGCAAGGATTCAAGCCGACAAACGCCTCTGACTAAGCATCGACGGACTTGCACTTGGAGTCGCCGCGCAAAGACGTCGATGATGCGCGCAAATTTGGAAAGCCCAAGAATGTGATGCCGTGGCAGATAGCTGCAGATGAAAAAGATCCAACAGACTCGTGTACAGCGGCCTTACCCAACGAGCGCGCGCAGTAGTGCAGAAAAAAGGCGCCTTTTCCCCCTCCCCCGAGCGCAAAACACCCCCAGGCACGGAGAAGCAGTGCAGCAGCAACGGCGGTG